GGGGAAGGAATGTTTCAGTTACGCTCAAAATGACGGCAGTACTACCCCTGCACAGAAGTGAAGCCCTGTGAACTTTTCAAATGTTTCCTGTTTATTAGAGCACAGGGCGTCAAGCGTGTCAAAACACACAGTACAGACACAGGGACAGAAAAGGTGACTCAGAGAGCAGTTTGTTTCTTGCCCAGCTTCTCTCTCTCTCTCTTTCAGCTCAAGGAAGGCACAGGCTCTATGAGTAATCAGTGGTCTGCTGGAGTCACTAAGATAAGCAACAGATAGTGCTCCCGGCCTCTTCTTGACTCATACAGAGCACACGGGGTCTGGGAATAAGCATGCCCCTGTAGGACAAAGCGACTGAAAAATTCAGCAAGTTCTAATAGGGATCCCTGACCATTTGGGGCAGAGAATAGCAGAGCAATATTGTCCCAACCTTCAGGCTTACAAGAAATGAAACACACATGGGGGGGGGGGGATGAGCACACGTAATCACAAAAACGTCGTGTTACGAAACTGCAATTGCCCCTAAAGAGACAGTTTCTATTCTAGGACCTGACGGTACCTCCTACACATAAACACATCACAGAAACGCATCAACACACCAGGTCTTCTTTCGCCTCAGTGTGGTTCCCCTGTTGTGAGAGAACCACAAATGCCGTGCCACCAGCTCAGAGATGGACACCACAAACACTTCTGTCATGAGCCTCCCAGCCCTTTGCGCAGAAATGTTCCTTTTCCAGCCTCCAGAAAATGCACCATAAGCTGTAAGTGCAGCACCATCAGAGGAAGTGGCGGGGGGGGGGGGAGCAGGGAGTGTGAATTTGGGCTTCTCTGCTTTGTTCTATGCAAATGCGAATATCTGTGTTTTCACAGAAGTTGGCATGAAGTTCTGCAGGAGGATAAAGGTGTTACCTTTCTCTCTGTGAAAGAGGTGTTACTTGGCTCTCTGGTTCGAGGTGGTGAAGGGACCTGCCACCAAAGCAAGCTCAGATTAGGGGGTCAGATGAATGCATGAGGAGGACTTCCAGGGAAGCTGGTTCAAGGTTTGGAGGGGCTTCCAGCCAAGACACCTTCAAGTAGGCTCCCTCCCTTAATAAGCTGAACCCGTTAGCACCATGGGCACTTGATGCCTTGGCCGTTCTTTTCCTTGCCATGGCTCCCACTTGCTCGTCTAACAGGCAGAAAGCCGGGAAACCTGGAGGGCATGGCATGATCCACTCCTCACCACCACCACTGTTCCCTGGGACAGGTAAGAGGCAGGTGGAACAGCAAGTAGCAGAGGGGAAGGAGAGCAGCAACTCCAGGGGACTTTTGTGGTCGGTGCCTGCTAGGCGGTGGACCCTCGAAAACGCAGGCATTTGGGGAAAGATGAGAGAGTACGTTCAAATCCACAGCAAGCACACTGCATAAGGTTTCATTTAGATGCCAGGAAGCACTTCCTGACAGTGAGGACCCCTCAGGTATGGAACGGGCTTCCACGGGAGGTGGGTGAGGCCCCACCGGTGAGGGTGTTCAAGGACAGGCTGGACATGCACATGGGAGGCATGTTGTGAGCGGAGGCGGCTGGAGCCGGGGGTCAGACTAGATGGCCCGGGAGGCCCCTTCTGACTCGCTCTGTTTCTATATTTCTATGTAATTCAATTCACCACTCATTCAGAGAGCTTTCTTTCAGGCTCCAAAAGACATCTCCAGAACGGCTGCATGTCTTCATATCCTCTCTGGAAAGATAGGACTCTGACTCCAACTTCCATATGAGCAACCTTCTCATACTTGCCTGCTGCTTTTGTCAATTCCCCGCCCCTCTTCTTACCAGGAAAAAAGAAATTCATTAAAGAAAAAGAGATGAGACATATTCGTTTATTATTTATAGCACGCACATCCTTCCAGGAGCCCAAAGCAACATACACAATTCTCCCCTGCATTTTACTCTCACAACGACCCTACGAGGTAGGACAGGCTGAGAGACTGTAACCGGCACAAAGTTAGCAAGCGTGGACTTGAGCCAGGGACTCTGACCCCTCAGATCAGAGTCCAAAAACTGGCTGCCCCTTCCAGAGCACTGGCTTGTCTTAGGGTGCTTCCAAATCTTTCGATGTCTCTCTCTCAGCACTCACCTTCTCTCATTCTTTGAAGAAAAATCCAGCTGTATATAGCAAGGTTCTTCCTGTTTCGCAGAGGGAGAAACCCTGTTACTTGGAGCAGAAGGCATTTCTTTTGACCGGATCAGCTCCAGCTTGTCTAGTCCTGCAGGTTCCAGCATGGCACCCAACAGTCGCTAGCTCCTCTACTGGACTAACCACTAGGCCTGAGTTTCATTTGGTTTCTGCAGAACTTTTGAAACTTGGAGTAGTGGTGACTGGCCTATTGCAAAGATCTGTGCTGTGCTCCAGTACTTCCTTAGCAGAGCTCAAACAGTGTTTGTTTCGTTTTACAGCTTGACCACAAGTGTGGGTTTATTAACAGGTAAATTATTCTTCTTTTAAATCCTGCCAGCTTTGGTTTTGGGGAAAGGCTGTTTCTGTGATTGGCCATGGCCACTCTGGTGGGCATTTTATGAATGGTTAAGCCTGGACCCCATGAGAATTTGCACAATTATCTCTTGACATTTCAAATGTGCCCACCAGCCCAAAAGGGGCTGTGAAGGGCATTTGATATCAGATTTTCAGAATAAGGGTGCCATTAATTGCAACTTGAGACCTTCTGCCTACAAAGCAGGTGACCTGCCACTGAGTTGTGTGGTCTTTCCCCTACAAGGAAAGTAAGATTCTAGTCCTCATGGTTCGGAATGAAATCAAACCATGATTTCAGTAGGCGCCTAGGAAGCTGCCACCTGCAAAATTGGTCTATCTAGCTCAGCATTGTCAGTACTGACCTAGCGCCTGCTCTCCAGGGCTTTGGGCAGGGAACTTTCCCAGCTATTCCTGGAAAGACCAGAAATCCACGTGGAAGCATCTCCATGCACAGCACCAAATATTACTGCTCCTTGTTGCTCATTTAGCTTTTCAGCCTGCCCTATCCCAGAGATGCGGTGTGAGCAGCGACAGAGATGCAGACCAAGCAGATCAGAATCAGGTCTAAAGCTAAGAGTTATATAACAACATGGCCTGCATCTCGAATGGGTTCGACTCTGACCACAGGTGGTTTCCTTGTAAGTCTATTCTTCCTTGAAATGGTAAATATGAGCTCCTTTCACTTTATCCCCACAATGACTCCTCTGAGGCAGGTTAGGTCAAAAGAGAAATTAAAAGGCCAACCCTGCATCGCGCATCCGACAGTTGCTCTTCGTTCATAGCAGAGCACAAAGGGAACAGAGCTGGCTGGCTGCTCGTTCTTTGAGCAACCCGTCTTTAGAGGTACCTCCATGTTCAGGGGCAGTGTACCTCTAAAGACCGGTTGCTCAAAGAACTAGCAGCCAAGGGACACCGGTGGGCCTGTCGCTTGATGCTTTACTCTGTTCACTACTGGGGGTGTGCAGATTTTATTACACCATCTCCATCTTTATTTCTCTGATTGTCAGACTTGCTTCATACCATCACCTGCTATTTGAAGGAATTAGATTCAAAACAACCACAGCCCCTTCACACAAACCCATTTCATGCTAATATCGCCTCCAAAACCTTGTTAAATTATCTCCCCTCCTCACTGTCTTCCACTGCATTCCTGCACAGATAAACCATTTGCACATGCTCCCAAACCATGGACAAGAATTGCTATTTTGAGTGAGAGTTGCACATATGTTCTTAAAAGCTAGAGACATTCTTTACCCTCCACTTCCAGCCTGAAAAGAGCAGTACCTGTGGCATCTCCGAAGATGGAGGCCCAGAGAACCAAGTCCAGAATCCTCGAAAAGCTGGAAGAAAGCAAAGAGATCATTACATATAAACAAATACAGTCCACTTTTTCTGCCTTTCAAATTATACACAAGGTAGTCTTTTCTACCAGCCAAAGCACTTCTAAGTTGTGATAACTGATTTTACAAGTTAAAACAGGAGTTGTGCAGAGAAAAAAAACACAGCTATTCTCTTTTCTATATCTCCCAAAAGTCTAAGCTGTCTGGGCAGGTTAGAACAGTTCCTAAACCAGAAATAAAATGCAATAGAACCACACATTCTCCAAAACACAGAATTTAAAAGCAGTTCAGCCCCCCCTCCACCTCTCCCCCCACACATCCAAAACAATTCAGCTAAAACTGTATTTTTAATGCACGATGAATCCGTTAGAAGCATCTGACAGGGGTGTCCTTCAGGGCCTTAACACACAGGGGCAGTCTTAACGTGCTCTCGAAAGGATGGCAGACTAGACATTGGGCAGGTGTCCAAGGGAATTTACTCCACAGGTCCCAAGTTGGTGTCTTCCAGTTGTGTTTGGCCTGGGGCAGGCAGGCAGCTGTGGTCCAAAGCATCCAGGGTTGGGGAAGGCTTGTTTCAGGCACCCTCTGTTGCCCCCAGTCCTTAAGAACATGATGCTTTGCTGGATAATATCAAGGCTTGTGCAATCATTGACCACCGTCAGTCCTGGCAAGCACCTGTTTCACAGGAGGTTGCTAGAAATGGGTCAGTGGGCAGCTGTGGACCATGCACGCTCCAACTTTGGAGAGCCTTTGGAGCCCATCAGCCCTCGTTGAGTCTACCTTCTCAAAAGCTCCTCCTCTTCCTCCTCATGGCTTCTGCTTGCTCAACAAGCAGAGGGCCAGCAAGTTCTGGCTTCTCCCCTCTCACCCAAAGATGTGGCAACTGGCCCACAGACTGAACTCAGAAGGACTGGGCTTAGGAAGCATCCTTTTCCCTGTACGCAACAAGACAACCTTCTCTTCTGGTTGATAAAAGCACAGTGAGGAGCCAGTCCAAGGGGTTCCTGTCACTCAGCCCCTGCCAAGGAGGGACCCTCAGTTGCTGCCCAACCATGCCTGCTTTTGGCACCAGGCCCTTCCAAGGGATTTTTCCCTGAAAGTGTGGGGCTTTCCTCCTACGGAGGGTGCTGGTTCATAGGACAAGACTTGCTGACATTACCTGGCCTGGAAGGGCCCAGTCGAATCCACAGAAAGCTGACAAGAAGCATTAGCCATGCCAGCACACTCAGGACGGCCAGGGGTACCAAGTAGTTTAGGCAGTTGGCACTGACTCCTGTGGAGGATGCTTTAAAAGGAAGGAACAGAGCACAGCAATGACTGCCCAGCTTACGAAACAATGCATGGAGATGCAGAGAATGAAGACAGAATGGACCATGTTTCCTTTTGTACTTCATTCCCCTCCTGTAAGACTGGAAGGCGAGGTGGCACAGGGAAACAGAAACAAGCACAAGCCCTCTGGCAGCATAAAGCTGCCTTCTGTAAGCTGGTGCCTTCCAGATGCTTGGACTACAGCCCCCATCACACACAGCCAGCATCGTGGCCCATGGAGGATGCTTGGAGGAGCTGCTACCCATCCCAAGAGCACCAGAGGTTGTGACACAGCTCCCCCTGGTGATGTGATGGGGAAGAGCAGCACCTTTCTCTCAACGAGGGCTTGTAGGAGTGGGATCAGACCCGGACTCCAGCCTGTTCAAACCTCAATGCCAGTGGACTATAATCCCTTGAGAAGGTGCACAAAGTGCTCTTCTATGATACAGACACACCAATATCTTATACATACACACATCCTTTGACTGGGTTCAGTCTTCACAATAAGCGATCCCCAAAGGTGGAGCATGGGTTATTTATTTATTTAAAATATTTGTATGCCACCCAATTATGCCACAGCACCTCTGGGCAGCTCACAACAGAAGATAAAAACACAATAAAACATAACAGAATCCCTAACATATTATATATTAAAAACAGCAATAAAATACAGTAAAACATATCATTGAATTATAAGTGCTTGAGGTTAAATTGTGGGTAATTGTGTTGTCTGAACCCAGTCAAGACAACCATCTGTGGTTCCCAGGCCCACACACAAATATGGGTTTTTCTCCTCATGGGTTGTTCATGGTTAACCAGACATGGCTTGTTAGCATAGTTGTGTTCGGACAACCCGATAACCCACATTTCAACAACCACTCACAGTTAAAAGACTGTCCACACTCAACTGATACTCCAGCCTTGAGTGTGGATTGTTTTGTCTGAAACTGGTAAGAGGAGTAGGATGGGAATAGATTTTCCTGGCAACAATAGAATTGCCGTGAGCTATTCTTACTGTAATATGAATATTTTGGAGTGATTCAAATATTTTGGAGTGATTCTCCAATGGGCAGTTCAGCCACATTTGCTTCACAGAAGACCTGAGATGAAAATTGCCAGACACAGTTGCTTGATATGAATCAATTCAACGGGCGGCAATTTTAGAGTGTCCTAGGAGACATGGTTATGGAGACCAACCTGATCAGCACTCGAACTTCCCAATTTATCACTGCTGGGAATACCCTAGAACTTATCCTCAGAGAAGGAGAAAAGAAACAGAGCATTTTGAGATGGGAGGGTTGAATGACTGCTGAACTTGGACAGCTTTTCTAACTGACTTGCGTTCATGTTACAAGCACAATAGATTGTTTAAACACCTCCTTGAGCCTGAACAAGGACGGCTAAGTTACTCACCTGCAGGGAATGTGCCTTTCACCTTGACCCCAGTGTGGGATGAATTGAATTTGACTTTGCATATGATGTCCTTCAGAGTCCTGTGTGAGCCCCCAGGGATGTGAAGGACACTGAGGAAAGTCAGGAAGCCACTGCTGTTCTTCACCAGATGTGTCTCTTGCTCCAGAGGTCCAGCAGAGTCCCAGGACACTTGGACGAAGTTAGAAACTCCATGGACCACACAAGCCACTCGGTTGTTTTGAGGAGCACGGAGCTGCAAAAACACCACGGAGCTGCTTGGAGTATAACTATCTGCAGAGTGGGAACATGAAAAAGACCAGCTAGGAAATATTGGAGTTGCAGCCATTTTTAATGCCTAAATTTGCCTTTGGCTATGGGCATAGCTCATATGGGTCCCTACGATTCCACAGGAAGGTTCTAAGTTTAATTCTCTGATTCTGAGCAAGGAGACAGAAGCATTGGTGTGAGGAAAGATCGAGTTAGAGAAGGGAAGGAGGTGTTGGAGCAATGATGCTGAACTTTTTCTCCCGGGACTGGATTTTCTAGTCAGTACCCCAGCGAGGGACAAGACAAGATCTAGGCAGAATGGGGCAGGGCCAAGGCAAAGCGGGTGAGGCAAAATACCAGCTTATTTTAGCTTAAAGTTCTTACTAACAGCCAACAAAGCTCTAGGAGAAGTAATTTCCACCTTGTAAAATGAAAATAAATGGTACAAAATCCAGGAAACTACTAAATCATTGGGATTGCGACAGAGGAAGGGGGGGCAGAGAAAGGATACGGCATTCTGGGGACCCTCGTGGGATGGATTGGGACATAGAACACCAATGGGTTAAAAGGCATCGACTGCCTTTATGTATTTATTTCGTCTGAATTCCACCCCACAACCCAAGGGTTCTCTTGGCAGCTCACAAGGAACAAAATCATTCAAACCTCTATTCCCATCCTTTCATATATTCAGCAACTCCTTACCTCCAACTATCAGCAAAGTAGACACATTGCTGAATTTAAATGTGAGGTCTGTCTTTGCACACAAATACAGGCCAGAATCATCTGTTTGGGCACGGGAGATTTCCAAGACGGTCTTTTGTCCTTCAGTTTTGCAGGCAAATCTGCTCACAGTGTTCTTCTCCAAGCAGCTCTTAACAAGACAAAGCGTCTCATTCTCTCTTCTTTTGTACCAACCGAATGATAATCCATCGTCTTCTACCTTGTCTTCCAAAATGCATGGGACTCGTGCCACGCTCTCCTTGTCCACAAATTGGAACTCCTGCGCCCGATACAGTGAAAATAAATGGAGTTCTAATACTGAGGAAAGAAACAGAATGGATGTTGCTGCAGTGGTTTAACACAAATATTTTTAACTTCCCCACCTCCCAAAGAGCCCGGCTTATTTAGAAACAACAGCAGAATATATTTATTTGAAAGCGTGAGGGTTAATATTGTCTACCCTTGGCTGCCAGCAGCTTTCCAGGGCTTTGGATGGGACATGTTCCTCAGCAATACTTAGATATATCAGGATTTCGAACGGTGACTTCAGCATATACTGCAGCCCGACACTACTGAGGTATCGCATTTCTCCATAATTTACTGTGACAAGTGCTAGTAATTGCTGACATCTACACACACTTGCAAGTAACACTCTGATTCAACACATGTGCCGGGAGAAGGTCTTATTCAGGGGAATGAAGAGCATTACACTCACTGATGTATGAGCTGTGTTATGCAGTAGTTTCCTCGTGGAAAGGCAGGCTAAGTACTTAAAAATATAAGCTCTGTAGAAAACAAAGACTTTCAGGTTATCAGCAGAGCTTCCAGCCTAGACGCAAAGCATGTAAGATTCCAGGTAAAAGCAAAAGAAGTGTTTACCTGCTGAGGTCAAAATGAGGCAGTTAGTCAACAGCATTGCCTGCAGCAGCGTTCAAAGCCAGCATCTGTGCTGAAGCTTTGAGTGAAGGAGAGGACAGGACTCTTGTTTCCTTTGTTGGTGGAGCCTAATTCACTCTGTGTGGGTGTTGCCGGTGGTGCAGGGTGCCACTGAAAACAGTCAGTGGGCTGTTAATTGCTGAGAGGGGATCAACCACGATTCGAGAAAGCGATGCCCCCAGCAGACTACAGCTCCAGGTTTGATTCTTCTATCAACTTCTTGTCAGACTAAATTTGTACATTTCCTATCTGAAGAGAGTTTTTGGCAGGGCTGGCCAGGGCAGCTTATTTTATTTTATTTATTTATTTATTTATTTATTTATTTATTTATTTATTTATATATTCATTCATTCATTCATTCATTCATTCTAATGTATATATTTTAATTTTTATTTATGTGGATCTAATTTATTGTTGTAAGCCGCCCCGAGGCTTCGGCAAATGGGGCGGCATAAAAATGTTTTAATAAAATAAATAAATAAATAAATAAATTCAAGGCAACCTGGAAACTTAGACCAGAGCAGAATATAGAGTGGAGGGCGGGGGGCTACTGGGGGGTGATGCAGCCTGGTGAGGCCGGGAAGTCCCTCAGCTGGAATCTCTCCAGGCTTCACAGCATTACCTCTCTTCTCAAGGGTAAACGGGGTGCTGCATTCAAAGCGCAGAAACACAGTGGCTAACTTTTTGTTTGACTTCTGTGTAAAAAGCTCCCAGTCTGGATCAGGAAGTACCACATGCAGCTTGGAGGAGATAATTCCCCCCCCCCCCCAGTAAATTCATCTGCCCTCTGCTCGAGGGCTTAAGAAAAGAGGAAATTTCATGGGCAGCCTCCCACAAAAACCTCTTTTATAACACAAGTCTTTGTTAAAGAAAAACTCCAGCCTCCCACTATGATGTTGGCTTGCCTTATGAGGCTACATGATAAGGAAGCACTCTGGGAATGCATCAGAAGAGTTCTACAAATGTTAAATATTATGAATAGCCTCTTGGAACATATATCAACAGTTATGCTTTAGCAGAATTTAACGGGGACAGTTTGAAAAGATTTGGACACCTGTCTGACTGATTGCTACAAGATGGATCTGAAACTGGTCAAGCTGTAAATTTAGTGCGAATTAAAACTGCAAATTTAGATTGCAATCCTATGCGTATTTAAACAGAAGAATGTCCTGCAACAGCACCCGACTCTGCAAGGGATGATTTAGCTGGGCTCTGCTTTACTCATATGCTGCTTCTAGCAGGCTACTGTGAGAACCAGTTGCTGGACTAGTTAGGCTTTTGGTCTTATCTAGCACAGGTTTTTTTGGATATTAAGCATTTTACATAGATCTAGAATTATTGTGCAAGGTCTGTGTCTCGTTCACAGAGGTCCAAATGCTGCCATTTCCCACTTCCCGGTCGCCTGTGTTTCCCACCATGAGTTCTAGTTTTGCTTTATTTTCTTAGCCTGGATAATCCATAAAGAGGGGAAAGACAGAACAGCTACATGGTACTTGGACTAGGAATATTAGGAATTGTCCTGTTGGTTGGCGGATCGGGCTTCGGAGAGGGTGGAGTGACCCTTGCCCTGAACGGGGTTGCACTCCCTCCTAGGGACAAGGTCCGCAGCTTGGGAGTGCTCCTTGACCTGGAGCTCTCACTGGAAGCTCAGGTAACAGCAGTGGCGAGGAGCGCTTTCCTCCAGCTTCGGCTGATTCATCAGCTGCGCCCCTACCTGGAGAACGACTGCCTGGCGACAGTGACACATGCACTGGTGACTTCCCGTCTTGACTTCTGTAACGCGCTCTACGTGGGGCTACCCTTGAAGACGGTCCGGATACTTCAGTTGGTTCAAAATAGAGCTGCCAGGCTGTTGACGGGGACTGGGCGTTATGGTCACATGACTCCAGTCCTCCGTCAGCTTCACTGGCTTCCCATTGAAGTCCGGGCCCAATTCAAGGTGTTGGTAATGACCTATAAAGCCCTAAACGGCTTGGGTCCTGGTTACCTGAAGGAGCGCTTACGTCCATATATGCCCAGCCGCCCCTTGAGATCAGTGGGAGAGGCCCTTCTCCGGGAACCCTCCGGGAAGGAAATTAGGAGGGTGGCTACTCGGAGGAGGGCTTTCTCTGCGGTGGCGCCCAACTTATGGAACATGCTCCCCAGAGAGGTCCGCCTGGCGCCGTCGTTATTTGCTTTTCGGCGTCAGGCGAAAACCTTTTTATTTAAGCGGTATTTTAACTGTTAGTATTAACTGATTTTATCTGGCCAGGGCGGCTTATTTTATATTGTATTTTTTGGATTTTTAATGTTTATATTAATTTATTGTTGCAAGCCGCCCCGAGGCTTCGGCAAATGGGGCGGCATAAAAATGTTTTAATAAATAAATAAATAAATAAATTGTCTGTCTGGAAGTACTTTTGTCCTACTAGTCACTTCTGTCTCTCTCTCTCTTTTTTTACAGGGGGTAAGTGGAGGGGTCAAAAAGCATGCCATAAAACTTTGAAACTGAATCCAGCAAGCACAACCTTATGGAGAGGAGAACCGAGCACGAGAGCTGGTGTGCTTAGAGTGAAGGGCTGGAGACCTTCGAGAGCCGGGTTCTAGTCCCCATTTGGACTAGATGTGGGGGTGGCTTGGGGTGGCTTTGGACAGTCCCCCCTTCGCAGCCCAGCTGGCTGCCCCAGACGGCTGTTCTGAAGACAGAATGGAGCTACGGAAGCGGCCTCGAATTCCTCTCACAGGCTATCAGTAGCCACGTTGGCCATGTGCTTGTACCCGTCCTGCTTGAGGGATCCTGTGGGCAGCCGGTTTGCCACCGTGTGTACGAAGAGCTAGACTAGATGACCTTTGGGTCTGGCTCAGCATGGCTTTTCTTAATAATATAGCAGCAGTCAACTGATGTGGGATGATTGTTATGTCCTAATTTGTGGAGGACCGTCTGTTTGGTCCAAGTTGGGGTTAAGATGACAGACTCTAAAAAGGGCGAATGGATGGGTCCGGAAGTTTCTCATCCAGCATTTCCATCTGGACGGCAGGCCAAGCAAAGGCTGGACACTGCCCACTTCTGTGCACTGGTTAGATGCATTCTAGTTCTGTATAAAGTATAGCCATTGTTACTCATCTATGCACAAAAGAAATTCAGCGTGTGCATTTTTCATGCTAACCTGTGTCTGATGTAGTCACTCTAGCGACATGGATGTAAATGTTTCCAGGACTGGAGAAGCTTTGCTAGCATGCATATGTAGGTTTGCCATTAACCATTTAAAAACAAATTTCTTCACTTGCTTGCTTTAAAAGAATAGCTACCAAATGGTTTTTCAAATCTCCCAATTGTGAGCCTTTTTTGAAGATAGGAGATCTTATCTCTGTTTTCTCTCTAGCCACAGATGCTAGCAGGAAACATAGCATCTGTGCAGCTCACAGGACCACCGAGTGAGACACCAACCAGAAGATCTTCACTATTCAGTCAAGGAAGGAAGATATGATGCTTCTCCGCTTGGCTGGGTTGATTCTACTTTCGTTGCTTTGTAAGTGTTTCCAGACCCCAAATATCATTCCTTTTTGTGGTGTGACTCTTCAGCAGAACCTTGAAAAATATGAAAGCATGTTGGGTTAGAGCCAGGCTTAGCTAAAGTAGACTAATTGAATTTATTTATTTGCTTGTTTATTTTAAGTACTTTTATCTTCTCAACCAAAAAGAGTCCCACACCATCTTGCATGTAAACTGTACACCAAGCCGGGTTTTTATGCAAAGGTTTATAATCTAAAAAGACAAGGGAAAGGAGTAGGCAGATAGAAGAAATAAGTTAAGTCATGGCCAGCTTAAATTCTATTTATTTCAGTGGGTGTAGCTTTGGTATGACTTCGTCCGGATTCAATATATTATTTTCAGAATGGCAAAACCCTCAAAAAACTCAGGGAGAATTCCCTATGAGCGGGCATGTATAGGATTGTACTCTTAAGGTTTGCTATAAAAAAATCCAGAATGCCTTGGCCCTTGACAAGCTTTGGCACCTTTGTGAGTTTGTTCCAGTTTCAACTTCCTTTTGTGTGCGGTGCCTTCTTTCTTTACTTTATTGGGCATATACTCCTAAATACACTTTTCTGGGAGTAAAGTCCCATTTATTTTCATGTTTTCCTCCTCTCTATCGCTCCCCTACTACTACCAACTTTTGATTATGAACTATCTTGTTTCATAGTGCTCTTAAAATGAACTATGATTTCATATACTATTTTACTTCAGGTGATTCCTTAACTACATAACTGCAAATGAGCTGACCAAAGAAACCTCTGTACCTTCATCTATTCATCGATAATATGTATAAAACCTATAAACCAAATGGGCCTTAAAATTAAATAAGGCAGTTCTGAATCCTGAGTTCTCATACCAATATAAAATACTTGCGTTCGCCTAAAACAATCATTTACTGACAGTCTTTTCCCTGATCCTTATATTAATTTCAACACAACACTCACATCATATTCCCTTACACAAATTTTAAATTATAGGGGTTCTACTCTCATCTATATACACCCTATATTCTGGAGTGCTGATGATGCAAAAGGCGAACAGCCAAGAGAGCAGCATGTTTTACCGCTGTAACAGCCTTGGCAGGAAAAGCTAGGCCCATTCTGCATATTATCCAACAAGCAGCTCCAGGCTGAACTTTAAAGGAGATGTCCATGGTGCTGAATCTGTTCGGAGGGTAGAGTGTAGCACCATGCAGCGTTCCTTAGACGTTCAGACTAAACCCCGAGTGGATACACCATTTCCGGGATACTGGAACCATAAGCCTTCTCTCTTCGGTCTAGTTCATCCGTTGAGCCTTGGTTGTAACAACCCAGTATTGTGCCAGAAACCAACAAGCAATCCTTGCCAGGTTCACACGACGCAGTGAGCTGCGTCGAGACAGATATTTCTGAAAATCTCCCAGCACACCCATGGGAGGGAAATGGACCACTGGGCTTTATCCCCTCCATGATCAAGTATTTCCCTAAGCAGCATAAAAAGACCAGCTCAAGAGAAACCAGCCGTTTCTCTTCCCAGCTCCAGGGCAAACTACTACTTGCTTTCCAAGTTAACTGTTGGTTCCAGCCGTTAATTGCTCTTAATTGTGCATTCCACACCAAGCCACCTCCAAATGTTCTGCAGGTCAGCAGGAAATCATATCACTGGGACAATCCATTTTCTCCCAGCTATTGTGAGGATTACAGCTCTCATCCAGGAAAGGGAAGGAGACCTCGCTAAGGAGAAAGTCCTAGGCTTCCACTTTGTGAGTCTTGCCTCTGCTACACCGTTGAACATAGCTTGTTTTTCCATACATATGTTTTTCCATATAGCTACCCATTCACAAAGGACTGGAATAATCCCACGGAAAACAGAGGGATCTCTGGGAGGAACTGTAACCCTAACATGTAACTTACCAGTTGGGCAGCCCTCTGGAAGAACACTGGTACATTGGTACAAAGAGAAACAAGGCAGAAGTCTGGACTGGATATTCACATGTTCGGACTTTTCAAAACCAGATGGGAAGTACTCAAATCGTCCAGATACAACCACAAGATCTTCTCTGATCATCAGTAATGTGCAAAGAAATGATTCTGGGCTATATTATTGTGTGAAATACAATTCTGAACATCCTGAATTCCTAGAAGGTATAAGGTTGATCATCACAGGTGAGTGTCCAGACACACGTTGAAAATGATTATGGAAGCAGGAGAACTTTGCCCACGTTGGTGCCCTCCAGTATTTTGGACTTATTAGCCTAGCCACCATGCCCAAGTGTTGGGAATGCTGGGAATTGTAGTCCAAAGCATCTGGAGGGCATCAGATTGAGGAAGGCTGGTTTAGTAAGATGCCAATGCTGTTTGAGGAGAAGGAAGAGTTCCTGTTGTGACTATTATTTTTATTAAACATGATAGCCACATTTTAAAAACATTTCTATATCCTCATTCAGGAAAAAAGAGCAATCCAGGCAGTTTACAAAAATGCCCAAAAGCAAATCACAACCAAAGTCATAGTCAAACCTTGAGAAATGCTTTTGAAACCATAAAAGTCATATGGAAAGCCCAATTAAAATGGAATGTCTTGGCCCGTTTCCTGAATGAAGAGAGCAGTTTTACTATTTACTAGTATTGACTTTTGCTCCTATACTATACTACCCAATTTGAATGAAAACTGAATTTTAACAACTTCCCCAGATTGGACAGCTGGGGCCTGTAACTGACAATCCCACCACCAATGCCTTTTAAAGCTGTTAAATGCCTTGGCCAGGCACTGAAAGGATAGCATAGTTAGCCTCAGTGGGGGGATTTTTCCATAATTTGAGGGCTACCACAGAGAAGGCCCTCCCCTTCTTGTTGCCAGTGACGGAGCCTCCCTTGCAAGTGGCAGTCAGAGGAAGGCACAAGATGTTAATGTCATTGTTTTGCCCCCAAGCCAAGCAGGGCTTTATAGATTAAAACCCGCAGTTTGGAAGTGCATAGGTAGCCGGCTTCAAGCAGGCCAAAACTGTGATCATATGTTCAAGCCCTGTTATCTGGCTGCCTCATTTCGCACAAGCTGCAGCCTCTGAACAGCCTTCAAGGAGAGCTTAACAGGGCAGTAACCAAAACCAAGCTATCCTTGCCCAGATAGGAGTACAGCAAGATGGCTGTCCGTCACAAGATGGCCACACACACGGATGGCTTTAAAAAAGGATCGGACAAGAATATCTATGGCTACCAGCAGAACTCCAGATGGTGAGGAATATGGGTTGCACTTGAGTCCTGCTTCTGGGTTTCCTGTGAGCAAAATGCAGGCCTGGATGAACTCATGGCCCAATCTAGCACTGAGGCCCTTCTGTTCATAAGCTTCATGGATTTAAGTAGGTCTGTTCTAATTATGGGACTGCAGGTGGTGCAGTGGGTTAATCCGCTGTGCTGCTGGGCTGGTTGATCGAAAGGTCGCCGGTTCGAATCTGCACAACGGAGTGAGTTCCCGTTGCTCCGTCCAGCTCCTGCCAACCTTGCAGTTCGAAAGCATGCAAATGCAAGGAGATAAAAGGTACCACTTTGGTGGGCAGGTAGCAGCGTTCCGTGCACTTTGGTGTTTAGTCATGCCGGCCACACGACCACGGAGACTGTCTGCGGACAAACGCTGGCTCCCTTGGCTAGGAAACTGAGAGGAGCACCACCCCCGAGAGTCAGGCATGACTGGACTTAAATGTCAAGGGGAAACCTTTACCTTTTCTTCTAATTATAGCAGCATCTGAACCCAAACCCCAGCCCACTGTTCTGATTTAACAGACACTACCTCTAGCAAAATATAGTTTGAACTGTTCTGGTACGGGCAAGGATAGTGTTTTCCTCCTGGGCAGGACCTGGCACTTGCTTTCTACTGCGGGAAGTACAGAGCCCATAAAACATTGGGTAATAACTTGCTGGAAATGAACAAAGGGGTGTTACACACTTGCCCCTGTTCTTATCTTAGGAGGGAACACCCTTTATTGAGAAACATTGATTTGCCAACCTGTACATCACAGTCATATAGCAGGTGTCTCAATGCAACCAGTGGAAGCAACTTCGCATACAATTATCGAGTCACCGCATCAGTTAAGAGCTGCACTAATTGGTTTAACAGATGTTTTAACTGGATTACTGAAGTACTTTTCACAGCTCTCTTTGCACTTGACTGTGTTGTGCGTCTATCTGCTAAGTCCTCTCCCACATGGAAATGGAACAGACTTGGTTCCTGGCTTAAGTATTTGAAAGGCATCCTCTGTTGATGTACACAGAAAGCAGTCGCCTCTGTGGGCCATAAAGGTTTTCACACTTAAGGGCAGGAAAGCTGCGGCTCACACAGGTTCTCCAACCCCTTTGCCCCAGACACCAATGATGCAGTGGCTTCTTTTGTGTAGGTTTCCTCTCCATTTTAGTAGGCAGAAATACCTCTAAGGACTCGCTATTGGAGTTTCTCTGAAATTGAATTTGACTCTCAAGGGGAAGGTGGTTTTACATCGTAAGAGACAAAGCCATGTTGTGTTGACGGACAAACTCTAGTTGCTCAAATAGCACTTTTAAAAGGAAAAAGAGAAACAAATAGATTGGTGGGGGGGATGGAGAGGGAGCTGGTTTGCTCCTTCTCTTAACACTAGTCCTCAAAGGGATTTGATTACCTTGCATGATGCTGATTGGTGGGACAGCCAGGACAGAAGAAATGGACCGATTTCCTGCACACCCCGAAACTATAGAATTTATTTCCACAAGATGTAGCAATGGCTACCAGTTGGGAAGACTTTAAGGGGGACTGGAAAAACTCATGGAGAAGGCTATCCATGGCTCCAGGATCAAGGGCAGTATGCCCCTTTATCCAGTTGCTGGGGAACACGGGCAGGAAGGCTCTGGTTGGTCCTTATGCTCCAACCCAGCACAGAAGTTCTTAAATTCTTGCATCCCACCCTGACATTGCAGTGCCAGAATTAGCACTGGGTGACTCTTGGCCCAGTCACACTTTTTCAGCCTAACCTACCTCACAGGGTTGTTGTACAGATAAAATGGGGGACATGTATGCTTCTCATGGGGGAAGTGGGATAATAAACCTAGTAACATAAACAAAAGTGATTATTGTTCTGTGTTCTTTCAGATGATTCTAGGACAGACTTTTCCTTACTGGTGTCCCCCTTCTTTGAAGAGCTCTGGCATAACCACACTCTTCCTCTGCTTTGCCTTTTCTTGGATGTGCACCCCTCTTGGAAGCCTGTATCCTGGAATACTAGTAGCAAAACATCTCAGAATCAGTTAGACATTGGTGTGACAGAGGCCCATGGAAGATTTAGCATCTGGAGCATATGGCTGGTTCTGCCAGAGGCACCGTTTCAGGGGAAAGCACTTGGCTGTGCAGCTGAAGGAAACAGAAACTTCAGTGCTATATTCCAGAAGAATAGGAAATCGAGAAGTCCAGGTAGAGTATGATTAAAAATAGCTAATTCTGGGGGCTGAATGTATAGGCTGTATATCTATAGAGTTCCCTTGGCAACTTGGTTCACTTTGCTCATTTTAAGCTTGTTTTGTTCATTTTAGGTGGTTTCACATTCTTTTTGGGCATGTTAATAAATAGCTTCAAAACAAAAAAAGCTAATTCTGTCTACCAGGAAATGTGTTATCAGTTAGGATTTTGGAGGGACCTTGGGCAAAGTAGCTTAATGGGTTCTCTCTTTCACCTAATTTTCTGTCTCACCATTGTGGTCCTCACTTGTGCAGACTCCTCATGCTCTTCCTTATCATGGCTACTGTTTGAGAGGAGGGAGTGGGTCAGCAGCAGTGTGTCCTAGTGGTTAGAGAGTTGAACTTGGACTCCGGAGACCTGAGTTCAAGTCTCCATTTGGCCCTAAAGCTCACTTCAGGCCTCCTGACCTTCCTTGCAGGGCTGTTGCAAGGATAAAAACAAAAGAGGACAAATATATAAGCAGCTTCAAGTTTCTGGCACAAAAAAAGGCAGGGTGTGGATACCGCTTCTATTCCTCCTGCCCACTGTTGCCTGGGATGGAGCAAGAACCAAGTGAACCAGCAGGTTGCAGTGGGGAAAAGCAAGGGCAAATCCCGTGAGGCTCTTCTCAGTGGGCCCCCGCTGCAGTGCAGGCCATTGGCAAGTGCTCCATCATGCCTACCCTTGGCGTCAGCCCCAGCTAAGCTCTACTCGGGGCACGTGGTCGTTTAGAGGAACTACCTTCCGAGGAGTTTTAGCCATCCAGGGTGGTACGCGAGAGGAATCTGATGTCCTAGGCAGATGTATATATCTGAAATAAGTACTGAGAAGTCAGTGTGAGCATTATGGGCTAGTAAACTAACACTACTTCTTTCTCTTCCATTCTCTCTCTCCCCATCCCCTTCTCCTTCCTTTCCTTCTACAGAAAACTGCGTCCTCAAGCTGTGTTTGGGAGGCCCCTGGATTCCAATCCTCCTCCTGATTCTGCTCTTGCTTTTTAGGAAGCGCTGTGCCAGAGGTAATGCTCCCATGAGACCAGGGTCCAATCCCTACCTATGAGTCCAGGCAGTGTGAATATAATTTCCTCTTTGTCTCCTGGCTCACAGGCAATGCTGCGCAACCCGCAAATCCCAGACTCATGGGGGAGATCCAGCAGGTAAATGACATCCTTAGAAACTGATCTATTAACAGCTTAGACGGTCAGACCACAGCCTTTATACTCTCCACATCTGGACCACTGGAAGGGATATCCATGCCACCGTTGTTAAAAGGGTTGCCAGGGCTTCTTCCGGAAAGCAAACACAATCTTCCCCCCTCCCACTGGTCCGTACGTGCCCTTTTGTTTCTCTCTCACATCTCAATCCAGCCTTCTGGGGTTACCCAGATGACTCCAACCATTTGCAGATTTATACATGCCTAGGCAGAGAAAAATCCTCTAACTTTCAGCATGCCCCAGACAGCCATGGTCAATATTTATTTATTTGGAATATTTATATGCTGTCCTTCTGCAGAGCCTCAGGACAGCTTACATCAATCAATAAAAATAGTTATAAAAACATAATACAAATAACTTCCAGATCCACCCTGGCTACAGAGTAAAACATAAATAGGTAGTATTAAAAGTTATTAAAATATTGTTGAAATAAAAAGGTCTTAGCCTGGTGCCAAAAAACAAATAATGACGGCACCCGACAGACCTCTCTGGGGAGCTCATTCCACAATGACAAAATCTGTTCTGATACGCCTACTCAAATTCAGTTGCACTTCCCCCAGGTAAGCAGGGCCTACGATTGCCTCCCCAGACATCTATATTCTGGCGATTGCTGTAACTTTCTCATTATTCTTCTTCAAGCCTGAAATGGCAGTGACGTAACCTCCAAAGCAAGATAGAGCCACCCTAGTTTTATCAGATGCAATGTCAAAACTGTTCATCCCGATTGTTATTAACGTGATAAAGTAGGGTTGGGATGGGAACCTCTTGCAATTCAAAGACTAAATTCAATTTCAAAAGTGGGGGCGGGGCCAAAATTACCAGCCTATAGTAGCTGGAAGTTCTTACTGCAATAAGTCAGACTCAGGAGAGAATTTTCAACTTCTCAGAACGGGAAAAGCTGTCTAGATTTTGGGAAACTTTCAAAGGATCTGTGATGGAAGGGGGGGTGGGGGAGACTGTGTGGCTCTCTGGGGTGGGCTCTGCACCTTGTGACAAAGAAACACAGAAGAAAAGCATTGAAAAATAGCAAGGCACAGTCTAGTAGTTTTGTTTTGCTGTTTTTTCCCCCAAAAAACCCATCCTTTTTACTTTTCCATATCTCACTGCAGACAACTTACGCAGAAGTGCATTTCAACAATCAAAACATGGCCTTCACGGATCAATCCCACTTCTCAAATCCAAGTTGATCTTGTTTCCAGAACAAGGATAAATTCAAAGAAAAAGCTGGGATTAACTCTCCTAGAAGTTAAATTTAACATGTAGCATTGATACCACAAGCCTATGCAAGCATATTCAGGAGTTTTACTTGGTTTATAGTAGCAGGATTACAGCTTCAGGTGTCTGTATTTTTTAAAAAAATAAACTTGTACATTCCTCAGTTTGGCTTCTCTTTCATTGACCTGATTTGGCTTGTTTGGGATGGGCTGCAGCCCTCAGTAACCAACAAAGCCCTTGGTTTATTTTCAGGGTTGCTGCGCATCTCAGACCAAGCAGTCTAGGTTTAGATAACATGGCAAGCTGAGCTAATGCAGGCACTTATAGAAATCTGACTAATATGCACCTGGCTATTTATTTCCTGATTTAAAAGGAGGATTTGAAGCAAACCTTAAAAATAGGATAAAAATATAGCTCCACAGATTTGGGTATCAATTATACATAAGCTTCAAAAAACACACCAAATCCCCATGTAACCAAATATCCATCTAAAGTGGGGGGGTCTATATACCACCTATTCCAATATTGAAAATGCCTTTATGTCCTTCATCTATCGCAGTATAAAGAAGGGGGCCAGCTCCAGAAAATGGCAATTTGGACTTTTGGCAGGATGGTAAGACTAGCTCCTCTAATGATGGTATTATCATTTCTACTTTGCAAAGACAACCTCAGTCAAGAGATTAGAGAGAGACCAGGAGAATTTTCAACTTGTGCTTCCTGATGAGGGTGCCATGCTCAAGGACCCCCTCCAAAAAAAATTCTGGAGACAGCATTACTGATACTCATGCATTTAGGTCGAAGTGTACAGTGAATGCTAAGGTGTCTGTTGTACAATGCGCAGCTCTATTTTTATTGATGGAACACTGATGGTTTTGAATATTCAACACCTGGAATTAATCCCTCTCTTAGATGGTCCCATTGCCTCTCTGTACTCTCAGCTTCAACTGTGCAATATGCTTGCTCTTCTAGGGACAGCCCAGAGCAACTGTTTTAAAATGATTTAATGTGCCATCAAGTCATCTCCAATTAATGAGAACCCTGCAAATGAGGGACCTGTCTTTGATGACCCTGCTCAGCACCTGTAAAGTCAAAGTTTGTGGCTTCCCTGATGGAATTGATCCATCTCATAGTTGTGTCTTTCTTCTGCCAATCACTTTCCCTGGAATTATTGATTTCTCTAGTGAGTGTTCTCATGATAGGTCCAAAGAACAACCTGGTTTGCTTCCAGGGAAAGTTCTGGCTTGACTTGCTTAATGATCCATTTGTTAATCCTTCTGTGAGTCCAGCATATTTGCCAAACTATCCTCCAGCACCATGTTTGAAACATCAATTTATTTCCTCCCATCTTTGGTCACGGTCCAGCTTTTAAATATCAAAGGGTAAAAATTTTGCCATCCCTGTGTTAGTCTGGTGCAAATCAAGATCTGTTTTCCACCTGGCGAATCCTGCTTTAGCCTATTTGTAGGACTGGTATTCAGTCTCTGGCATCTGTAGGCAGTCGCCAGCGCCACCTCCACATCCTGCCTGCCCCCGCCCTGTGCTGCTTCCTCCCGTGGAGAGTCACCCTGGACTAGGGTAGCTATATGTACAGCGCCAAACAAGGAAGAAGAGGAGGAAACACGCTCCATCAAAAAGGATTTGCATATGAATATGTGCCCATTTAGGAATAACTATAATTTATACGGAAGTGTGAGACTTCTCACCAGAGCAGAGAAGATTGCTCATTCTTCACTGGAGGTGCTAAGACTGCATGATGTGGGAAGGGGCCAAAGCCAATCAGCAGGGAAGGGAGAACCACTTCGGGCTTTTGAGACCAGAGTGACGCAGCTCCTCCCCTCTCGCCTCCAGCCCAGGTCCCCTGCCCCGCGCTTCTGCCATGCTAGGAAAGGGAACGGATGAGAGCAGCCCAGGTGCCAGCTTCATTCCGGCCCACTGCCACCCCTCTCCCCTCAGTTCTCCAGCAGGCTGTGTCCCCAGGGATATCTCAGGAGCCCTGAAGGGGGAAGAGGGACAGAACTCCCTGCTGTGCTTTATCTTACTTTCTGTGGAAGCCAATTCCAGGGGTTTGCTGCTTTGTGCAGACCCACCGCTTGACCTACAGCCTCAAGTCTCTCCTACTCACTTCTCCTTTTCAGGGCCAGCGTCAAGGGTAGGCACAGCCAGGCATTCGCTGAGGGCCCACATTCCAGTAGGGATCTTCTGACCTCTCATAAACTACATCTTGAAGTTACTTTTGGGACTGCCGATTATGCACCACACACAGAGAGGGGATAAAGGAGGGCTTAGTGCTGCATACAGGTTGTGAATATTGCTTGGCAGGTACAGAGAAAGAATGGCTATAATTTAAACAGTAATACAGCACATCTCACCAGAGGGTGACCTGGGGACGTGTGCGCCTGCCCAAGTGCTGCTACCTGTGCATAGCAGGACTCCCTCCTTGGAGTCCACAGGATCATAGAATAGCGGAGTTCAAAGGGGCCATGGGGTTCAACCCCCTGCTGTTGCAGGACACCAGTTTACACCATCCTACTCAAACGGCTGTCCGGTTTTGCCTTGAAAGTATGGGAGAGCCCATGACTTCTCTAGGCAACTAGTTCCACAGCCGTATCACTCTGACAGTGTGGAAACTTTAAAGAGGAGTTATTCATTTTTAAATAGGATATAGACTGGGGAACCCTTCAAACAGAAGACTGTTTTCTGCAAGCGAAAGCACTTGGCTACCTTGCTTTAAAACCGTTTTAACTGAACCACCTGCACTTAGATAAACCCTGTGACCTGTCTTTGCTGGATAGCAGTCAAGATGCCTTCTTGTAGGAGATCATAAATCCATCCACAGGGCAATTCTAGACATGTCTACACAGAAGTGAGTACCACTGAGTTAAGTTGGATTTACTTGCAGGTAAGAGACTGAAGCATTGCAACTCCAGCATATTACAATCAGTAGGTGTTCTTGTCTAGGTCTGGTAATTTGTCCTACGTGTTTCTGGTACAGCCAGACTTTAAAAACTCTCCTTTCTGCCAGGCGAAACAGGCAATTTCATTCAATGCTAATGAGCACGTGGGCAGCTAAAGCATTTCTAAGATGTAGGTCAGATGGTGTCTTCATCACAAAAGCAAGGGCTATGGTTAATTAGTTTTAAAGGTTGCTCTTTGTTCCTTTAGCAAAATCAGACTTTGCCAAAAGGTGTAATTGCTTATAGATTCTTGCTCATATTTAAAAAAACATTTACAAGGGAAATTTCTTTGTGTGTATTTATCAAGATGTACAGCACCTGCCCTTTGAGAGTTTGTTTCTTTTTCACTTCATTCCTCACAGGTAAGGAGGCACTTTGCAGGAAGTCAAGGAACTCGGTCCTGTGTTTTGGGATTTTAAAAATGAAAAGCTGTCCTGGCAGTGAGAGATTTTAGATATGCTTTGAATCACCCTTCTGTGAATTACTCTAGCTGGGGGAAAAAAGGCAAGTCAGGTGGCACATCACAGCAGTGTATAAAATGATGCATGGTGTGGAGAGTGCAAAAGGGGAAGACATTTTTCTCCATAAAAATCTCATCCCATAAAGCTGACTGTCAGTGGGAGATTCCAAGCACACAAAGAGAAGGGCTATAGAATTTGCTTCCATTTGCGGTACTGACAACTAACTTGGATTCCTTTAAAAGGAACATAAACCAATTCTTAGATATGGAGGGTGCAATTCTATGCACGTTTAGATAGAGGGAAATATAAAATATTTATATTAGATGTACACGCCACCTTTTCCCCCAGTATTTCCCAAGGCTGGCTGGAAATGCTTGGAACTGAAGCCTTTTTTTCCTGTTGAAACATTCACATGATTGCTACTGAAAACTAATAGTCATGGCTAAATATTTGCATTGGTCTGATCCATTCTTACGTTCGGGTATACTAGTTCCCTTGCCACATTACTACTTTTATTCCCAAAATGTAAACTGGGCCAGCCTCTTTTCTGCACTTCAAATCATGATCAGAACAGCCCACTTTTAACCGCACAATATTCCCCTAGCCGAAGAACGCTGCGAGTTCGGAAAGCTTGCAAACCTACGAAAGGAAACACTCTCCGCGCACTTGACTGCTCTATTTTAATTGCACAATATACAATTAACTTATTCAGAATTCTTCTTCCCCCTCCCTTTTCCAACCTCCTTTTTCTCCCGTTAGCCAAGCCACAGCTCTCGTGTGGCTCAAGCGCCTCCTTCCCTTCCTTCTGATTGGCTACAGGCTGCATGGCCCATCCTCATACGATGGCACCGGCCAATCTAAACGATGGCGCTGTTATGGTCCCTTTTTCGCCACGGGCTGCGCCCCTTTCGCGATGCACTCTGGGGGCTGTAGTCCCCAGGGAGCAACCCTACTCTACTCTCTGCTGGGCTCTGACAGCACGTGGACTACCAATCCTGAAATGCACCTCGGTGCACTGGGATTCAACATCTACGCAGATCACTTTGCAGATTTAGTGCCGGAGACAAGCTCGGACGGGCAGGAGCAGGTCAGGACTGCGAAGGGAGGTTGGTGGTGCGAAATCTGCGGTCGCCTATTATTGCTATTTCCCTTTACATACATTTATTTCCCTTGCGAATGCTCTACAAGCATTTTAGGGGAAAGGAAGGCAAATGCTCCCCATTTGGGGGTGTGAACGAAAGCTAGACAGGAAAGGAGGTTTGGATTCTTGGCTCCTCTCCAGAAATGCACGTGATAAGAACTGCCTTGCTAATTGTTATTTCATTGCATTTATCTCCCCTCCAGATGCAGTCCAGATAACTTACTGCTCTGCAACAATATCCATATGGTATAGGGGTTAAAAGCATGGAACTCAAAAAGTCTGGGTTCTAATCCTGATGCCGGCATGGGGAAAACCCAGACTAATTGTACTCTGCAGGGTTGTTGTAAGAATAAGAATGGAAAGGAGGACTACGTAAGCCATCTTGGATTCCTTAAAAGAGGAGGGGGAGGGGGGACGTAAATGTAAGATGACAACCAGAAGATGACAACACATGTGAATACATCTCTAACAAACCAAAGCACAAGGCTCAACACAGTCTCAAATATATATATATATGTGTGTGTGTGTGTGTGTGTGTGTGTGTGTGTGTAAAACAGGCATGGGTTAAACCACACAAGTGGCATTTACTCCATATTTCAGCAATATTGACTTTTCCAGAATGATAGATACTGAGGAGAAGGGTGTAGCTCTAGCTTGTTCAATTCATAAGTGTAACCTAAGAAAGCTAAGCAGAGTAAAAATTTCTGTGTAGCCAGTCTCATCATCAAATAAATCATGTGCAAGTTCATGCATTAGAGGGCAGTTCAGCTGTACCAACGTTAAGCAGAAATGCTGATGGTTGGTATTCTACTGTATCCGTTTCCTGCTGCCATGTGCCACAAACCAAGATGACAATAGGCACTTTCTCAGACTAATTCTGATCATAACAAAATGTTTCAATGGCTCCAGAGGCTGCTGTGACAGGATAAACCAGTTTTGGGCTACAGCTCCCATCAGCCTCAGCCACCATGGTTGTTCAGAGGGTCTGGAGGGCACCACTTTGGTGAACTTTTCTGGAGGGTCCCCGGACTTTCATCAAGCTGGCGTTCCCTGAGTCGTTTTTAATGGGTTTTGGTATGTTAACTCCAGGTGGATAACTCCATTATTTAAGCTCTCTCTCATGTTCCAGGGGGAAGAATGAGTGAGAATGGAATGCAGAAGGTGGCAGCCACGGACAAGGAGCAATTCGTGGGGTTCTTTCCACAGGTCGTCAAGGACCTGATGGAGGATGAACTCCATCAGGCAGAAGTAGCGGATGCTGTGGCCAGGCTGAAGAAGGTGAGGCCCAGAGCCAAGCGAGAGCTCTGAGGTGGGGTGGCCGTGCTGGATTGTGGATGAGGAGACCACATTCTTGTCCCTGATTAGCCAGGAAGCTCATTGGGTGATGTTGGGCTAGCCAAGGACCCTCACAGCCTAAGCTACCTCACAAGGTGAAAATAAGACAGAGAGAAGGATTTTCTCGAGGCCTCCTTGAAGGAATGTTGGGATGGATGAGCTGAAGTTGCCTCCATCCAGGCCCCTTTAATCTCTTTCAGCCAAAGGGCCAAATTCTACATTGGAGAAGCTCTAATAGCATTGGCAAAAGGGATGGGCCCAAAACACCCCCAAATTCTACCAGAGTGGAGCATAACACCCTGACTGCCAACTAAGGAGCATTACAGCCTTTTATATGAGTGGAGAGGCACAAAAGCCAGAAAACCACCAAATGGGCAGAAGCGAAACAGCAGGACTGTGGTTGTCGAGGTGGGCTGCCCACAGCTGCTGTAATCCGCAGCAAAGGAGGCCTTTCTTTATGGGCAGCCTGAAATACAATGGTTTGGTTGTTTTTTTTTCCCCCCCACACACAGGTGCTAGAATACAATGCCGTTGGTGGGAAATATAATCGGGGGCTGACTTTGCTTTCTGCCTTCCGGGAGCTGGCCAAGCCAGACCAGCAGGATCCGAAGAATATCGCCTGTGCTCTAGCTGTCGGCTGGTGCATTGAACTGGTGAGAGTTTCTCTGCTGTTTTCTGCCATGCAGTCAATAGGAAAGCCATTGTGGCCTTTAAGTATGGGTATGTCCAAATTCTATAATTCGTGTCCTCTGTTGGGCTTCTGCTGGCCAGAGGGAGCACCAAAACCCACGCAAAGCATTTTACCCCAGCTGCATTTTTAAAAATCCTTTTTGCAAATTATCTTTACAACTGACACTACCAGCAACAACCTAGCAAAGGGAGTTGATAAGTTGGACTATTCTACCAGCCCTGCTACAAGACCTGCTTCTTTCCCTCTTTTCATCCCTTTTCTGGCCAGTAACTTCTCCAACTGCATTTAAATGTCTTTTTTCCTTGTTTAGAAGCTGATCTCCTAGTTATTGGAAGGAGCCAGGAGCCAGATAGAGGTCCATTTCCTGCAATGCTAGAAGATTTCCCTTTTGTTTCTCCCTATTCTCCTTTTTCCTTGCATGTCACATCATTTTAGATTATAAGCCTATGGCCCAGAACTGTCACAGGGCTTTCTGATTTTCTATAAACTGCTCTAGGAGCCTTTTGGACCAAAAATGAGATACCAAAAAGTCTTTAAATTAAAAAAGTCACTAGTCCTAGCCTGCTGTCCCTTACATGCCAACCCTGAGACATTTTATTCCTTGAAGGGAATCACTGCCCCCTTGCCTTGTCTGTACGGAGCAGAGCTGAAATGCTTTTTTAGAGGGGAAACTTCCTTGCTGTTTCTAATGGTCAGTGTAGTTGGAGCGCCTGGGAGGGGCTGCTCAGTGTGAGAGGCCCAGGGGTGTGGACATGGTAAAGGGTGGCTCTTGGAAAAGGGCCTGCATGTCAGATGGTTAGGCCTGCAGACTGATGGTTACCCATTATGGCAACATGATCGTATTAGTAAACAAAGGAAGCAGCGGGGAAAAATGACCGTGTCCAATTTGGTTGCAGCTTCAGGCCTTTTTCTTGGTAGCAGATGACATCATGGACTACTCAGTGACACGCCGGGGGCAGCCCTGCTGGTACAAAAAGGTAATTGGAACTGGGTTGCTCACCCCTCGGGCTGAGATGGGTCACTTTTCCCCCTTCCAGTGGTCTTGGGTCATCTCTAGAAAAAGCAGCTGCCTAATTAGACAGGTGTTTGGCTCATACAAGCATAGAAGAAGAGAAGGGGCCAACCAAGCATCTCGGGACAAAGAATCCTATGATGTTGGTGTCTCTACAGAGAAGACTGTTGCTCCTTTGACCATTGGCTGAGCCTTCACCCTACCCAGGATAACGAGGAGGGCTTCTCTCTTGCACTGCGGAATGAGAGCAGACCAGTATGGGCAGGAGCTGGAGCTCAGTGGTAGAGCCCTAATTTTGTAAGCCACTCACCAGTTCAATCCCTGGAAAAAAAACCTGTATGAAATGGTAGAGAGCCTTTGCTGCCATCAGGGTAGACAATCCTGGGCTAGATAGACCCAGAGTCTAGTTTCTTGGTGGTGGTCTTTAAAGTATGAGATGGATGTTTCCTACCCAGAGGCTCGTTGTCGAGGGACCCCCAAGGAGCAAACAGGCTCCTGAAAAAGGACAGTGCTTGCAACTGGTGCTAACAGCACAGGGCAGCAGGTCATTTGACATAAAATGTAAAATAAATGTCGTAAAGGAATGCCTGCTTCCATATTTGCCCTCCCGCCCCTTGAGATCAGTGGCAGAGGCCCTCCTCCGGGAACCCTCTGTGAAAGACATTAGGAGGCAGAGGAGGGCTTTCTCTGCGGTGGTGCCCCACCAGTGGAATGCGCTCCCCAGAAAGGTCCGCCTGGCACCGTCATTCTTTGTTTTTCAGCACCAGGCCAAGACCTTTTTATTTAAACAATATTTTAATAACTTTTATTTATTGGTTTTAATTTTACAGCCAGTGTAAATCTGGATTTTATGTGTACTATATGGTTTTGTTTGTTTATTCTATGGAAGCCGTCCTGAGGCTCATTCGAATGGGATGGCAGACAAAAACTCCAATTGAATGAATGACATAAAAATGCACTGTCATTTTTACCAGGGCAAAAAACTATGAATAGGAACTGTTCATAGTGACTAAGGCTGTGGTTCTCTATTCTCTTAGCTGGGAGCAAGCTGATATCAGTAGGATTTTGGACAACCTGAGAGCCACCCTGTTGGAGGATGCTCAGACTCATACAGCCCAGTATTTTGTCTTACGGAGCTGCATTACATCGTTCTAATGATGGGCTAGGTGAACATACCCGTCCTTTTTCACTGCACTGAGAGCGCTGGAGGGAGTGTATGTCAAACTGCCAGCAGGTAGTGGATTGCTGGTAGTGTACACCTATTCTTAGTTACAAGCCCAGAGTGTTTAAAAGTAAGTTTTGTGAGCATCTTTGGCTTGAATGAGCCGTGCTGGTCTCATTCCGCTCTCTTCTCTCCTGCAGGAAGGAATCGGCCTGGATGCTGTGAATGATGCTTTCTTGCTCGAGGCCAGCATCTATCGGCTGCTGAAGCGATACTGCCGCGGTCAGCCATATTACCTAAACCTGCTAGAACTCTTTCTGCAGGTAGGTTTCGGCCCTGTGCATGGTCCTCGCCTCAGTGCAGTCTGAGAGAGCTTCTCCTCTCCTTGATAGAACCACCCTTCTGTTGTAATGAAAATCATTTCCCCTTCTGAGGCTGGGGAGAGGAAATCTGGGGAGACCCACAAGCTCCATTGTGTCTGGAAGGCTATTTTTGACCTATAGGCAATTTGTACCCTGGAATGGAAAGTTACACCCCTTTGACTTCACATCCTTCAGCTGCAGAGAAAACCTCTCTGGTCCCTTTGGGAGGTGTGCCATGTTGCTATGCCTCATTTAGCTGATATGCCTTTCTTTACTTATTGATTGTTCACCTTCTTTATTTAATCCTATCCTTAGAAGTTGGGCTGCATGGCATGCAAGTGCTGCTCTCTGTCCCAACCTCTCTTATTTCCTCTCAATAACCCTGTCAGGGTGTTGACATCGACTGGCCCTGATGAGCTTCATGGCTGAGCAGGGATTTGAACCAAGCTCTTAATCAAAACTGGTTGTCCCATCTTTAAGGTTGGCGGGAAAAATTCCTAGAATGACTGCAAAAGCCCCAACTTTGTTGCTCTGATGCCTTCTCATATACCCCTTCCGTCCAACACCTTAACTGACCTTGAGTCTTTTCTAAAACACACCCCTTAGTCACAGAAGCCAAGTCTTTAGCCTATAATGAACAGGAATTCTATTTCTCGTGTGTGCGTGTAGGGTTCAGAAGTCATGTCCCTTTGAATAGGAAAGAAACCAGTCCTTTTTCTCTCGTTTTGGCATGCTTCTCTCTGTCCCTCGCTCCATTCATTGTCTTTTTCCTGCTTCTCTGCAGACATCATACCAAACTGAACTAGGGCAAGCCCTAGACCTTATCACTGCTCCATCATCCAAGGTGGATCTGAACCGCTTCACAGAGCAGAGGTAAGAAGCAACTGGAGATTTCGGGGGTTACAGCTCTTACCATCTCTAATTTTTAGTTGGCGTTGAGGTCGAAAACATCTAAAAAGGACCAGTTTTCTTATCCCAGAATTTTAAAGCAGAAGCATGCAGCTCCTTAAGGAACAACACTGATTTAATTAATACAACTCAATTATTGCCTTTTTTTTTTTTTTTTTGCTTTCAAGGAAATCAAGGCAGCTTACATCATTCTCTTCCTCCTTTCAATCTTTTCCTCACAACTATCCTGTGAGGTTGGTTGGGCTGAGTCTGTATCTAGTCCAAAGACACCCGGTGAATCCCATGGCTGAGTGGGGACTAGCACCCAATCCAGCGTTCCGAGTTCCAGTCTCGCACTCTTAACCACTACACCACACTGGTTGCCTAATAGGCCCTTTCTAGTGCCACTGTGCAAAGCCCTGAACAACTTAAGACTGGGGTACCTGACAGAGCCCTTTCTTCTCTACCCACCTGCCCAGTAACTGAGGTCATCTGAGGACAATCTCCTGGTGGTTCCACGTAGATTTAGGGCCTGACTGGAGTCCATCAGGAGAAAAGCCTTCAGTGCTGTGGTCACATTCCTAAGGAACTCCCTGCCTCTTTTGGACAAGCAGGGCTCCATCACCACTCCATTGTTTTCAGCACCCGCTGGAGACATCTTTGTTCCAGAAAGCCTTTCTTGCTGACCAGCCATTGTTACAACACTATTCCGTTTCAGTTCTCTCCTTAATGTTTTATCTTTTTACTGTTCACTGCTCAAGAATCTGCATAGGTGTGTAGTACACAAATGCTGCAAGTTAAATAAGTAACACAATGTTGTGGAAGGCCAAAAAGGCACTACAGGGCTGGAATGGGTTTTAAAGATTTCTTTTAAAGATTTGGTGACATCTGCAAAAGCTGTATCTCTGCAATGAAAGGGTTTTTAATGAAGGCACATTTCCCCCTGATATGTAAACATTTTGAGCCGAGTATCCTTTTTTTTGGAAAGATGTGTCCGGGCTGGCTGAAACCCTGAGATTTCTGCTCTGCGGCTTTGTTGTACATCCCTTGTGCAGAAGGCAAATGCTGATCTTTTTAGTCCCGTCCCCGCAACCTTCTCTCTTGCCACTTATCTGTCCCGAGTCCATCCCTTGTTGGCATGACAGTGTGACAGAAGCCTGGGAAGAGAACTGACTATGTATCATAGAAGTCTCAAGAAATAAAGCAAAACATTTAACATTTTTCATATCGCTGACCTGGGACCACGGCTCTGTTCTTTGACAGGTACAAAGCGATTGTAAAATACAAGACAGCCTTCTATTCTTTCTACCTCCCAGTGGCGGCTGCTATGTATATGGTGAGTAACTAATCAAGCTGTTTCAGAGGGCACCAGCAAGCATCAAAGGGGCTGTGTTGAGGCGTGTCTGGATTTATTTATTAAAAACATTTATTTATTAAAACATTGTTATGCCATTCCATTTAGATTTTTGCTGGGACTTAGTTCTGCAATCTCAGTGCCAAGACTTTCCCTCAAGCAGGGAACAGGGGGTAGGTCCCTCTTCGATAACACTAGGGGTGCAAAGGTATTTCTATAAGAGGAAACAGCTCAAGAGTACCAGCATTAACATTTATAGCCTTCACCATTCCCCTCCTTACCTGGGAATTGTAGACTCGTCCCTGTGCATCCCTGTAGTGGTAATTCTGGTCCTCGCTTGCGTATACATTTTCTCTCCCTCTCCCTTTCAGACTGGCATAGATAACGAAGAAGAACATGCTCATGCCAAGACTATCCTTATGGAGATGGGGGAGTTTTTCCAGATCCAGGTACAATTTTCTCAAGCCACTTAGGGACCATGGGGCTGAGACCTATAACATTGGATTAAGATACAGGATGTCAGAATTCAGAGGTGGGGAAGCAATGCTAGACTCTCATCCCCTATTTTTCAGATCATTTTCCCATTCTTTCCAAGCTTAGCCCCATGAGGACTAGAACCTTAGGAGTTGTTTGAAATTGGGGGTGCTAAACCTCTGAGAATCAAATTAAGTTTTACAGGTGTCCTCAGGCCAGCTGTGGTCCCATGATGGGCTAGGTCAAAATATAAAGAAATTAGGACCCAAAATTTCAGAAATATATTTTGGAATGGGGTGGGGGGAACCACATACAAAAGCTGGAAACTCACCAGCCAACTGGTGGTTGGGAGAAAGGGGGTCAAGCCCAGGAAAGGGGAAGGATGTGGCCATCTGAGAAACCCAGGAGGACCAGACAGGCTTGGAGCTCAGCACCACTGTAATGAATCAGAACTCCTTAGGTGCCATGTAGAAGACAAATCCCAATTTCACATCAAATAATTTGTGCAGCTTAGAGGTGGGTGAAGCTTCTTATTTAAGGCTATTAAACTCTAGCGGTGATTCCCTCACTAGCCTGAAGGGACAGAGAGCAGTATGTAATCTCAAACACAAAGCATGACCTTGGATTTTAATTGGAATAGCTACTCCTTTGCTTAAAAATCCTTTCTGCTTCCCCTTCTCATAAAATAAAAGCTGCATAACTGGGGAAAGGACAGGAAGAGGGTGACATGGCTGCATTTTTTATTTATTTATTTATTTATTTAAAACATTTTTATGCCGCCCCATTCGCCGAAGCCTCAGGGCAGCTTACAATATTAAAAATAATTATAGTTAAATTACAAAAAATATAAACATTAAATTAAAATACAAAAATACAATATAAAATAAGCCGGAGAACACAGTTCTCAGGAGAACACAGTTAAAAACTCAACCCAAACACATTAGTCTCCAATCCAGCATCAGGGAATTGCTTTGAAAACAATTTTTCTTTCCACACAGAAACTAGAACTGACAAAAAAATTGCTGACCAGACTCTAATTACTGTACAGAGCTGAGTCCTATGGGTTAGATCAGGAGGTCTTCCTGAAATAAGTGTTTTCAGGAAGCATCAAGGAAAAAAACCCACAATGCATTAAAAATAGGCTTAAAAAATCATGATCAGTAACCAGGAAGTGTTTCACAAAACAGAGGTAACTTCAGCAGGCACTGAAAGCAACAGTGTTCGCATTACCTTCAGATTCAGGACATTTCCAAGAAATGGAGCCACTCCCTGAAGACTCTAGGCAAAGCTGAGTTGGACCATAAATCCACCTGGAACCTCTGGGGGAATGTCCTCCAATTAAGTCAGTGACAGCAGGTTGGTAAAGGAGTAGACAGTCACTTTATTCCCAGCTCATTTAGGGATTTATATATCAGGACCAAAACCTTCAACCTGCCCCAGTAGCAAGTAGACACCTATGGAGTTCCCTCAGCAAAAGAGTTATGTACTAAATGCACCTTTTGGGATGAATCAGGTGCAACAGGTGGTACTCTGGGCTTGGAAAGCTTACAGCTAGTTTTAAATGTGTTTTTACTCTCCCTAAATAAAATCAAGCACACCATGTGGGAGGAAGTCCTGGATTCGGTGCTCACTGATTAGCCCAGCTGGTGCGCGTTTGCCAATTTGGGCTTCCCAGCTGAAGAGGATTCGTCCCTCTATTGCACTGCTGAGGACTAGGCTTGCAATGTATGTAGTGTGTATTGGGGTGCCTGCAGCTGCCGAAGTGTCGGCAAGGGCCCCATGGTTGGATTGTAAGCTGCCCATTCTGTACCAGCAGCAAAATGGTTACCAGTGTTTCTCTGATCTCAGTTTAATGTGTTGGTTTTGATCTTTAAAGCCTTAAAGTGACTAGGACCAAATTACTGCATAGGTCAACACAGACCACCACACTGAAATGGAGGCCGTTCTTTGTCCTGGGCATGCTCCATGTTTCCTGTCCACTCGGAGAGCGTGTGTGAAGGTGGTGCTGTGGGAGTTGGTGTTTTTTGATGTCCTGTGTAATGGTACGGTTCTTCCTGTGTGTAGGACGATTACCTGGACTGCTTTGGGGACCCCGAGTTGACTGGAAAGATTGGCACAGACATCCAAGACAATAAATGCAGTTGGCTGGTTGTGCAGTGCTTAAAACGAGCCTCACCAGAGCAAAGGCGCCTCCTTGAGGTAAAATGAGTGGGTGGGAGATTGGCTAAGTGTATCCCCCCTTCTCTTTATCCATGGATGGGGAGCTTGTGCCCACTCGGTTATTCTCAGGCTACAGCTCCTGCCTTTCATGAACACTGGGAGGAATGTTGATGGAGGAAGAGACGACAGGGTTTGCCCTAGTGCCCAGCAGTATAGGCAGAACGAGAAAAGGCTATGCAAGCTGAACAACAACCCTGCAAAGTAGGCGGCTGCCACCACCTGTTACATCCCCTTCAGCTTGAGCCAGGGTTGCTCAGACTTTAAAAGACACCCCTACCACTTGAGATAAAGGCGCCCTTCGTTTCAAGCTGATGCATTTGAAATGGTGCTGGAGGAGAGCTTTGCTAGACTGACTGAAAGATAAGCAAGCAGGTCCTGGATCAAATGAAGCCAGAATTTTCCTTATAAGCAAAAGTGGCAAAGTCCTGCCCTTGGGAGGCTGAGAGCTCCAGCACCATCTGGGACCAATCCTTTTTTAAATATGCAGTGGTGCCAGGAGGAGGCCTGTAGCTGCCCGAATCCTGACATTATTTCCCCTACTAGAAAAACAAAGCTAAGCCCCTTCCCCATTTAAGGTCTGAGTTTTTCAGGGTGCCCCTTGAAATACAAACAACCTGCACATACCCCAAGTCAGAGGACCTCAGCAAACTTTCAGGGTCTGGGCAGGAAAAGTCAAGGCAAAGGACCTGAGATTGAATCAGAATCATAAACCATGATAAGGCCAAAGTCGGGGGCCAGGAGTGCATATAAGAACACAGACACATTTGTAAGTGAGCCAAGAAATGAGGAGAAAATAGCACAGGGAGTAGGTACCTGATGCAGGATGACCAGGCAGGATTTGGGAGCAGCAAAAACTGGGGCAAACTAGGCAGGAACTGACAACAGCAAGCAGGGAAAAGCCTTCCTGTGGGAGAAGCTTATATAGAGTTCCCTCAGCTGGTACTGATCAGCTAACTGAGCGCTTCAGCTGGGGCCGGACCGATCCTGCAAACACTGCAGTGATTGTTCTAGTTCTGGCCACCAGATGGCGCCCTGCAGCTACCCAGTTCCTGGCAGCCCCCTCCCGATTAAGGAAAAAATAGTCATGGCCGTTTGCTATGGATTTTATAAACATCCTTTTCTTCCACCTTTGTAGCATCTGCCAGCATGCACAATCTTTCACGCAGCAAAAGCAGCTCCGAGGCCATAACCCCAGCCTTCCTTCCAGACAAGTTTGGACTGCAACACGCAGAATTCCCTGTCAGTGGCGCTACTGGATAGGAATTCTGGGAGTTGTAGTCCAAATGCCTCTGAAGGCCACGTGGTTGGGGAAGGCCGCTATGACCACAAGAAAGGGATTTTTATTTTATTTTATTTTTGACAGAGTCCAACAATGTCCAGGGAATCACAAGTTCCCCATCCATGCTTTAGACATGTGCGTATTGTGTTGTGGTGTGTGTGTGCTGGGTGACTGGGTCTTTGAACTCTTGCCTGTAAAATTTCATAAAGAGCTTGGCTGTCCATCAGGTGCCAAAGTGTTCTTTAAATTCAGAAACAGCCCAATACAAGTTGCAACAAATACTAATAAATGAACCACATTAATCCAGATTATAAAAGAGAGGGAAAAGTTACTTTCCCCCCATATGTTGTATGAAGCCAAAAGTGGAAGAAACACATACCAGAGGGTGTAATGGGATCAAGTGTTTGAATGTGATACAAACACTGGAACAGTCACATTTTAATAGTATTAAAAGATTTAACGCACTGGATTGTTGAAGCTAATCTTAATAACAAAGTAGAAAGATATCCATACGAAAAGCCCCAAGCAAATTAGATTGCTTGCCAGGAAATAATGAAGGCCTTAATGTCAACTCTTTTAAAGTTGCCACAAGATTCTGGGTGGGTTTGCACAGCCATTTTCAACACTGGGTGAAATAGAGAGCCAGGGTGGTGTAGTGGTTAGAGCGTTGACCTGGGACTCAGGAGATCTGGGTTTGAGTCCCCACTTGACCATGAAGCTCCCTGGACGACTTTGGGCCAGTCACTGACTCTCATCCTGGCCTCCCTCGCAGGGTTGCTGTGAAGATAAAATGGAGATCATGTCAGCTACCTTGGGTCCTTTGCAGGAGAGAAAAAGACAGGATAGAAATATATAAATAAGCCACTGCAGTTTGCAGCATTAGCCGCACACTTGTGGGGGCTCATTTGGTCACCAAACTCCTGCTTCTAGGCAGCCGCCTGGGTTCAAATTACTCACAAGCCATGCCACTGAGGGAAATCTAGACCCAGGCAACCAACACGCACCGTGGGGGAAATAAACTAGCCTGCCTGTATGTTCCTGCCTCGCCATTAAGATCAGCTACAGAGGTCTCCCACTAAAGAAGTAAAGGGGGCAGTAAACAGGAGAAGGGCCTTTTCAGTAGTGGCACCCCATCTTTGGAATATGCTCCCCAGAGAGGTACACCTGGCACCATCTTTGTTATCTTTTCACCACCAGACGAAAACCTTTTTATTTACTAGATATTTTCAGAACTAAAGCATGGAAAGTTTTATATACCATCCTGGGACTTTTTAGTGAAGGACAGTATATAAAAGCTTTAAATAAATAAATAAATAAATATCTACATTTTGATATTGCTTATTGTTGCTACTGTACTGGGGGCAGTAACTTTTCTACTGTTGGAGTTATTTGCTGCTCAGCATTCTTAGTGCTTGTTCGATTGTATTATTGTTTTATCTTGGACATTTTATCATTTGTATTTGTGTCATAATGTTTGTAAACCACTCAGCCTTGTGGGCTGTGGGGTGGTATATATAAATAGAATCAACAAATAAACGGACAACTGTCCTGAGGTCACTTTTCCTGAGGTAAAATTCTCCCAGCCTAGCCTAATTTGCCTGTCTTTTAATTCTACCACTTTAGGAAAGTTATGGACAAAAAGACATGGATAAAGTGGCCCGTGTGAAGCAACTCTATGAGGAGCTGGGCCTGAGAGACGTTTACCGGGACTATGAGGAGAGCAGCTACCAGCGTTTGTCGGGCCTCATTTCTCAGCACGCCGTCCACCTGCCCGCTCAAATCTTTCTTTGCCTCGCTCAGAAGCTTTACAAGAGGCAAAAGTGACAGGCTTGGCCACTAAAAAAGACGCCAGCCTGGAGTGATAATTCTTTGTTTTCCTTGCCTGGACTTTAGACGTCAGATAGTGGAACCGCTGAAGTAATTTTACCTCATGAGCTAGAGCAGAAAAGGGGCCAGGGTGAGCAATGAAGGAGAAAAATGCCTCCAAACATTTCTCAAAGCATGGCTCTGCCCCTCTGGTGTGAAGGCTGAACATTTCTAGAGGAGTTGTTTTTTTTTCCTTAAAGGGGTGTCTACATAGTAATGTGGTCACAACCAACATGAGAAACCTGTTTTGCAATTTCCCAGCCTGGCTCCTGAAGAAAAGGAGCCACAAATCAATAACCAAGACACTGGAATGTTACAATTCCCACATTTGTTTTAAGGATGGTGGGAAGAGAAACAGCAACTGTATTTAAAAGGTGTTTTCAGAAGCTGGATTTAGACGTAGGGCCAAAGGGAGCCAAATGTAATCCCCAGAGACCCCCCATCTCTCCCCAGCATGGCTTCTGGTTTTGTCAGCAGTAGCAGCCTGGCTATCTCCCTTTCCCTGTTATTCCCCATTCCTCATAAGTATGGATTCATACAACACAATGAGCTACCATGGGTTGTGAGCCACTTTTGTTCCAGGGTGGCTGGGTTGTATGAACCCAGCATCATGGATTGTCAGACCACACATAAGCCACTCAGCAACAAACATGGCTCACAATTCACCATTGTTTATGTTCTGCAAACCCAGTCCTTCCTCTCTGAGAAGCAGGAGTACTTTAAAAACAAAACAAAAGTTTAAGAAACCCTGTTACTGAGCACATGGAGGGGTGGGGAACAGTTTTGCATCTGAAGCACAACTTCTTTTACTGCAAGATAAGTTTGTTCTGTATAAGAGGAGCATCTAATCCATGGCAAGGATTTTTCCTCACACATGTTCTCACAAGTGAGGCAGTTACTTCTTGTTTTGATTTGGGAAGGGAAGGAGAATGAAGTAGGCTTTTTTTCTCCCCAATCTCCTAAAATGTCCAGCACAAATATTACTGACAGACCTTTCCATACTGTTCCCTTCTTAGACAAGGGCAAAACTAATTTGGGACTCCCGAAACAATCCCCGTTTAGGGAGGACATGGGATGACAAAAGGTTCTTCCGCTCTGGAGTAGAATCCAAGGACTGAAATTGTGGGTTTAGGATGGCAACGGTTGTGCCTGTTGTGCGCTTGTGTTAAGATCCCTCTGTCATAGTGGAATGAACGTTCAGGCTGGAGAAAAGAGGGTGTAGCAATAAATTATTTTCTGAAATGGACTGTGTGTCTGTAGTGAAAGTAGGACTCGCACTGTAGCATGCTGAGTGCTTGCATTTTGGCAGATTCATATTCTGTACCAAAAGATATCCATGCCCTTTTTTAATATATAAAAGGCCAGGAGGGATCCAGCAACATGGTTAGCACCATGACCCAGAACTTCCTTGTACTTGTGCAATGAAATTGTATCTGTAAATTAGATTGATCTGAAAAGTTGTGGACAACTGGAACCGCTTTTTATATAGACATTTCCCAGAAGCGAGCTGATCAGTGTAACTTACAGAAATAGAGGTCAAATTGTCCACAACTTTTCAGATCAATGTAACTGAAGTAGTTCAGTTGATGCTTTCTGCAGGAGATACGCACGATTTTGGAAGTTCAATCTGTTACAATTTAGAATAGGCCTTTAGTGTGGTAGGGCCCATTTCTTAGCATATTCCCATCAATACAAGTTCAGTGCTAATCGTTCTGGGCTGCCGGTTTCTACTACAAAGACATCTCCAAACAAGCATGAACAGGGACGTAAACTGTGCATTGCTTAGAACCGTTTAAGCAAGTGATTCATAAAAATTAAGTAAACTTCATAACACAAAAATGATTACAGGCCATCAGGAGGAAAGAGCTTGTTGGAGCCCACTGGCCTAAAGCAACCTTGCAAAGCCAAGTTCCCTCCAGATGTTTGGGGTTCCAATTTCCATTAGCCCCAGACAGCATGGTCAAAAGTCAGCGGTGGTGGAAACTGAAGTCCAAAATACTGGGATGGTATTTCAGGAAGGATAGACTAGCAAGCCATACCACAAAGACTCAGAAGAGGGTTGTGGGTCCTCAAAACTGGCCTTTGGGGCACAAGACTAGGGTGCCCATTCAGCAGATGGTCCCTCCTGACACAGTGGCAGGGTTGGGTCTGCCCCGCTTTGAAATCAGCCAAGCTAGTATATGATCATTGCAAAACAAGCCCTCACCAAATACCAGTGTAATTCCAGAGTCCAACATTACTTAACACACTTGCGGACAAGGAGTGTTAGGGTAGACACCAACGTTGGATTAAGAACATCAGAAAATCCCTGCCATATAAGACCTGGGGTCCATCTAGTCAAGTGTGATGTGCGCACGCTTGGAAAACCCCCCAGCAAGACATGAAGACAAGCGGAGGAAGCTGCCTCTGAAACTGGAGGGCACATGCAGCCCTCAGAATCACTGAAATCAGTTTCCGTGGGTGTGTGGGCGAGATGGAAACAGCAGGAGGTGTAGATATATTGGTGCCTTTCCAGTAAATGGTTGGAAAATGCTGGGGAGCAGATTTTGAACATTGGCAGAGCCTTCGAAACGGCATGACTTGTTCCGCAGTGAGAGAGGCTGCCTCAGGAGGTGGTGGCAGGTTGGCCACTTATGAATCATGGTGGGGGAAAAAGAAATGTTTTCCGGAGGAAAAAAGCAGTTTGTACAAAAATGTGCATATGCTAGTTCATATAGATGTACATTTAGAAAGGATTATTATAATTCAAACACAAATGCAATGCTTTTCACCATAGTGGGGACCAGTTATGTCTACCTTTTCTTTCTACTGTCCAGGAGAAACCTGGAGAAGGAATATTTCCATCACTTTCCTTCAGATGTCTGTCTACATTTAAGCTGGACTTAGATATGAGCCCTTAAACAGAGGCTCAAGCTCAAAATAAAGGACTGCTCCTGAAATAAAGGAATAGAGGATTGTCCTCTGGGTCACCTGACTTCTCTAGGTGGTGAGCTGTCTCCTTTTCTGGAGTTATTTAAGCAGAGGCCCTTCTGTCGTGCAAGATTCCTGATGAGGTTGAGCAGAAGGCTGGACTAGATGACCACTAAGCATCTCACAACTCTTAATTACTCCTTTGCATGTAACAATAACCCAGAATACGGATTGTTGTTGAATTGCAGGGTATTGTTAAAATGTGGGTTGTCATTACTTGTCTATAAAAATATTTGCATACCATTCATCACCCAACAGTTCTCTGAAACAGTTCACAATACTTTTAGAACTTAGAAAGTACCTATAAACAAAAGAAAAAAGTACATACATACCAAATAAATAATGCCAACGGTGAGTTCCATATACCCGATGCATAGACTGTGCCAATCTACATATTAAGCACATATTTAAAAAGCCTTGGGAGAGAATCCTGCACCATTGTTTAAAGGTAATTCACCATGGACCACCCAGAGATCCCAAACAAACAATGGGTTCTTTTTCTGAGCTGTTCATAGTTAACAGTCCATCATTAAACCATATTATAGCATTCACACATACTGGGCTGGCTCCCACAAAACAGCCAGGCCATCCTGCATCCTATTCAGTGAAGGGCAGGATTGTGCCAGGATGGTCCAGCCGCGGAATGGGTTGGATTTGTGCAACATGGCCCAACCACTGATTGCGGGTTGTGTATTCAGATTAGCAGCTGCACCTGCTTGTACGCAGCACAGCTTCTTCTGGGTTAAATAAGCCACCAAGATCTGTGCAAACTGGGTCAAGGACAACTTACAATTCCAAGACAGTCCACCGGGATTTGTGCCTATAAGTCTCCGAGATGTGGGTCCGGGGGTGGTACATCAAGGGTTAAGGTGGGGGCCGTGGTGGTGGCTGTGTGCGTTGGGAGGAGGGGTGGAGAGCCAATGCAATGATGGATAAAGCTCCTCCCAGCCTGGCTGGGTGAGCTCAGCCAGGGAGGATGCTCTAAGCTGCAGGAGCTGCTGGGCTGGACCAAACCCTGCAGCAGAACCTGGCAGAGAGAGAGAGAGAGAGAGAGAGAGAGAGAGAGAGAGGCAGAGAGAAAGGGGCAGCAGGTGAGCCCCCATGGCAGCTGGTGTGGGTGGTTCGGTGCCTCTGGGTGGATTTGGGAAGGGGTGTCTGAGGGAGGGACCGCATTCCCACAGACGTGTGTTTTCTTTTCATCTCCTCCGCCCGCCCCTGCCTCCCCGCCCGCCTGCCGTCTCTTAGCGCTTTCTAGAATCCTGCAATGCCCAACGTAAGATGGGCATATGCCCCCCAGGGGCCGTGTTGTGGAGACCTGGGTCTCTGGCCCCACAACTAAGCATTGCTGCAGAGGTCCCACCCTTTCGGATTGTTTAAGATGGAGGGGGGATTCGTTTCCAGCCCGGAGATTTCCTTGCTTTGCAGTCGGGGTCAAGTGGATGGGGTGGAACTCCCCCCGCCCCCAAACTGCATTGCTGAACCAACCACAGAGCCAAGTGGCCAGCAGACTCACCTCCCCTTTCCCCGCAGATCACCCCTCCCATTTTCTCCCCGTCTTGTTTACAATTCGCAGGAGGCATGGAGGTCCCCCCACCCCAGTACCAGCAGCAGTGGGATTGACATCAGTTCTGTACCTTGTCTTCTTTTCCTGGAGCCTCTGCAGTCATTTGGCTTTTTGCCTGCAGAAGGAGTGGGCTGGAGAGTAGAATAAATACAACAGGATCGCCACCCAGGTTCATGCTCACATTTTCCCGGAGAAGCCATGCAATGTGGCCTCTCTCTAGTCTAGGACTGCTTGTTTCCCAGAAGGCCGATTCAGGCTGGGTTCAAATCCTTGCTCGCATCATCACCTGGCTGATCGTCTCTTCATCTGGGCTGCTCTGCAAGGTTATTGTGAGGAATAAAAATTGGCACCAAGTGCCATGTACGGCCTTCTCTGGAGAGTTGGGGTGGATCCGGGCGAGAAAAATGGGAAAGGGAAAATTGTGGTGGTGCAGGATGTCATCTGCAGTCAGACTCAGCCTGGGGCCTGGGTGCAAACCAGGCTTAGACCTGCAACATACAAAGGAAAAACTGAAAGTAGCAGTTCCTGAGACAGTGCAGAGTGCATCTTTCTATAAGTTTAAGCAGGCAGAGATTTGATTTGCAAGGAAGGTCACTGAATGAGAGAGAAATGTTATTTCAAGGTAAACTTCAACCCATAAATTGATCACTGGGGAAGAACTGCTTTCCAGGTCTCCCTAGCCACAAATAAAAAGACAAGATCCTTTGCATAACAACTCTCTTCCTGTTAAAAGTCAGGGCTGCTTTGCTTCACCAGATGCTTGTAGACAGAATCTATCTAGTCTAGATCATAAATCCTTTTTGTGGCAGAGCTCTGGTTTAAACCTCAAACTGCCAAACCCATTTTAAACACCAGTGTTGAAGCCCATTTTCTTTTGCTACTTATTTTTTGTTACTCCCCCTGAGCCCCGGGGAAGGGACAGGCTATATAAATGGAAAACAAACCACATTTCCTCAGTTTAAATTGACCAGAAATGCAGGCCTGGAATCCATTTTCCCCTATTCTTCTCCATCTTGGATTGCATACCGTTTTTGCCACCCCGGTGTGACTTATGCACTGTTGCCCCTTCTCCCCAATTCCCCACATCCCCCGCCGCCCCCCAGTGCAACAGTTGCTCGATCATGCCTCAGTTTCCCCTCAGTGGCAGCTTGGCCAGTCTCACCTGTAGCTTATCTAGACGAGCTGGTGGTCAGCCTGGAAGCCTAGGGGCTTGCTTTCCTGCACCAACAGCGCCCCTCCCCACCCCACCCCACCCCACCCAGACATGCTTGCAAGAAGAATCTAAAAACACAGGCAAAATATTGATCTGTCCATCACTCTTCATACATTATATATGTCATCTGTAGGTCTTCTATAAAGCTAATGGGCCTTAATTGACCGTTCCAAAGGAGCTCATGCCAGAATACTTAAGAACAGCAGCACTGCCCTGCTGGGTCAGCCCCAGAGTCTGTCCCATCCAGCATCTTCCAACCAGCTGCTCACAAGAAGCCATGAACAGGACAAAAATGGAACAGCACTATCCTAACCATGTTCCCCAGCAACTGACCTACATAGGTATACAGCCTCTGATACTGGAGGAAGCATACAGCCATCAGGTCTAGCAGGCATGGTGGCCGCCTCCTCCTCCTCCTCCTCCTCCATGCTCGTTTAAAGCCCACCAAACCAGTAGTCCACACTACATCTTGTGGCTGTGAGTTCCACAGTTTAGCTATGCATTGCATTACAGCTGGCAAAACTCAGACAATATCTTTTAGAACCACACCTTTCTGGAACTGGGGAGAAGGAAGATATGAGATGAGCCAAAGCAAGAATACTTTTTCTTTTTAAAAAACTTAATCAAAGGTGGGGTATCGTCCCCTTTGAAGTCCCTTCTTTGTCTCTTCAAAGCACACGTTCTTTTGGCTTGCAAACAGTTCTGGTGTTTGAAAAGAAATAGACAGACATATTTTGCATTTCTCCTTACAACTTCAGCCAATTTGAGGTTTCTTTTCCCCTTCTTTTTGGTGGTTAATTTTTAATTGTTTTACAGGGTGGGAAGCTGTATAGGGAAGCTATGATACAGATAGCAAGGAAAAGCAACAATGGTGCAGAGGAAAAGGCGAGTGAGGGGGAAGAAACTTTATTTTCCCCCTGCCTGAATTATTGACAGGAGACAGAAACAAAACACTTTCTTTCTGCTGGACCAGCCTGTCTAGACCCCAGTTCCACATGCAGGGCAGGTCTCAGCCACGATCCACTGAGACAATCCTCCATGTTTAGAGGCAGTCTACTTCTGAATACTGTCTGCGGCTGTCAGAGAGAGGGGACTCGCTTTTCCACATCATGCCCCCCGGGATGCCGCCTCTCACATGCCTCTGCTTCTCACGCTGATGGTGTTTGCTCTCTCCTTGTCTTCCCCTTTCCTGTTCTGGCTTCCACCCCAACCCCCCCTCAGGACCCGGTGTTGGCCTCTCACAGGGAGAGGGATTCCTCCAAGCCACGCTGGCGGTTCAGATCCGCGCGCAGCAGACGGACCGGCGGGCTGCCGCCCCGTTTTTCCTCTCGCGCCCCGGAGCCATGCAGTCCCCCAAGAAAGGTCTGATCTGCAACCTGAACCACGCCCACTTGCAACATATCTCACTGGGGCTCCACCTGTCCCGCCACCCCGAGCTGCGGGAAGACACCGACGCCCTGGCGCTGCCAGGGGCACAGACGGCATGCCCAGACTGCCAGGAGCACGGCAACGGCCCCGAGCTGGTGGATGCCAACTCCAACAACCCCTCCCTGCTGTGCCGATGCTGCGACGCCCACCCGCTGCAGTCCCGGGTCAAACAGGTCCTCCAGAGCCATCCTCCCTCGCCCAACCACCCAGCCTTGAAGCATGAGGAAGAGGAGGAAGAAGAGGAGGAGGAGGAGGCCGGCTCCCCTTCGGACCCGGCCTCCTCCTCTGTGAGCAGCTGCTCGGATCTCAGCCTGGACGACTCGCCCGTCTCCGTGTACTGCAAAGCGTTCCCCGGCGAAGAGGCCCAGAGTCCTGAGAACCAGCCCAACATCGTCCCCCTGGAAGACGCGCATCACGACCTCCCCTCAGCCAGCTGCAAGGAGAGGGGTACGAATCTCAACATCCAGAGGGAACAGCGCCCTGTGTCCCAGGTGTGGGACAGCCCCGATAGCTTGTACAGCAGCAGCTCGCTGGAATCGGCATCCGAAGCGGCCTCTCCCAGCCCGCAAAGCCCAGATGAGGGCGTCCTGGCCGAGACCTGCCGAGCTCCACCGCCTGGACCACCCCCAGTCCGGCCGTGCAGGGCCCCCCCGGCCGTGCCAGTCCCCCCCGCAGGCACGGCTCTGGATTCAAACTGCAATGCCCTGGTGGCCCAGGAAGCCAGGACCGAAAGCCTATTCTCGGGACCAGTGGACATCAATTCGAACCAGGCCCCTCCACCGAGGCCCAAACGGGCAAGTGCGCCTCCCCCCGTGCCCCCCAGAACCAAGCGGGGGCTGCAAGGGCTGAGGCGGGGCGAAGCAGCGAAGCCAACCCCAGCGGCAGCCCCGCCAGAGCTGCCGTCCCGCCAGCCCGAGCTGGAAGGGAATGTCGGCCGGAAGAACATCACTTCGTTCCACGAGCTGGCACAAAAGCGCAAGAAGGTGGGCGCCGTGCCACCCCCACCGCAGGCGAGGAAGGACCAAAGTGACTGGCTGATTGTCTTCTCCCCCGACACCGAATTGCCCCCCAGCCACGAGCTCACCTGGGGGAGCACACCCTGCCCGGAGGCGGCTGGGTCCCTGCCCTCGCACCCCGAGCTGGCGAACCCCGCCGGCTGTCTCCAGAGGGGCGTCACCACGTTCAAAGAGCTGCGCTACCGCAAACAGAAGGGCCAGCCGCCCGTCCAGCCCCTTCAGCGGGCAGAGGTGGACAAGGGAGCGCCCGAGGACTTGGAAGTCCCGGCCAACGGGCACCTCTGGGCCCCAAAGGACATCCAGCCCTGGAGGAAAAAGCCCCGGCCCGGGCTGCAGCCCATTGTGGAGGGAGCCCCTGAAGAAGGAGAGGACGGAGGCTCGGAGCAGGAGCTGCCTGGCCACGGCTTACAGGGCCCGCCCAACGGGAAGAGGGACCCTTGGATGCCGGGGAGGGAAGAGACGGGAGACAGGCATTTCAAAGAGGGTAAGACCCCGGTGCTTCCCACAGAACGCAAGTGGTCCAGGCAGGTGTTGCAGCAAGCTCTGGGGGGCTCTCACCTGCAGCGTGCCCCGAGACAGGTGGGAAGCAGGGGCCTAGGACGATGCTCCAAAGCTCTACCCGGAGGCTCCACGCATGGGCACTCAAAATGTCCTTTTTGTAGCCGGGAGGGTCCTTTCTACCCCCGCTGAGGCTTTGCCCACATAAACCATTCCCCTTGGAGCCGCACGTGGAGGGTGCACCACCACTGAGCTCCCCTCACTTGCTGGAGTCTGAATTTTCCCCGTGGGGGTCGCATCTCTCCCCCACCCATCCTCCTCCGTTGTCCTTGCGCCCCGGTGTTCCACATAACCGACTTACCTTAGGGTAGGAGGAGTTGCCAGGTTTAATTTTTTGAATAGCAGCTCAGCCTACAGGAATCAGTATTTCCCTGCTAGGGACAGATTAAGGTGCATCCCTATGTAAGTTCAGACAGAAAAAAATGCCTACAATTCCCAGAATTCCTCACCTAGCACAGGGGAATGCTGGGAATGGCCAGCATTTCCCTTCTTCCTGTCTAAACGTGTACAGGATTGTGCCCTTAGTCCATACAATTCCCAGAAACTGAGCTGCTAATAAAAGCAGAGGAAGAACAGGCAAGCTTGCTTCGAAGTTGAAAACCTCATACAGTAGGTAACTGCGGCTTTCTCCCCATGCCTGCATGGTTTTTGGAAATTTGGCTTATTATGGGAATGGCTTATTTGATTATGGGATGGTGAACGGGACCTAGCAGCAGGCATGAGGTGTTCCTCTGCTACGACTGGGCCAGGCTGAGACTGGGGGAAAGACTGCCTTGCAGGCCGTCACACGGCCCTGGTTTGTATGTAACCACCCAGAATATGGGTTCTTGTTGAATTGTGGGTTGCTTTTCGGTGTGAACCTTGCACGGCAGCTTGACTTTGGGTTCTTCACCACGAGCAACGCAGCAACCAGCCGCGGCTTCTCTCCTTGCTGCTGCATTCGCCAGCCGTTCTCGCTCCTCATCCTCGTTCGCATTATCGCTACCCTCTCGCTTGCTTGCCAGCCAGACAAGGGGGAGCACGGGGGCTGTTGCAGCTCCTGGCCCTGCTGGAGGAGGACCACCTCCCATGGCGGTCCAGGCCAGAGTGAAAGGTCAGGGAGCCAGCAGGCTGCAAAAGGCGGAGAGAAGGACCAACTCTGGGGGTGTGAGCCTTTGGTCCCACCTGGCCTTGAGGAACTAGCCAAGTCCCAAGCAAGTTTTGCTCCCTGATCAGGGCTGACTTTCCACAGCCGGAGCTTCCGGGAAGATCCACCCCAGGCTGGAAAGTTTCTGCTCCCTGGACTAAGGCTTCCCTTCAGTGCTGTGACCCTTAATTAGTGAGACGTTTTCTAACTTGGGATGGACATCTTCTGCACCCCCACACCCCCCCGATGCTTAGGCCAACAATTCCCATGATCCCTTGCCATTGACTATGCTGGCCAGAGCATGCTGGGAGTTGCCAGCCAAAACATCTGGAAGGCCACAATTTGCCTGCCCTAAGGGATGGATTGATGAAACATAGCACCGTTCAGTCAAACAGGATGTGCCAGACCGCGAAGGACACCCTGCCCCAGCCCCCCCACTGCATTTCACCTCTCCTGTTTTTGCTCTTTGCATGCCATCATTTCCTGGTTTTGCTCTTGCTGCTGTTTCTGGACCAGAGCTACCCCTCGCATCCTTTGTGGTCATGCTCTCTTGTGTAAAAAAAAAGAAAAAATAATTCAGTGCTGTGAGCAGAACTCTAAGCATGGCTTGCAGTCCTGGGTTCAAATTCCATTCAGCCAAAAGGCCCAGTGGGTGAAGCTCTCTCTCTCTCTCTCTGAAATACCTCCTTCAACTGCCTCACTGGATTGTTGCTGAGTTAAATGTGGCTCAGTTCCTCAAAGAAAGTCAAGATTAAGAACAGAAGCAGGGCCTGGACACACAACATCTACATGCAACACTTCCATCACACTATCCTTGGACTGGAAGCTCCTGTTTCCTGGCAACCCTGCTACCAGTCAAGCACACAAATGCTGTATTTATTTGGCAGGTTTTCTGCAAACAAACAGGTGGAGTTTCTTGTAGGCTGTGTCTTGCATTTTTCTTTGCCTTTTAAACCACCTGTCGTTCTGAAAACAGTGTCTAGAAGCAAAACACCCATTGAAATTCTTTCTATTCCACAACTGTCGAAGGAATAGGAACCTGATTCCTTTGCATTTGGGTCACCCTAACCATGAAACAATCCTCTAAGAGAGGTGCATACAAACAGCAGTTTCCCTTTCAAAGCTCCTTCAACTCTCCAAAAAACCAAAGCAAGACAAAACAGAAAACAAGTATTGTCTGTTACCAGAGCTCCCCTGCACTCAAACAGGTCTTGCAGAGTTTTGTTTCGAGAACCTGCAGAGCCTTTTCATGCTCGAGATGATGGTGAGTCAGATGAAATGTGTGGCTACAGGAGAGTCTCCAGCTTTGTAACACTCACTGGGAAACATAACACCTGCAAAGGGAAAGAGAAACAGAGAGATTAAAAAGTGTGGTTACTCTGATTGGTTAATGTGGTTGTCAATCAGGAGTGGGGGGGGAATCCACTCTTCCTTTCCCCCATTCCCCCCCCCTCCCGAAAGGAAGCAGGAAACAAAGGACAAGTTTCTCTTTTATACTCCTATGTGTCATTTTCATTTTCTGCAAGCAAAACGGATCCTATTTCTGTCCTTCACTTTCTCAACTGGTGAGAGGTCAGGCAGGGGGTGGAATGATGTGCCAGCTTTCCTAACAGAAAAGGGAGAATCTGAGTTTTTGCCAGGGGAGGGGGAGGGGGGTTAGGGTAATGTAAACTTTGAAAATGTCAAGGCAGCCGGGCTGTCCATAATGTTGCTTTATGGGTGGCGGGGGGGGGGGGGGGGCTCCCACTTATCCTCTGAATTCCCTGCATATTCTGGCCCCGCAGCGGAACCTCATAGAGGTGCAAGGGATCTCTATCTACTGGTTATATCCAGTTTAGGAGATCTTTGGCAAAGTCTCCCAAGTTTGACAGCTCCTTTGCCCGAGTTGAAGCCGCAGCCCTGAGCTCGCTCCTTAAGGTCAGTGAGGTTTGCTGCCGAGCAAACATGCACAAGTTTGCACCGATAATCCCCTCGAGCAGGGAGGTGACAGAAAACCAATTTCCAGATGCTTGGAATCTCGACTCCCAGCATTCCTGATCAATTGGGAATTGGAAGTCCCAAACATCTGGGAATCTCCTTTCTGCCCACCCGTCCCACCACAAAGCTAGAGAACCCGTGGCACTGCAGATCTGGATGAATGGCCAATCCGTCTTCCTGCAGCAGTGGCCAAGCTGGCTGGGGATGACGGGAAATAGAATCCAGCAACCTCTATAGGCCCAAAGATTCTCTTTATGCTTGCCAGGAGATTGAATGCAGCCAGGTGGCCAAAGGAGGGAGCTGCATAGACCAAGATGTTCTAGATCCTAATTTCACCTCCATCAGGAACATACATGGTAACCTAACATGGTTACCAGCTGATTTATTTAATGAGAATATTTCTGTCTTGGTTTTTGAACCCAAAGGGTCCATGAAGGGCCTTCGCAGTGAGAGGGAGCCATAATCTATAATTAGACTGGGATAAAACCAGACCAAGCATTTAAATTAGCAATGGAGAAGCAGCTGCATTTGAAAGAATATGAGTAGCAGCAATGGGCCAGAAGCCTCTCTTGGAAAGCAAAGTCTCCTCAAGCGGAAGCAGCCAAATGGCATGAAATTTTGCAGTACAGGGAGAACAGCACCGGCCTCCTCTATAGGAGTGTGATAAGGAAGAGGCCAGTAAGCCACCATATAAATGCAGCACAAAATATTACTAACAGTGTCAGCAATTTTTCAGATAGGATGACCAGGAAAAGGGTCAGCACTGCCCCTTCCCCGCCCACTGAAAGAGCCCCTCTTTTTTGTGTTTGTTTAAAACATTTCTATGTCGCCCCTTTGCATAGCCTCAGGACGGCTCACAGCAAAAGCTCTATTTCTTCACCCCCAGCACACAGCTCTCAGCCCTGCATCAGTAAGGCTTGGCTCAACTCAAGCCAGGCTTCCCTCTCAGCTCCTGAAGTTATTTGTGCAGCGCCAAGTTCCTGTGGGGATATTTGGTGTTGCAAGGGAAGCGAACTTTTTACAAAGCAAGAGACCCTCCACGGTGCTAGTCGTGGGACGAGCGTCCCCACAATTCGCGTGTCTCATGCTCATTACGTATGTCTATTGCGTGACTTCTGGAATTAACATTCTCTTTTCATATTCTTTCCTCCCCTTCCCCTCCTGCCTTCCTTCCCCCTCCCCTACCCTCCCCCAAACCCTCCCCCTTGTTTGGCTTTCTCGCCTGGGCACCGCTCTGGCTGCCATGCTCATGCGGCTGGTCTCGCTTGGTCTGTTGCCTCTCTCGCGATGCTCCCCTTCCTTCGCCCTGGTTCTCCACCATCATGCCCGCCCATCCTCCTCTCTCTCTCTCTCGGTGCCTTCTTCCCTCGCTCTGGTATGGCTTCTCTTCTCTTCCGCCTAATTCTGCCCTGCCACCGCTTGCAGTCAGGGCCCCCCCCACGCACCCCACTCAGCCTCAGCCTTTGCCTTTCCAGCCCCTCCTGGTGCATTTCTCAGTGGTGGACGGCCAGCCCGCGGAGTTTCCCCGCCCGCCCTCTCTCTGCCCCAGCTTGGACAGCGTGGAGCTGGCCTCCCCTGGACCCACAGGCCCGGCTTTCTGCCCCCGGCTCAAGACCCTCTCCTGCGAAGAAGTCTGTCTGCTGGCCAGCCGGCAGGGGCAGGTTTTCGGCACGCTCTCGCCCGAGGAGCTCTTCCCCATCCGCCTCTCACCCATTGGGGCTCATTCTCCTCCCGCCAGGAGCGCTTTGCCCTTCCTGGACAGCCCGGACTTGGCCGTGCTCTTCTCCCCGTTCTTTCCCCGCAGCAGAACCTTCCCTGCCTTAGCTTTTCCACCTTGCCAGGTGCCCGAGCTGCCGATTGGAGCCCCAGGCCCCCTTGACAGCCAGGCTGGACCAGCGGGGCCCAGGAGTGTCTCCTGGGGGAGCATGGGAACCAAGGAATCGGGACCTCCCGAGCAACGTAAGCTGCCCCTCTCCCCGCCCTTCCCTGCCGCAGCCATCACCCCCCTGTGAGGAGCTAAACCGCCCTTCCTCCAACCTGGCGCTATTCAGAGTTTCTGGACCACAGAGCCCATCGGTCACGACATTTCTCCGGTGCTGGCTAAGACTGTGGGGAGACGGAGGCCTGAATATCTGCAGGGCAACACTGATTAGGTTACATGGAATTTACCCACTGGCCTTCAAAGGTGCAATGCCGCTGATCAGGGAAAGAACAGAAAGAGCCGAATCCCTTCCAAGGGAATCACCTGGAAGAAAGCCTTTTCACCATAGGCGAGCACTTGACTGGTTGATTTAGAGTCCTTTTGCCTGCCATTTTAATATGTGTATTAGCTTGAGGTTATGTTGGTGATCTGCGAGGGGGTTTTAAGTATAACTTCTGCCCGAGACCAAGACATACTGCAGCTCAAAATTCAAAGAAGCAAGCTTAGGAGGGTGCGAGAGAGAAACCGGTTGAACCAGAGGAGTCCCCAGAGAAGCAGGTCAGTTAACCGTATGTGACTTTCCATTCCCTTTCCAGTCCGGCATTCTCAGTCTTTTGCTGGTGTCCCGAGCACGGACCATCCGTGGAGGGCAGATACGGACCAAGTCTTCACACAGCTGAGAGAGCAAAAGAAAGGTAAGCTATCTGCACGGAAAAGAGGATTCGCCAACATAACATGTTTGACCCGTGGCACTGCTTAAACCTGCGCCTCGCACCTGTCTTTTTCTTTTCATCTTCCTCTACGGAGGGCTCCCAAGTGCTTCATGTGATGGAGAAGCTCGGTTGAACTTTTCTGGGTGATACACTAGATTTCTGCATGTAGGGAAGGTGGTTTGTTGGCAATTTCTTTTTTGGTGGTCAGGCATTCAAACTTTAAACCTGAAAGTCCAGGAAAAGAAAAACAAGTTTATTTATTTATTATTTATTTAGGAAGCTTCTATGCTGCCCCATTTGCTGAAACCTCGGGGCAGCTCACAACAATAAATAAATATTTATTACTTAATACTTAATTAGTTATTACTTCAGAATTTATAAACTGGGGCTTGCTTGTGCCTTTTCCAGTTGGCCTTCTGGATATGTGCATGAGACGGAGCTGTTAATTCTGGCTACTTTGAGACGAGAGGGAGTTATACATGGAGAGGAACAAGCTGGGTGGAGGACAAGGAAATTCCCCCATCCTCCCAAACTTCTTCCATATCTGGGAACCTTTCCCAACTCCCATCTGTGCCTTGTTCTTTCCATGGCAACTGCTGGTTTGCTTTTCCCCTTTCATTCTTTACAACCTGAAGGACAGCCAGAGAGATAGGCGTTTCCATGGAAACACCTTTGCATTGACAGTGCCATGGAGTTCCTTGATCTGCCTGTTATTTCATAATGAGCAGCCTTCCACAGCTGTTTATTTGCACCCTGCCATCTGTCCTCCAAGACTGGAGGGGCCTCCCCCCACCTTCCCCACCATTTTAAATTTTACTGTAAGACTTTTAAGGTATGTTAGTTCAAAGAGCTTTTCAGTATACACAGAAGAAAAGCACGGCCTTCTTCGCAGTGGCACCTCCACCGTGAAGCCTGTTTCCCAAGAATCCCTCCTGGGCTTTGCTGAGGAGAGCTGCAGTCCAAAACACTGGGAGAGCACCACGCTGGGGAAGGGCGGATCTCTTAACTCTTTGTCAGCTTGGTTCTCTCCCTGCAGTGGAAAAGGCCTGTCAGCTTTTTCCCATCTGTAAGGGAAAACCAACCCTTCGCCTTGCCCCAGATGGCACACAAGAATACTTATCTCTCCCTCTTTGCTCGTTCCCAGCATTGCTTGTGGCGATCAGCGCCTCCGTGGACAAGATCGTGGCCCATTTCAGCACAGCTAGAAACCTCGTCCAGAAGGTTTGTTGATGGGGTTCGCGTGCGTTACATCACCCCCACATTCAAAGGAGCCCGAGACAGAGGGGCCTGCAAACCAAGCCCTGAAGAGGCTGAAAGAAGCAGGCATCTTTCGCCTGGAGAAGAGAAGACCGAGGGGAGATAGGCTAGCGCTCTCCCAATACTTGAAGGGCTGTCACAAAAAGGAAGGGCAGGATCTCTTCTCGAGCTTCCTGATGCACATTTAAGAACACGCTGGATCAGGATCAGGTCCCATCATGTCCAGCATTCTGTTCCCATGCTGGCCATTCATGTGCCCACAGGAAACCCACGAGCAGGATGCAAGTGCCACGGCACCCCCTCACCCACTTCCCTCAGCCACTGGTGTCTTGCCATCTGCATCTGATCCTGGCGGTGGGATAAAGAGGTCAAGACCAGTAGCTGTGGTCCTCTGTGAACTTGCCCAATCCTCTTCTAAAGCCACTCAAACCGGTGGCCACCACCACACCTTGAAGAGGTGAATCCCGGGCTTTTACTCTGCGCTGGGGGAAGATGCCCTCTTGCCTTCTCTCTAAGCAAAAAGTATTCCTGCACATGCTGGAATGTCTGTTCCAAACGGCACACGGAGGTTCATCTTCCCAGCCCCTGGCAAAGCACGGCCTGCAGCTTCCGTGTGGCGCTTCGCCCCCTCCATGGGCGCTTGTGTTTGTGCGCTCCGTGCCAGCATATAGCTGGCTCCCGGGCCGAGAGCCAAGGAAGGAGGGACCCACTCTGCTGCGCTTCTCCTGCTGCAGCAAGGGGGTGGGGATGGGGGGAACTAATTAGGAAATGCTAATTACCAATTAGCGGAGGGAGGAGGGGGGGTTACTCTTTCCAAGCTGCCAGTAGCTGACACAGCCCGCATCCCTGTTCTGTGCAGGCCCAGCTGGGAGACAGCCGGCTCAGCCCAGATGTGGGCTACTTAATCCTGAACACCCTGTGCCCGGCGCTCCGTGCCCTGGTGAGCGACGGCCTCAAGCCCTTTCAGAAGGACGTCATCACGGGTCAGAGGCCAAGTTCCCCGTGGAGTGTAGTGGAAGCCTCTGCCAAGCCTGGTAGGTGGGTGGGTAGGTGGGTGGGTGTGTGTGAGAGTGGTGGCAAAGAGCAAACAAAAGGCAACCAAAACAGATTTGGGTGGGGGCAAGAACAAAAATAATTTCCCCACCCCCCTTCAACACAATCACTGTACTTAAATTATGAGAACAATCAGTTTGGCCCAAGGGGCATGAGTGCGGATGTCCTTAAAAGCAACCCTGCACGGTCGGCCACTGTAAAGCCCCCCTTGTCCGAGGGGGCTAGGGCTGAGGCGAAGTGATTATGGCCTGCCAAACTTCGTGACAGAGATGAGTGGGCTCTTTTGGATGGTGTGTTTTGCCAGCATCGGGATCAGCCCTGGGTGGTACGAGTTGGAAGCCTTTTTCAGTCCACGGGGAGTTTTATGTTTGTGTACTGGGGGGGGGGGGGGGGGGGCGTGTGGAGTGAAGGAATCTCCTGATGTTAAGCGTTTCTATCCATCCCTCTTTCCCAGGCCCGCAGGCCCGATCCCTGAATGCCCTGTACTGGCGGGTCTCACGGCTGGCACCGCTCCGTAGCAACCAGCAGCGCTTTCACGCTTTCATCCTGGGCCTCCTGAAGTGAGTAAGCATGGGGGGGGGGCACTGACAGGAGAAGGGGTGATGTGGGGTCCAAGCTTGCTTGTAGACATTGGCGTACGGTTGTGCGCTTAATTTCAGAAGTCTGCTACACTGATCGGACCCTGGGCAAGAGTGATAGTTTGTCCCTTCGCTGGAGAAGGAGATGCAGAGAGAAAGAAAGCAGGAGAGAAAAGGGGAAAAGGAGGAAGGGGCTGTGAGAGAGAAAAGTGGGTGCGGGGAGAAAGGGAGAATGAGAAAGGAGAGCGGCAAGGAGAGAGAAAGTGGAGTGCATGGTAGAAAGGAGGCAGCGGAGAGGACAAAGGGGGTCAGAGAGAAGAAAATGTGTGAAGGACAGAATGGGTGGCAGAAAGAAGGCGCAGAATATCCCTTGAAGATGGTGGCCCTCCAGAGAAAACTGTTCCAATTTGGGACATACCGCGTGGGCGTAGGGTCTCCACTGGAGCCAAGATGCTAAAATCCTTCCTCTCATTCTGTCCTCGTTAGCATGAAGCAGCTCGAACAATGGTTCTCTCACCTGCAGCGGAACTCAGGTATGTTCTGGGGCGCCTCTGTGGGGAAGGCCTGCTTCCTGGGCAGCCGTACGGCCTTCAGGAGCCAAACATCTCTGTGCATTGGGAGCAGGATCCTAATTCTTACGTTCTTAGATTTGCAGCATTTCTCTTTTTCCTGCCATTTTGCTTGTGGTGGGTTTTTATGTAACTTATTCCACTTTTGCTAGCCATTGAGAATGGTGCCAACAGGCTGTGGAACCTCCTAAGGCCCTTCACCCCTCCATTTTCCCAACCACTGCAAACCTTATCCAGACCCATCTGGATATCTCATATTAAATCAGGACCTGTAGCCTGATGCCATTTTCATGCAGGTTAAGGTTACCAATGTCCTAATGAATTGCTGGGGAACATGGACAGAGGGTGCTGGCCAGCCCCTGTGCAAACAGAACTCTAGACGAGACGGACCTCGGTCTGAGCCAGCACAGCTCTTGGATCACCTTCTGAGCTTTCCCTCCTTGCACATTCGCAGTACCTGCACTGCTAGAACTGAGACCCCCATTTCAGTGTGCCGGTTCCTCTGACCCATCCACGCCCCTCTTCCCCACACAGAGCTGATCTCCGCGTTGTACTTGCCGACCGCCTTCCTGGTGCTGAGCCAAGGGTTCTGCCGCCGCTGGGCTGACGAACTGCTCCTGCTGCTCCAGCCTCTGTCCATGCTGACCTTTCAGCTGGACCTTCTGTTTGAGCACCACCACCTGTCCCTTGACATCCGGCCAATGCCCCGGCAAGCTGCTACCCCACCAGAGCCGCCCCCCAGCTTCAGGCAAGCCGCTGGGCCCCGCCGGCCAGATTTCTCTCGGTGCCAAGTTCCTCTTGTCAGGCAGGAAGACGGTCCCTTAGCCCAGTCCAGCCCGCTGCACCAGCCCCCTCTGCACCAGAGACTCCTCCAGTGGGGGGGTCGACTGACCCACACGCTGCGAGGCCACGAGCCCGGCCCCATGCCGGAGCCGTGCACCCAAGCTGTCCAGCGGGAGACCGAAGACAAGCCGTGGAGCTGGCGGGAACAGCTCGGTTGGCCCTCGGAGGCTTGTGGCAGTTCCTCGGCCTCCAAGCAGGAGGGCTTTCCCTACACGCACTGGACCAAACTGCGGATGGCTCTGGGGGAAGTCATAAAAGAGGCCCACGGCGGGACAGGAGAGGCTGCAGCGAGCTCCGGCACTCTCCCTCCAACGCCCAGCCCTGGGGAAGGCCGCCCGCGGAAGGCCTCGGCCAGCAAGGTGGCGGGGCACTCGCCTGGAGCCGAGCCTCGGAGGAAGCTCGCCGCGACCACCCTGGGCACCGTGGAAGCCGAGGAGGCAGAAGGAACCCCTGAGGGCGGGGAGGCCCCCGGAGGCGGGAAGGCAACATGGCTGGGGTGGCTGTTTGGAGCCAATTACCCTGGAGCTTCCAGCGAGCCCAGCTTGAGTGCACCCAAACCCAGGTATGTGAGAACAGCCCTTAAGGGGTGCCAAGGCGGGGGGGGGGGCAGGACTGCACTGCGGGGTCCCTGCGCTGCAAAAGTGGTGGACTGCCTCCGGAGCAGGTGGGCTGGAGGGTGTTGTAGGGTGGGCAGCCTTCTGTTCACAGGGATGCTGCGCACGCTTCCAGAGCGGTGCCGGGTCCCTGTAGCCACGTCTCCCCACAAACGCTGGCCTCCATGTTGAACCCTATCAACAAAGCAGCATTTCTTTTCCACTGGGAGCAGGTCTTTTGTCAGGGGAAAGGGTCTGAATCGCCTTCTCAAGACAAAGCCATGGCAACGTAGGGACGGAGCTTGTGGCCTTGCGTTGTTGCAGCGAGCATGGCTAGCGATCAAGAATGCGAGGGTTGCGTTTGAGGTCCCAAATTCAGACTAGGCCTTAGATTCTAGGCAATACTGACAGTTCAAACCTGGGGCTGGTATTACTTATAACAACAACAACAACAACAACAACAACATTTCTATGCCGCCCCTTGCCGAAGCCTCGGGGCGGCTTACAACACAATAAGATACACTGAAATACAATAGAACATAATAAATTACCACTAAATACAAAAAATACACTGAGATACAATAATATAAAATTAAAATTAACAGTATAAAATAACTAAATAAAGAATATAGGAGGAGAAAAGAGAAGAAGAAGTTGCCCTGGCCAGATCATATATTTTAACAATTAAAATGATGTTTAAATCAGCTGGTGCTTTAGAAAGCCAAGCCTTCCCTTCCCTTCCCTTATATGTAGCTCATTTAGACTAAATTCTCTCCCCCTGCTCTCCTCACCCCAAACGCAGTCGGCGCCCCTCAAGCTGGCTGCCCCCCACCATGAACGTTCTGGCACTGGTGATGAAGACGGCGCCGACCGAGAAGAACTGGCAGGAGGAATCGTGGGAGCACAGCGGTCCGGATCCGCTGCAGGCTTACAGGTAAGCCAGCCTCTGCCCATTGCCTTGGCCAAATCGAGATTAGCAACAGACAACACTGCAACAAAAGGTCACAGTGTGTTGTGTTCCTGCTCATGGCCCCAGCCTTCTTTGACTACAGAAGTGCCAGCTGGGAGCAATCACGCTGATTGTGACTTGAGGGTGGATCCCTTTGCTTGTCCCTTGGGGAGAGGGCAGGGGTGAATTTAATTAAGCACACACCCACTGCCCTGGCCTGGCCTGTCTCAGCCCAGCAAATGCATTGATTTTTCTTAAAGCATTTCGTCTCTTTCTTTGGTGTATATTTATGCCCAAGCTCTTCCAAAGAGCTCAGGGGAAGGTGGGGGGGAACAAGCAGTATAGCTATCTGGCTCTACCCCCATCTCAGCTCTATATAAACAAAGCAGAACTCCCCCAAAAACAACAGAAACCCCCACAGAAGTAGGGAGAAAGTTTGCCCCGGCTTACAACCTTTTGAGCATTGTTTGTCTTCATGTGTGGGGGGTGCTCTTCCTGCCCCTCAGCATCCAGGGCGTGATAGGCAAGAGTCAAGAGAGGGTCAGGGGGACCAGGGCAAGCTTTAAGCTCCCATCCAGCACCCAGGAGTTGGGTCAGCGGTGGAGTCGCGCTCAAGAAAGAGGCCGCAGCTGGGAGCTGGGGGTGCATATCAGAGCAAGGCCAGGGCGTGGTGGCGAGCAAGCCAGAGGTCCCGGGCTGGGAGACGAACAACAGGGGGTGGTACCTGCGACGGGGTGACCAGGTGAGGTCCAGGAGTGGCCAAGCGATGCAGCAGGAGGCAGGCGCCCAGCCGTCCCAGAGCCGGCAGGAAGACCCGGGCTGCACAGGCGGTTCCTGGAGGGCGGGGCTGGCGTTTATATAGCTCCTCCCAGGCGGCCCAGCTGGTGCTGGTCAAGGGGCCAGAGCCCCGTCTGGCAGCCCTTCCAGCGCTGGCCACCAGAGGGAGCCCGCGAACGCCCCGTATCCCGCTGTCTCGTCTGTTCCGACTGCACGTGTAGACCAGGCTTAGGGAGGGAGTGGCTGCGGGGCGGGGCGGGGCTGGGAGGGTGTCGCTTGCTGCCCTTCCCACCAAGATGGATCCTTCTGCTTTTACTGCGAGGGGAAACACTTCCCCGAAAAAGGATTGTCACACTGTAAACCTGAGTCTGGGCTGTGCCCTTTTGGACTGCAGGTGCTGCAAAGCGGGACCCAGCCAGGGCCCCCTTTGAAGAAAGCATTGCCTCCGATCCGGCTGCAACTCACCACAGGGAGTGGTCGTGTGTTGGGCTGCATTGAGCCTGCAGTGCTGAAATCCAGGCTTCAGTTTATCCCCCGAGGGAGAATGAGGCTCTTTGTGTTCTAGTCAGGTTTTGTGAATATTCAAGTGCCATGGACCTGGAAGAGCCACATTCTAGTCCCCTGAAGCTCCTGGGAGCCTTTGGGTGGCTCCTAGACTCCCAGCCTAACCACTCCACAGGGTTGTTGTCGTGAGAATAAAACCGAGCCGTGTAAGCCGTCGTGGGTTCTTCAGAAGAGGAAGAAAGGCAGGAAATACATGTGATGTAGCCAGCAGTGATTGTGATAGCAATATTGTGACTTCGGTGCCCCTGAAGCACTCAGTCCAGATGCCGGTGTCCTCCCCCCCCAGGGCTGTGCGTGCACTTTGCGACCACGCGGGGAGCGGGGCTGGCCACCTGAGCTTCCGCAAAGGTGACGTCCTGCAGGTCCTGGATACTGTGGATGAGGACTGGATCCAGTGTTGCCACGGAGACCGCAAAGGCCTTGTCCCCATCGGCTACACCTCTCTCATCCTGTGAAGCACGGGGCCCAGACGCTGCTACTGGCACCAGCACCGCGGTAGAAAAGGGGGCCACCAAAGACACCCCCAGCCCCCCACCCTGTCAAAGGAGCTTCAGCAAAATACGTGACCCCCACGAGGGAGACAAGAGCTGTGTGCACCACGTGTTTTCCATTCTCGGCCGCACACCTGTCATAAGCCCCCCAACTGCTGCCGGGGACCCCCATTAACGGGGCCGAGGTGGCAGCCTATCCAGGGTGCTGTTCCCAAGGGAGGCTGCCCCACTTCTCTCCAACCCCCCCTCCTGCCAGACCATCCTGCTTGAATGTCCTTACTTTGACTTGGCCAGTGCAAGCCCCATCATCCCTGATGTTTGCTGTTCTCTGCCATTGTGTGTCCCCCCCACACATCAAAGGGTGACTCTTTCTCATGTCTGCCTATTGCATAGATGTGTGTATATATATGGTTCCCCTTTCTGGCTGCTTCCGTCTCCGTGCTGCTGCTACCCACACCGACCCCACACCAAAACCTTAGTGGCATCACACATGATGGGATCAGGACCCATCTGGAATGGCTGTCGCTGGAGGCCCGCTCCCTTCTCCCCCATATCACACACTCTGCTGGTAATAACCATGATATAAACAGCACTGTTCTGATGTCAGCTCCTTCCCTTCTCTAGGGACAATGTACAACTTTGGAGGGAAATAAAAGGCCGTAAAAAGCCAAGCAGCAGCGTCTTGTGCGATGGAATTGCTACAGGCCACCGCTCTTCAAGTGGGTGCCACGAGAGAGAGATTTAAGTCCCACTAACAACAGCGGGGCTCCTGTTCAAACAGCCCAGGCTTTCTTTCCCATTCACCCTCCCTTTCCTCTCCGGCAGACTTTGTGTTTGGCTGTTTAACATGCTTAATCCCCATTCAGTTATTTGGGGAGATGGTGGTGATTTGCTTCCTCTTACCCCAAATATGTATTTTTGGTACTGCTGGAAATTCCAGGGTTCTTGCCAGAATGCAGACACCTCCTTGTTTCTTCATGGCCCGGTGTGGTTAAGTTGTTGGCACTCACCCACTGGGGTTCCCCTCCAAGAAATGTCATCCCTGTTTTATCCTCACCACAATCCACTGAGGTTCTCCCTGGAGGGACCCTGCGAGGTCCCACAACTTGGACCTTCCCCGTCTCAGTCAGCTATGCTTAACCATTACCCTGCCTTAGGCTACATCAGCTCCCTGAAGAATCTCTGCTTCGGCCTTCTTGTGGGTTTCGCACGTGCATCAGTTCAGCCAGTTTCTCCCCACGGCCAGAACTGGGGAGCTGCTCCTTCTCGACGTGGCTGCCCATCACTACATTGAGGGAGGCTTATTGGAAATGGTTTGGGGCAGCGTTGACCAGTGGGGCACAAGGCCTGGGGAGCAGGAGACGGTGACAGGCTTGCGCTCCTCAGAATCATTTCTGCACAAGACTTTTCAGCTGCAGGCCCTCGAATGGGCCCACAAGCACTGCCTCAACCAGCGTCTTTAGAAAGGGGAGTTTCAAAGTACCTTACGATGGGACATGGGCAGAGAAAGATCCGCCCTCGAGCCAGAGGGGGCATGATGGTGCTCCTGCGTTTTGTGGCTAGCACTGAAGGGGCAAAATTGGGCATCCGCACTGAAGAGCAGAGAAACTCGCCAAATTTTCGCGGATGCCCAATGATGCCCCTTCAATGCTAGCCAAAAAAATGCAGGAGCACCATTATGCCCCTCTAGCTTGAGGGCGGATCTTTGCAGGTTTGAAAGTGCCCTGCGTAACTCCAGCCGGTCGCTTCTCGCTAGCCTCGCTGCCTGCATCTTATATTGGGGGTGGGGAATTTGTGGCCCTCCACATCACAGGGTTTTACAGCTCTTAATATCCCTGACTGTTGACCATGCTGACTAAGGTGATGGGGAAACCCTCGATATTTTGAGGAGGAACAAGGATCTGAATGTTTTCACCAGTGCACATGGAGATGGAGGCGCCACCTGGATTCCTTGTGGGGCACCTTGCGTCTTCCCCCCTTTCCCTGGAAAGCACTGTCCTTCCCAACAGGACACCGGCACTGGTGTAGGGAGAACAATACTGGCTGTGTGAACACGCCGAGTCCCGGGTCCAACCTCGGAGCATGAGTACATGCTCTGCAACTGGTCTGCTCCTTAAGTGGCGAATAAAGTCACAAACGGCATGGTCTCTTTTCCTAATTTGAACAGGAAATAACTTGGGTGTTTTCTTTGATTCCAAATCCAGAAAGGAAATCAGGCAAGACATTTGAAGCTTACTAAATAGAAATCGCCCTAGTCAACCCAAAGGAACTGTTTCTATGCATTGTGCTTTATTTCATGCAACTCCCCCAACCTGGAGCCCTCTGGCCTTTCTGCACTGTAACTTCCATAAACGTCGGGAAACATTTGGTCATGAATGCTGGGAGCTGTGGTCTGAGGTATCTGGAGAATATCAGGTTGAAGAAAGCTGGCATTGATAATAATGTAATGGTACCAGGCATTAGCTTAGGTGTCTTAAAAAAAGATTGGAAAGAAAGCACACCCTGTCAGTGGCTATCAGCCATGACTGTTAAATAGAAGCGCCCTATGAATCTATGAATACCAGATGAGCAAGGTAAGCAGCAGGGGCCCCGATTTCTGAGTTTCCAAGCTAGAGACGGAAAGCAGTTCAACTTTTTTAGGTAGCAGCTCTTTGATCTCTCTCAACAGGAGTTCCTTGGCACCTGTTCTGCTCTCTCTGCAGCTTTTGGCCGCCCTGTTTCTCAGCAAATGTTGAATTTCCCAGCCTGTTCAAGTACATACGGCTCTCCCTGGGAAGGGCCAATATGTCATTTAACAAGAGGGATGGAGGTGATCCATAACAGCCAAACTATTGAGGCTGAACTAAATGGTGGACATGTATATGTCCAAAATCTCCAACTAAAATACTAGCATTGGTGATCCTCAACACGGTGAAAATGGGAGAATTCTCTAATGCCAACCCTCTATCAAACCAAAAACACAGAAGGGATCAAAGATCAAAGGAAACGTAGCATTCAGATGGGGCATTTTCAACATTTGAAACAACTCCGGTTCATCACTCCAGTGCTCTGCAAATGAGAACAATGACATCTCTGTAAGATCCTGCTTTCATATGGAAGATGAAAGAGCCAGTGTGGTGTAGTGGTTAATTGCATGAGACTGGGACTCAGGCGATCCGGGTTCGAGTCCCCGCTCAGCCATGGCGCCAACTGGGTGACTGTGGGCCAGTCACAGACTCTCAGCCCAACCTACCTCACAGGGTTGTTGTTGTGGGGATAAGATGGAGGAGAATGATGTAAGCTGCCTTGAGCCCTTTGTAGGAAAAAGGCAGGCTATAAATCAAAAAATAAATCAAAGATCATTGCTCAGGCTTACCTGCACACAGTTGCGAATGCATTTAGTCTGTCAGACTTGTGCTACACCTTCCAATTCAAAACAGTTTCTGGTGAAGGATGCACACAAGGGAGATCAAAGTGCAGAACTGTTCAACGGTCCAAAGGAAGCCACACCAACACGGGAGGCCGAGCCCTGTGGGGTATTCTAACCGCCTTTGCGAGCATGACTTAGAGGGCAAAATGCGGCCCCTCCAATTCAGGAGCTTTAAGCGTCCATCTAAGCCCACCATTCTCTTCACACAGGGGCCAAGCAGCCTTCTGTTGAAAAACACAAGCAGGGCGTGAGTGCAACACTACTCTCTTGCCCATGTTCCCCAGTAACTGATGTATGCAGGCAGACTGCCTCTGTCACTGGGGAGCTGAGAAGCCTGGGACCTGGAAAGTCACCTCTTTAACGGCTGCTACGGAAATTCTTCAATTTTCTCATTTTCATTTCTATCACTGCCCAACAGCCAAAGTGGCCTGCGTAGCCACAAAAGTACAAAACCAAACAATGTTTTTGTTTTAAAGCCTCTTTTTAAAAAATTTGAACAGCCAACACTTCCTGCCTTAGTTTTCCAGAACCCGAACAAACAGTGGATATTAAAATGATTGGTGTGACGGATGCTAGTTCTAGGATTTGGTAGGCTCGACAGACCTCCCGAACCAGGAAAAGTGAGGACATGGAAACAGAATTCTCTTACTATTTTTGGATATGCCATGCAAAGTGAAGTGCCCCTTCAGGATGATGGGACCTCTGCTGTCCTAGCTGCCCCGCAGGATCTGGACCACAAGCACTGAAGTATCTCCGGCAGATGGCCACCAGATCACCCCTTAAATAGACCCAATGAGAGAGAGAGAGTTCACCACTTACCAAGGCAGTCCGCTTTCATGGCTCAGAGGTTTCTACCATTAACCCCGAATCTGCTTCCTTACCGTGTCTACCTGTCGATTCTGGTCCTGCCCCAACTATTCATGTTTTCCCTTCGCGTCAGACTCCCCTTACCCAAGCCCTTTTGCCCAGCTCTCATAAGGCTTGGTTTCCAGACTCAACGCCATGCCTGGTCACAGCACTAACATTTTAACGAGGCATCCATGACAAGGACAGAAATGATGCAGTCCCGGGGCCAAATTCAATTTCAGAGGTGGCCAAAGGCGAAACGGGTTGGGGGAACAGTCGAAGTATCAGCAAACTTTAGCTTGAAGTCTGAACTCTGGGGAAGCCTTTGAACCTTTCAGAATGGAGAACAAACCACACGATGGTTGGGAAAACACCAATGGGAGTGGAGACCACCTGGTAACGTGCGGATTTGGGATGTGGATTTGACATCAGCAGACAGGGTCGGTTGGAGCATGCAAATATATCCGTGCAAAAAAAGAAAACCCCTATAGCCGCTGAATATGAAACATGTTTTTTTTTCCATTTAATACTAGAATCTCTCAGTATTTGAGATGCAGGCCTTTTATGCAATTACATCCAATGTTAAAATTGGTAATACATAATTTACAAAGATTAACATCAAAACAATGGTCTATTTAGATATGCTCTTGTAAAAAGGAAATATATTAGCAGCATTTCTTCTCAGCAACCACACGGCCTATCCCCATGCAGACTAAAAAGAGTTCGTATCTATATTTGCAACAAATGTAGTGCTTTTTCTTCTTTTCCTGGGCTTCCATCAGCGATCAGGTAAAACGCTGCCAGTCTCCTCAAGTTAATACAAAATAACACCCCCCAACCCCCTGATTTTTTTTTTAAAAAAGTCAGTAATTTTCTACACCAGTAAGAAAACAAAACCAAAAACTTAAAAAACAAAAACAAAACAAACCCAACACAAATTCTTCGCACTTACCTAGAATTTGATTGTCTAAAAAACATTGTTTTTAGTCTTTCAACAAAAGAAAGATAAAATGGCAGAGCTAAATGTCTCACTTCTGGGCACGCTTTTCATTATTATTTTTTTCTTTAAAAAGGACTTTTCTTCCTCTCTCTCTCTCTCTTTCTCTCTTTCTTTTAGTGTTTAACACCATTTTGAGACGGCAATTTCCCCCCCGTTTTGAACTAAATGGAGCGACTTAAAGATTTTCAAACATGCAATTCCCCCACCCACCTTTTTCCTACAACACATGAGTATTTTATACTCATGGTTCTGTACAATGCCTCTCTCTACAGTAAGAAAATATTCCAAACTATTTTCTTATGTCTTTTTTTAATAAAATATTTTTCCTCAAAGGGCGTTTTCTCCTTTCCCGCCCCCCAACCCAACCCCAACCCCTCTCTTTCCCTACCCCCTCCAACTTTTTAAATCATCAGGTAACATTTGAATGGAATGAAGCCTTTTTGTTGTTGTTCCAAACTAAGATTAAAGTAAGAATTATATTGTTAACAAGAATGTACAGTTGGGACAAGCTTGGTCCGACGGGAAGGAACATGGAGAGAGAGAGCTACCAATATTGCTTGACAACCACGCAGCAAAAGAAAGGTTAAGATATATACAACTTGGCACATTTAAAAACGGGATTCTTTTATAAGGACACCTAAAACAGGACCAATAATATGCATATGAACGCCAAAGAGAGACAGAGAGCAAAGCCACATTAAAGGGCCAGTGTATGCTTAACTGCCGGCTCTCTGGGCCGAATCGCGGCCTGTGGGCTGCAGGTGACTGTGGCAGGTTCTCGCGGAGGGACGCCTTGGCCCCCCGGGCACTACCGATGACCCCAGGACCCCCAGCAGCCGAACACCGTATCGCACCGAGCAAGGAAGGTGCTCCTTCACTGCCGCCAGTGAGTTAACACTTTCTGTTTTCCACCCCCTGCCTGGATCAAGGGCAAAGAGAGACGGGAGCATAAAATACACTGTCTCTTTAAGAGACGGACGCTTTTAAGCTGTACAGGTTTTTTTTTTTCTTCCTAAAAAAAAATATTAACACACAAGAGTAGTGTTATCAGTGGATAATAGTCTACAGTTTCACAACGAATACTCGCTCAGAAATACTGCTCAACGGTTCATGTAGTGAAAGGTTATTTTTTCGTCTTTGCTGTTTGGACAGGGGTATTTTTTTGTTTTTTTTTAAATTTCCACAATACGCTGGACACACGAGAACAACAGCTTATTACAAAAAGGGAGAAGGAGGAGAAGGATTAGGAGGAGGAGGAGGAAAAGAGGGAGGAGGAGGAGGAGCAGGAGGAGGAACAAGAAAGGAAAAGAAGAAAACCCATTGGGTGGCATTAGGACTGGACTTGCTCTATAAAATTTTTCTCTGCAGCAAAAAAATTAAAAATCACTCTCTCCTGCCCGCCCCGAGTCGCAGGATGCGGAACCAAGTGCTGTGCAGCTAAGAGCTTTCTCAGGGCTTCCATACCAGTGGGGCGCCTCCGTGCGGCAGGTCCGACCGGCCTCCCACGCCCGAGGTGCCGCTCGCCCTCTGCCAGTCTTGCGCGAACCGAAGACCTCAGCGTTCCGCGTGTTCAGCCCTTCGGGGCCTGGACCCTTCCCAGCGCTGCCTTCCAACCTCCCCACTCGCCCCAGAAGTGCCGCCACGTTCGGGCCGCCGGATGCTGCCGTCGCAGGAGAAAACCGTGTACTGGGAGGACGCGCCTCCCTCCTCCTTCCGCCCCACTGCGCACCCCTTCTTCCTTCCTCTGAACGGGGACACTGGGGTGAGGGGGGGAAATAATAAATTACATTAAAATCTGACCATCTCGGACAAGTAACCACAAGGTGTCTCCTTAGTACCTTAACAGTGACAACAAGGCCGCCCGCGTTGGCCGGAGCGCAGCCGGACGGGGCGGCCCGCCCCCCAGCCCATCGTCTTAAGTGCTACAGAACCGTTTCGTCAGTCTCCTCCTGCCCCGACTCTTCCCCACACACACTCATGAGGCGCGGGAAGGTGGTAACGCCTCGACCGCCCGCCTGTCCGTCCGTCCGTCCATCCGTCCGTCAGCCTCGTGTGCGGAACTCCAGGCCGCAGCCTCTCTCCGGGGCAGAGCGTCACTTCCGGAAGCTGCTCTCCACAAGGGCCAGAGTGCGCCGCCGCAGCTTCCTCCCCGAGCCTTCCTCCAGCAGGTAGGTGACATCGATGGCTGCAACGGACAAGCGAACCCACGCCTCAGTCGTGCTCGCGCCGGGCGGCGAGCGTGCCGGGCAGCCCCGCGGGGCTTCTGCGGCAGGGGGCGAGGGCTCAGCCTTCACCCCGGAGGGGGAAGAGGCTGTGAGGGGTGCGCTCAAGCGCAGGCTGGGCCGACAGCCGGAGGGGCAGGGCTGCAAAACCGAGCACTCCGGCCTGCTCCAGCCCCCAGCCCAGCAACAAGGCCTGCAGGAAGCACTTCAGCCGTTCTAGACGGAGGAAGCCTCGCAGAAGCCGGAGAACACCAACTGCCGTGGCCCGGGCTGCTGGGGAACCCGCAGGGCCCGAGGGTCCTCACGGCAAGAGGCCCTGCACCCTGTGACAGACCGACCCCCGGCGCGTGGTGCCACCCACACCGGGAGGCTCTCTGGGCTTCAGCAGGGGGCCTCTTTGCCAGCAGCATCGGGAAATGCCAGGGAGCGAGCCCGGGACCTCAGGCACGGCCAGCAGACGCTCTACCCAGCAGGGCTCGCTTTCCGTGGGGTGCAGATCCCTCAGGGCCCCCGAGACATGCAGGGCTTCGGGGAAGACGGGGGCTTTTTGCCATCAACGCCAGCAGCAACAGAGCCTTTTCATCCCGGGTGCCTGGCATGGAAGCCACAGGAACACCGAGAGGCCGACGCCGTGCCGCTTCGGGCCAAAGGGTCCCGTGAGCCGACGGAAGGGCCGTGCCTGCCGGGGGCCAGGGCAGGCGGGCCGTGCTGCCGCAGTGCCTACGGGAGCCCCGCTACGAGTCGCACCCACGCTGGCGAGAGCGGGTGGGAAGACGCGTGCCGTGGCCGCGTTCCCCCAGAGCCATTCGTCATGTGCCCCGCGGCTCATTCTGGCAATGCATGGCAGCTGCCGGGGACCCGTGCCGGGCGTGATGCTCGCCCGGCCAACGGGGGCGCGGTTCTTCCTCTCGCGAGCAGCTCAGGGGGCTGCCACGGGTCTCCCTCCTCCCCAGCGAGGCGGGCCGGGCCGTGAGTCTGCGCCCGACCCCGGGGACCCCACGGAGCTTCACGGCTGGGTGGGGGTTGAGCCCGGGCCGGGCGATCCTGGGGCAGCACGCTAATCATGAAGCCTCACTCATGGACGCCCTTGCAGCCGAACCGACCCCCAGGAAGGCCGGATGCCCCGATCCGCCACACGGACGTCGCTCGGGGAGCCGCAGAGGGCTGCCTCTCACCATTTTTCCCTGGGATTTTCTCTAGGAGGGTCAGGAGGATTTGGTTGAGCCGCTCGCGCTGCATGTGCCGGCGTTCCTCAGGGGTGCAGGGCCGCCTCGCGACGGGGCTGCTCTCCTCCGCCTTCTTGTCCACCTCGCCGCTTTCCCCCTTCTCGGGCTCCTCCAAGCTGGGCGCCTGCTCACCGGGGGGCCGCTCCTGCCCCGCCACGCCGTCCTCCATGAGGGGAAGCGGGTCCTCCTCCTGGCCGAGGTCTTTGTTCTGGGACTTGGAACGGTCGGACTTCCACGACGACCTGGGGGAGGCGGATCGGGACGGATGAGCCGCAGGGAGCCTCGCAGGCGAGGGGGCTGCGCCCTCGGTGGTGTGAGGGGGGCTGAAGGAGCAGGGAGCCCCACCCTTTGGATAGAGAGTTGGGGGCTGTGGCAGCAGAAGGGTCCCCCAGCGGCAGTGTGGTGGGGAGGGCATTCAGTGCTGCCCAGCCCGCTTGGCCTCCCCACCCCAGCTGGGGAACGACCGCGGTGCGTTCGCACTGCCCGGACAAGGACGGGGCAAAGAAAGCTGTAGAAGCAAGATCCTTCCCGTTTTGCCCACCCTGCTCCCCAAAAGCCCTGCAGGAAAAGAGCGCCGAGCAGTGAAGGGACTCACCTGCCTCCATTCCTCTTATAGTTGTCCGGTACATAATGAGGCTGCGATGGGGAAAGAAGAGCAGAGAGTTAAAACCGTGGGAGAGCCCTAGGGACACAGAGGTAAAGCCCTAGCTCTCACTTTGCTAGGGAGGGCCGGTCAGGATGGATGCCCAGAGAGCTGCTGCCGGCCAGCGTAGACAAAACCGAACCGGACGGGCCGACAGGGCAGCTTGCTTGAACTCCGCTCGCTCATCGGCAGAAGGGCGAGGAAGCATTATGCGTGACGGAACCGGGGAAAGTCGTGTCATTGCGTGGATGGGGACAGGAGACCTGCCCACTGTGGGGCTGAGGCAGCCCCGTCCCTCTGCCAAACACGCGCCAGGTTTTCAGAGAAAAGGGGCAAAGATTATGGGGAGGCCTGTGTGGCCACGGTGCCCCCAAGTCCGCATGACGAACTGCGGGCGAAGCACCCTGGGAAATAAACTGTGGGGCCTCGACAAGGCGAGGAAAAGGTTTGCGCCAGGTTGCGCTTTGTTCCTGCCACTTCGGGGAAGGAGAAAGGGTAGCTCTGAGGTCGGGGGCCCTGCTCAGACCTTCGGCGTCTCTGCCAGCATCACTTCCACGCGCTCACACTGGTCGTTGCAGCTTCAAGGAAAAAGCGTCGGGGTTTCTCCCTTGCTTTGTCAGCACCACTGTCCGCTTACCATCGTTATCACAAACTGTCCAGCCAACCGAGGATTTAGAGTTTCATCTCCCTTTTTAAACAATTACGTGGATTTAAATAATACAGGGGAAATGTGACAGCGCTCTGATCAGTCAGGAATAATTTTAACACCCGTCAGTGTTTCTTTCCTATTTAAGCAAAAAATCAGGTCTAAATTCGGCCAGGAGGAAGTCCTTGCCTCAAAGGGGGCAACTTGATAGAGAGACTGCCGCCTCCCTTGTCTATAAAGGGAATTATTTCTATTAAAGTGCAAAGCCTCGTGCTGCGTGAGGGGCTACCACACACAAGCTGCCTATTAGTTCCTGAGCCACATGCAGGGTTTGGTTGCCAACATACAAACAGTTAAGCCACCTGGGGCTGGGAAGTGAGCAGCCCGCTCTGGCCTATGCACAGCCAGCCGACCCAGCAGTCCTCTGAGAAAGTTCTGCTTTAATTCCAGCACTGACAGAACATCGCCCTTTTGGCCGCAGTGCCCGCTCTCCAGAACCCCCTTTCCGGGCAGTTTGGGGGCAGAAAATGGGGCAAGCTTAAATACCTCCTGAAAACGCACCCATTTGTATGCAGGCTTGGCCAATGGAATCGCCATGCTGTGCCATTTGATTTTTAATGGCTTTTTTAAAGATTTGTTTTGTTATGATTGTTCATTACTGTGTTTTGTCATATGAAGCGGCATGCAAACAGTATCATTAAATAAATTTGCCATGACCCCCTTTTAAAATAATGCAGGAAGAAGTCTGCCCGGTTCTGCACAAGAGGCAGGGTGTCCTTGCGCCGGGGCCCCACGGTGGCTACCCCTGGTGTGCGGAGCGGGCAGGGGCCGGTCACGGGGGCAGCATACCGAGAAGTCCCTCTTCGGTGTCAACCTTTTGGGGAAGTGGTCGAAGGCGTAGGACTTGGTGCACACCGGATACCGATTTCGGTGGATCTTGTAGAAGAGGTGGGCTGATTTGTCGAGGCGGTAATCACAGATGTACACGTCCTGTTCCTTCGCCCCCTTTGGCCTTCCTGTGGGCGGCAGCACCAAAGAGACAACGTCGCAGGAGACTGAAAGCGAAGACTGGGCCTCGGCGGTCCAAAGCCTGCTCTGCGGGGGGGGGGGGATTCCGGCCCTGCCAAGCAGCTGCGGTCAGGTGTGCAAAGACACTTGCCGTGCGTGTGCAGCTGTGGCGTCTCCCAACTGCCCATCTCAGACAGCCGTCCCTGGACTAACAGTCTGCTCAGAGCTAAAGCACCCCTTTTCATCTTTTAAAAACGGACCCGGATCTCAGTCTTTCCTGCCCCTACCCACAAAAAACGGTTTGAAGTGTGAAAGGGGATCCGCAGCAGAGCCGATGGCTCGGCCTTCCGCACGAGTTGTGCTCCTGGCAATTCTGGCTGCAGGCTCACCTGGCGGAACAGCTCAGCCTTGGCTGGGGTGCAGACGCTGCTGTGAGCTGCATCTGCCCACCCCCCCAACCTCTCCGCCTCAGACATCCTTTTACAACCCTCTCCCATGGGCTACCCTGAGGGGTCTTCAAAGCCCCGAATAGATCCACATCTCCCTGAATCCCAGGCACTCCGACCCACACCCAGCTCACTTAGTTTGGATGTCCCCTGGCTGCTGCAGTCTGACTTTTGAGATGAGGCAAGCAGAACGGCTGGGGGCACACGACATCTGTGGCAGGAGCAGCCCCTCGAGGCTGGGGGAGCCTTTAATGATTCCATTGGTTTATTTCTGGCTGCGTGTGCCTGAATTTATTCTTTTATTTAAAACTTTTCTAGACTGTCCCTTACTGCAGTCTCAGGACGGTTTAACGATAAGACAGTACAAAACAAAACAAAACAAAACAAAACAAAACAAAACAAAACAAAACAAAACAAAACACAGCGTCCTCATAGAATTTCCGACCAACAATAAAACCGCAATTAAAACAATCAAACCTTAAAACACTGGGAGAATAAAAAGGTTTTAGCCTGGCGCCGAAAAGAATATAGCGTCAGTGCCAGGCGAACCTCTCTGGGGAGCGAATTCCACAATCGGGGTGCCCCCGCAGAGAAGGCCTTCTCCCTAATCTCCTTCAGGGGAGGCACCCCACCCAGAGAAGGCCTCTGCCCAGATCTTCAGGCGCAGGCAGGTGCCTATGGAAGGAGACGCCCCTTCAGGCCCCCAGCAGCGCTGATCCCAAGCAGGAGCGACTGGGAGCAGCTGGCCGGCCCGACAGCCGGCGCCCTCGACTTGCCTTTGCAGTAGGTGTAGAGGTCCAGCACGCAGCAGGTGCCCACCACGGCCTCCAGGGGGATGATCTCGTACAGGGGCACCCGGAAGAGTTCGTTGTGGTAGAACTTCCGGGAGGGGGAGTGGTGTGTTTCGTGCGGACGGAAGTAGTGGTGGCCGAAGGCGAAGCGCTCCTCCCTGGACAAGGGGGAAAGAGAGGCGGGGAGTATTCCCCACACAGCCGTGCCACAGACCTCCCACTGCCCCACGCAGGCTCCACCGCTTCTAGGGGGCGCCCCCTTTCACAGTGCAGGCAGCGACCTTGACAAGCTGGCTTTCAGAATGCGCAGAGGGCTGTGTGCATGTGTGGGTTTTGTTTTCCTCTTCAGCACGGAAGGCACCCCAGGAAAACTCACCCAGCAACCCGCAAACATGGGTTGATCTCCATATGAATTGGGTTTTCCCCCCTCTTCTTCTCATGCCCCCACAAGAATAATTACGTGGGTCCAGAGGCAGGCTTTCATTCATTCATTTTACTGCTAAAGGGGCTTAAGCTTTTTATGTTTGCAATACGGTCAAACCTCGACTTTTGTGGGTTTAACTTTTGTGAATTTGATTATTTGCAAGCTTGCCTTCAATAATTAAATGGTGTTTTTTTTTAGTTTTGCGGCCTATGACACTAGACTAGAAAATGTAAAGAAAACCGGGGACTGTGCACTAAGGAAGCCCTCTCAACTGGGTACCTTCCAGATGCCTTGGACTGCAGTTCCCATCAGCCCCAGCCAGCAGGGCCGATGAGTGCAGCGATGAGAATTGTAGTCCGAAACATCTGCAGGCATCAGAGCGGGGGAAAAGCTGCCGTGACGCACTTGCAGTGCTTTTAAAATGCTGCTTGAGCGTGAACTGGCTGGCTTGGACACGGCTGTGCAGGTTTAAGATGCTGTGGTCGTTCAGGTCAAACTGAAGCGCATCAGTTTTGCATTGTGTGTCTCCTTGGGGAGACCAAGTCCCCAACTAATTCAAAAGACATTTTGGCAGAGCGGGGAGCCTCGTCTCTTGCGGACGGTCCTGTTTCCTTGGGGGTTAATCTGTTGGGGCCACCAGGCAAGAAAGAGCATGACCAGAGCCCAACGCTGGTGGGGCTGCCCCTCTTTCCCTCCCCGCTTCATCCGCAAGGCAGCACGGGGAGGGTCAGGCCGCTCGCTCCAGACACCTGAACTGCCTGCTTCCGAGTGCGGCAGGTGCCCCACCTCTGCCCTAAGGGGGACGGGAGAAGGACAGCACCCAAGTGTTCGGCCTCCTGCACTGCATGTGGGAATCTTGGGGTTTTGTGAGCTGCCGCCAACCCTCCAGGCCCACCTGGGCTCCGACAGAGCCGGCGCTGCCTGTCTCCACTAGTCCTTGAACAAGGCTGAGAACCCTTCAAGATCCGTGCACGGTCCCCGGCGGGTCAGAAAGGGGATGGAGCTTACTTCTCGTTCTTCCAGAGCTTCTCGATGCGGAAGATGTCGAGTCTCTCTCGGTTGATGTGGGACAGCAGGCGGTACGACTGCCGGACGGGGTGGCCATCTGGGGTCCTTCGGCTGTCTCTCATCAGGTACACGCAGTCCCCTGTCAACAGAAAGCCCGTAAGAACGGCCTCTTCGCCCTGCGCGTGGGGCAGATTTGCAGAGTCCTGGAAAACCGGAGGGGAGGAGCGCCCTGTGGAAGAGTGGCGGCCTCGGTCCCAGCAGCCGGATCGCTCGGGGCCCTCGTGGTCCTGCGTCCTGTCCCTATGCCTAGAAGCCCACAGGCAGGGAATGTCGTCCGTCGCCAGGCACGCCCCTCTGATCCTTCAGCAGGAGGCTGCCCTTGAGCAGGGAGGTTCCGTTTAACTGTCATTTCCTGCATTTCTGATCCGAGTCTTCCTATATGCTCAGAGCGGCACTAACCACTCAGGAAAGGGAGGCATCAGAGGCTTTGGGGTAACTCGAGAAACAGCCGTAAGGAAGGGCCACCCCTGAGTTGCCCCGTAAGAACTCAAAGGCATGAGGCGGGGAAGAACAGGGTGGGAAAACACGGAGAACCTGGTGCAAGGGGGGTAAGAACCACACTGGCTGGGTGGGGAAGATGGATGGGGAGACACATAGATATAAAAAGTGTAGATGGAAGCATCACGTTGCCTGGATGGGTCACTGAAAAGCTGATTTCAAATATCTTCAGGGTTGGAGCGGAGACGTGCCCACAGCGCTCAGTGGAAAGCTCCCAAGGCAGCCAGGATCGGGACCAAGGGAACCCCACCCCCACCAGGCCCCTGAGGGCTAAGCATGTTCAGTGGGCACAGAATGAGGATTCTGGGGGCTGCGGGGGCAAGTCAGAAGCACTCCGCCCCGAAACGCTGCTGCTGGTGGGGACCCGCTCGTTAAGGTGAGCAAGCGCGGGCAGAACTCTGTGTCTGCTAACGCCTGCCCGCCCCCTGCACGCCCCCTAAACATGGCCACGCCACAGAGAGCACAGAAGGAGCCTCGAGGGTCACCAGAGAAGGCTGACTGAGTCAGGTGTAGAGGCGGCTTCATATTTACCTTCCTTCAGGTACCCTCGGCAGTGAGAGAGGCTGGCCGAAGCACCTTGATAAACTGGGCAGAGAGGTAAGAGGTGGCCCCAAAGCCCCTCCTGGCCGTTTCTCACTGAGTCCCCCGAGAGGACAGACACCCACCTTGGCGCAGTAACAGATCGTCCCGTAACAGGCAGATGAAATAAACGCAGCCGGGCTGGGCGTAGTGAGGCCGGGGGATCATCGGCACCTCCTAGAAAAGGCGGCACAGAGCAACGCGCGGTGAAGCTCCGCTCCTCGTCCCGGCCTGCAAGCCCCTGGCGGGATCCCGTTCCACGGAAGGGGTGGGGAATGCCGGCAGCCGCGCCTTGCCTTGGCAGGGCGGGAAGGACGCCGCTGGAACAGCCTGGCGTTTTTACCCCCGAGATCGGAGAGCGGGCTGACCCAGGGGGAGTGCCGGAGGCGTGGAAGGGCCAGTTCCGGGCCCCGGAGGCGGCTTACCCTGTCCACCGTGCGAGGGTCACACTGCTCGCACAAGTAGTGCTCGACGTCGGCGTTCAGCCCCATGCAGTCACAGTGCTGCCAAACCTGCGGGGGAGGCGAGGCGGCGGGTCAGGGAATGGGGGGGGGGCGTCTCTCCCGCCGAGCCTCGAGGGCGAGCGCCGGACGTGCGCCTTGCGCCAGGACGACGGGGCGGCCTCGCCCGAGCGCGCCCCCCCCCGCGACGCGCCCCACGGCCCTCACCATGCACTTGTCGCACTGGATCATGAGCCCCTCGTCCTTGTACAGGCCGCAGATGCAGCGGATCACGTCCTCGTCCTTCTCGTGCCCGCTCTCCTTCTCGCACATGGAGGTCTCGCTGCTGTCGGCCTCGCTCGCCGTCTCCCCCACGATCTCGTCGATCTGGGCGGCGGCCTCGTGGCGGGCGCTGTAGTACGCCTTCCGCAGCCGGCAGACGTCCCGTCCGATGGGAGACTTCCTGCCGTAGTATTTCTGAGCGCAGACAACGGGGCGGCGGCTCACTCCGGGCTTGCTTCCTGGAGCTTTCCCCCCCCGCTGCCTTCACCATGGAACGTGGGTCTGTGCCCCCTCACTCCCAGAAGACCCTCACCCTGGTTCTCCCCTTCTGGTCGAAACAAGGGCCCCCAAATAGATGCGGCAGCATGGTTCCCGGGCCTGAAAGGAGCCTCGCAATCTCGTTCGGGCTTATTCGGTGGTTTCTTGAAACCTGAGGGTGGGGGAAAGGCTAATTTCCTCTGATGCTCCCGAGATGGCCTCTGCTATGCCTCATAGCAACAGCAGCGCCCCATCCTGAAACACGGGCATTGAGTGGGAGGTTCTAGAAAGTGGAAAGACCCTTCTTTTTTTCCCCCCTCAACTGATACCATCAAGTTTCATGGCTCAAATGTTCTTAGCTGGATTTAAGTGATGGGATCATAAAGTCTTCGGATTCCCTCAGCTTCCACCTGCTCTGAAGAGGATGAGGCCATGAAAGAACTGGAAAAGCCGTGCTAATTGGCTTCCGAAGGACCTCAACTTTACTGTGAAGCGAAAATGCCCAGCTATTGTGCTCATGCAGGTGTGCTCAGGTGTGTATGGGCAATCCTGAGCGAGCTTCCAGAAACTGGAGAGATGGCTGGATTAAGGCTGCCACAATCAAAGGCTCGGAGGCCTCTTCCCCCTTTGCGCACCCAAGAGAAGCAAGGTCAAGTATACGCCTGGCAAAGCACGCGCTGAGTCCCATCTCTCTGAATCACAGAATCTGCCCCAGAATTTTTGCTCTAGATCGGTAAAGATTTTCCTTCCTGGTGTGGTCCATGTTGAAGCCCTGGTTTTCAGTGACGAAAGAAGGCGGGAGGGGGTCAAAGCACCCCAACCAGGGTCCCTCGTCCCGCTCCATTCATTCTCCACAGCCTGCTCAGTTTAAATCTGGTGGGGGCACGACCCAGTGAAGAATGACCGCCCAGGCCGTCGACGAGACCTCAGCTTTGCCCCCAGAGGGACATGCTGACTGCTATTCTCCACAGCACGGATCCTCAAACTACGGCCCACGGGCTGGATCCGGCCCGCCATGCTGATTTATCTGACCTGCTCAGAGCTTTTGGCCTCGCATGGAGAACACGATTTCCGAGCGAGTCCAAAAGCTCTAGCCGGCGCAGGCATACTCAGTGGGGAGATGGCCGCGATCACGCCCGCCTTCCCTGCACGAGCGCGCCTGCGATTGTGCCGGGCTCCCCCCCACCCCCCAGTCCGCCCCCCCGACAGTCTGAGGGACAGTGAACTAGCCCCCGTTTAAAGAGTCTGAGGACCCCTGCTCCACAGCCTCCACTCCACCCTGTGACGGGATAAAAGGCCCTGCCAGGAACTCGTGCCGAAGCCAAGCATCCCCCGCTTAACTCACCTCGGCGTTGCGGAAGACCTTCAGCATGTCGCCATCGAACGCTTCCACCGTTTTGTAATACCCCGTCAGGATTTGCTTCTCGATGGTGATGAGGTCAAGGGGGTCAGAGATCTTCTCGTAGTAGTCGGCATTTCTAAACCGGGCACAAGAGGAAATGCGCACCGTGACCACCGGCCTGTATCTGGAATCCAACCGTGGCTGCACTCGATTCCCGAGACCCATCCACCCCTCCGGGAGCATGCGAGAACCTACTTTTTCTTTGGGGGAAGATTCAGCAACGGAGCCGCGAGTGCTTGCCTGGAGGAATCTGGAAGGGAAGCAGGGAAATGCAGAGCTGTTGGCAGGGGAGTCTGTGGGAAGCCTTTTGGGGAGGCGGGAGGCAGACACACACAGACACAAAATGGGTGGGTGGCGAGGGCCAGGGTCACACCGCTGCACTGCCGTTTCCCCAAAGGCCCTTTCTGTCCTGCTGCCAGCGGACTGCCTCCCCCGCCCCACAGCTCTCTCGCTCCTTCCGGCGCTCCCTTCCTCCTGCAGCGCTTCCAGCGTTCAGTGGGGACGGCAGCGATGGAGACCGGGGCAGTCGAGCAGCTTGTGTAAAAAATGGGGCCCTCTTGGCTGGCCGGCGGAGGGACAGGGGCTGTCCGTCGCGTGCCTTCACCAAGCCACCCCCGTCTAAATGCTGGAGAAGAGAAGGCGGCAGCAAATGCTCCTGCCCCGCCCACTGCAAAACACCCCAAAGCTTGCACATCGAGCTTCCGCTCCCTATGGAGGGACAGAAGGCGTGGCACAGGTGCAGAAAGTGATGCGCACTCTGGAAAAAAGTGGTCGGGAGCATTCCGCGCCCTCTCCCCTATTGCTGGAATTTGGCGGGGGCAGAAGTCGGTTCTGGACAGATAAAAGGAAGGACTTCTTTACAAGGTGCTTAGCCCGACGGTGGCGCGCACGTCCGCGAGACGTGCTGCTGGTCACCAACTGCGTGGCCTTAAGAGCCGGGCTGGGTGACTTGGTGGAGGAGAGGCCACGCCGCGAACCCTGGGGAGCCGCTGGCTCCTCCTGCTATTTCGGGCCCTTCCCCGTGACTGTGGCGGCCGCCCCGCTACTGGCTCTCCCGGCTCTTGGCTAGGGCCACCTTTGTATGAGATGATGCCATCGGAGATCTCCTTGAAGATTTGTGCCAGCCGGGCTGCACGCGCCACTTCGATGTTCTCTTCGGCTGCCGCCAACCGCCGCGTTCGCACCGAGCGGGAGGTCTGCAGGGCGGAGAACTGTGTCATGAAGACATCTGGAAAAGAGAGGAGGGGAGAGAGGTTTCCTTGGTCAAAGCCCATGGGAATGTCAGAAGCAGGCTGGTGCCTGGGGCTGCTGGGGAACTGGGCCTGGCAAGCGACACCCTCTGGGTGACGGATTCTGTGGCCAAAGTGCTCCTTTCCGCAAGAAGTGTCTCCTAACAGCCGACCCAGATAACCTTCTGCCACTTAGGCTGAGTAGCGCTCTACCAAGCATCCCTTTGGCCATCCTGCCTGCATGCCAAGTTCCTTCGACCTTTCCTTGCAGGAGCCTGCTTTCCAGTACAGCAGCCTTCCGCAACCTTGTGCCTTCCAGACACATTTGGACTGCAACACCCAGAATTCCCAGTCAGTGGCCCTGCTAGAAGGGAATTCTGCAGTCCACTCGCCTCTGAAGCCACCAGGCTGGGAAAGGCTGCGAGCCAGGATGTTTGCCACTGAAACTACTCCAGTTTGTCCATCTACACTGTAGGCAACCGGATGCCCTCCAGATGTTTTGCCAGCAGCCATTATTTATGTATTTATTAATTAGACTTATATTCTGCTATATTGGCCTGAGGGCCCTCTTCATCCCGGACCATTCTGGCTGGGACTTGTTGCGGTTCTTGGCCAAAGTACCTGGAAAGCACCGATTTGCCTCTCCCCGGCCTGTATCCTATGGTGCCCTGAACTGGACACAATACCTCCAAAGCAAAGTCCATTAGCACATCCCCTTCAACACTTCCCAACGGACTAACCCCGGGGTTCCAGGCCAACCCTTCAGGCTTCCTCAGAGAGTGCCACTCCCTCTCCCCCCATACTGATTGGGGGTTTCTTGGTTCCCCCCCCTTCTGAAAGGTTGAAAGCAGTTTTAGTGCCTGGGTCCTGTGGGAAGGAAGAATCCGGCTGACTGGGGGAGGCAGATCGGGGCACAATCCTGCAGCAGCTTGTCTTAGAATTTTTGGCTAGGGCCAAGCCCTTAGAAGACACTCTCCTTTTCCATCGGGCTGAAACTCATGGTATGTGTGGTGCAGCCGAGAAAGCGACGCTTGCTGGTCTGAGTGGCTGGGTTAAAAAGCATCCAACAGAGAAGGGGGATTTAAGGCCTGTGCAATGCTCAGTGGCAGACAGAGCTGTTGCTGATGCAGAAGCCACGGGAAAGTGCTGGAAGTATTATCCCAACCGCAGTGGGGAAAGACAGCCCCGGCCCTCACCAGATTTGATGTTGCCGTCGTCGCGGCACATCCCATTCCAGCGGGTGTATAAGGAGGCGGAAGGAAGGTTGTCGTTGGCATGTTTGACCTCCTCTTGCTTCTGCCGGATCTTCTCCCAGTTGCGCACCAGGAACACGTGATGCTTGAGCACAAAATTTCTAGGAAAGGGAACAAAAGGCAGTGTCATTTCAGCAGATCGCAGGTGCAAGTCGCTTCTGCTCTGGAGGGCTTGACACTGCGGCCCGGCTGGGAGGAGAGTTCAGGGGACAGGAACTTGGCACGAAAGAGTCAGCTCAGTGCCAAGGAGAGGAAAGCGAGGCTTGGATAGGTTCCCTGCGAAGCTTTGATCCAGACAACACAGCAAACCCCAGTTTATGCTAGCCACACACAGCTAAGCATCCAAACCGCGGGCTGAGCCTCCCGTGCAAGCCCACGGCGGAGAGCCGCAGGTCGGCGGTCCCGTTCCATCTTCCTCGACGGCGCAGGTGCAGAGAGAGGCCTCCCTGTGGTCACCGGCTGAGACACCCTGGCAAGCAACGGTTCGTGCAAACGCAGCTCATTCTGACCGGATGAGCGACTGCAAGCCATCAAGGGCCAGCTCGGACCCCCAGGCGAAGCCACCGTGACGCTTCCTCGACCGCGGGCTGGTATGCCGTGCGCACGGCGAGGAAGGGCGGGCTCCACCGGCATTCATGCACCAGCCCTGCGACTACGGGGAAAAGGGGGGGGGGAGCAAGCGCCCCTCTGGCCCTCACCGTTCCCTGTTGGACATGGGCTTCATTTGCAGCTGCGGAGTCAGACGGGTCGGGGTGCTCGAGCTTTCGCCGGACTCCTCGGGAACGTGGCCCTTCTGTAAGGCAAGAACAGCCCCCTTGGGAAAAGAAATCCGGACCACCGGGCCAAGGGTGCGCCGCAGCAGCTGGCCCGGGCTTGAATTGCTGCCAGGGAGCTGGACTATGACTTTGTTTTGAGAAAGGGGGAGGGAGGGAGGGAGGGGGAAAGTGCTCCTTGCCCCCCCCCCGCCCCAAGCCTTCCCTTCATGCAGAATCACTGGTCTCAGTCCTGGATTCTGAACAAGGGAGCAGGCCTGGACTTGGTGGAGGAACATGTGCCCCAAGAGACAGCACGGGAGCCCTACACCAAGGCCTGCCATCCAGTCCGAAAAAGCTCCCAAGCCCCTTCTCCCTGCAAAGGCAGGGAGCGTGGCAAAGCACATTCCAGGGTTGTCAAGGACCGCCAAAGCTGCTGGCAGGACCGCCATAACGAACTGTTTTCTGGAGAGGAAAGAGTCGCCCCGTCCCTGCACCCCCGAGGGGGAGGTGGGATGGGGACTCGACTCTGGGCCTGCGCCAAGAGCCCCGGTTTCTCCTGAACGGGGACACGCTCCTGTCCCCGTGCAACTGCCTCCGTAACACTCAAGTAACAGCAGGGATTACGGGGGGCGGGGGGAGCAGAGTATCAGCTAAAGGGCCATGTGACCCGGTCTCAAGACCGCGGGAGGCTGCCGGCGCATCTCCTCCCACACCGCCTCGTCTCGCAGGCCCTCGCCTTTTCAGTTGCCAGGCGCAAGTCCAGCCCAACTCTGCCCAGGACTGCAGATTCCAGGGATTTAACCTGGGGAATTTGGATACGCGGCACACGCGTTCGACCGCTGCATCCCTCCCGGCTAAGCCTGGCCCCCAAAGGAGGTTCGGTTCGGTTCGGTTCGCTCTCTCTTTGATGTCCTCCTGCCAGGACCAGGCAAAGGCCCGCTTTATTCATGAGGCCCTTAGCGTGTGTGTCTGTGGGGGGGGGGGGTTGGTGGGTTGGGTGCGGCACTCTGTCGCGATGTTTCTGTAACTTCTATGTCTTTATGGCATTTTAATGTATTGGTTTAATTAATGCGGCTCTGCAAGCTTCCCGGAGTGCTTTTTTCTATTTTGGAGAGAGGCAGGGCACACATAAAACGAGCGAAGAAATGAAGTCCATCTGGGGGCACGGAGAACAGCGAGTCCTCGGGGGGCTTCCCTGCCGCACGCACTCACCCTCTTCTTCAACTTGTGCTTGGATTTCCTCTTCTCTTTGGACCGGCTCGGCCTTCTCTGCGCAGCGACTGGCTGGTTGGTTTTGCTCAGAAGGCCGTTCATTCGCTGGCTCTTGCCCCCAATGATCCCCCGGCACTTGTCAAAGCCGCATTTGCAGAGTTGCTTGGGAAACAAAGAGGAAAGCGCTCCCTTTCAGCCAGCCACCTTCTGCGAGGCTCGTCAGGCAAGCGAGCAAGCCCTGTCCTCCCCCCTTAGGCCAGCGGGATGGACTGGCCAGGTCTGCCTGCCCTAACTGTGCCCCCTAATATTTTGGCACATGCTGCAGGAGTGGGACGGGGACATGTAAACGGGTCTATTCCCGACTCCAATGTGCATTTTATTAGCCCTGTCTTAGTTCACGAACCGTGTGCACAGAAGGAATTCAATGCCTGAAGAACACTGACTTGTGATTACTCAAAATTCCCTTCCATTTGGAGAGCTAGTACCAGTAACAGCTCAGTCAGTGCAGCTGCCATTCGTCCCGCAACGAGCGCCTGCCTCCTTTTCAAGCCCCTCTTTTGGGCACTGGCTTCTGCACGATGCTTTGCATGGGGGCCTCAAGGCACACGGACCACCCCCACCCCTCCCAGCTGCCACAACACACGCATCCGGCGCAGGGGCAAAGGCTAGGCTAGGCCAGGCTTCCTCTGGGGCCGCAGACACGACGCCCACCTGCTTTTCCACATTGAAGGAGTGGAAATTGTAGTCATAGGTCAGCTCGGTGCCCGCCGGCATGTCCTTCAGCGCGTACAGGCCAATCCGGTAGACCCCGTTGACAGACCTGCGGGGAGACAGGCGTGAGCGGGGCGGGAGGTCCGGAAAGGGCGGCCACCCCGTCGTGCCAAGGGCTCGCGAGCGGGAAGCACGGCCCGGCGAGGCCTAGCAATTTGCTTGGGGCACCCGAAGGGTGGCTGGAACTGTGGCTCGGTACCAACGAGCCCATTCCATTCATGGCTGGCCGACGCGGATGCCTGATCTGTGCCCAGCTGTGGGAATTAGGGTTTAGTGGTAATGTATTATGTTCTATTGTATTTCAATGTATTTTATTGTGTTGTAAGCCGCCCCGAGGCTTCGGCAAGGGGCGGCATAGAAATGTAATAATAATAATAATAATAATAATAATAATAATAATAAGGAATGCTGCCTTCTGGAAGCAGGAGCAGTGGGAAGGAGACACACAGGGTTGCCTTTCCGGACCCCAACGGTGACGTCACAGGAGACTGTCTGCCAACAGGGATGGCGGGGAAGAGCTGGGAAAGCACCAGGTGTTCCTTTGACCCTGGTAGGAGTGAGCGCTGCTACCGCATGTGAGCATTACCGCAGCCCTGAAGCAGGTGAGGCAGAGGGCTTTTTAAAAAAAATGCCACTTGGCTGCCATGGCTGTGCATAACTGTGAATTTTCTTCCTCTTCTTGCCATTTCTGTTAATTGAATTGTCTCGTCAGGCTGCAGTTTTAGCATTTCCTTGCCATTAAACTCCACGCCTTACCCTTTTCATTTCTATCATCAAATATATAGTTATTATTATTATTCACCTAAAACTTCCTTGGCACCATCCATAGATTAAAAACAAGAACCGCCTTGTCTGCAGCCTTAAAAATTTTAGGAAAGGGAAAGGGAAAGGGAAAGGGAAAGGGAAAGGGAAAGGGAAAGGGAAAGGACAAGGACAAGGACAAGGACAAGGACAAGGACAAGGACAAGGACAAGGACAAGGACAAGGACAAGGACCGGACCGGTCAGAGAGACAACACAAGAGGAAAAACCAGACACAGAGGGAAGGGCCCTCAGGCACCAATTCTTGAAGCAGCGCCATTTTTCAACTGAAGGGTAGTTGGAATTGAAACCCGTGACAAACGGCAAAGCGTCCTTAGGCCTGGGCAGTGAGTGGGGTGGAGAAAAAGGAGCGTGGCCTCAGGCAGAAAGAGCATTCTCTTAAGGAGCTGCGTGGGAGGGGAGTGAAGCGAGGGGCAGCCATCAGGCACAGGCCAAGCGGGGGCGCCTACCATTTCTGCATCTCGCAGTTGGGGTCGCAGCTGTGGTTGATGAAACGGGCCTCGTTGCCCATGCGGTAGCTGTCGATCACCATCCCGCTGTCGAGGTTGAGGCAGTAGTGATCGCTGTGGTTGTGGTACTGCTCAATCATCCGGTTCCTGGAAGGAGAGGCCAGGAGGACTTGGGGGGGGGGGGGGCGGCACCCGGGCCCTCCGCTCCCCACCGCTGGCTCTTTCGCCCCCGCCGGCCTTGGGCGTGCCTCCCCTGCCCTGCCCTCCCCGCAAGCCCCCAGCCCCTTACCGGAACTCCTGCTCGCTGACCACTTCTCCCAGGTACTCGATGATGAACTGGCCGGCCTTCAGGGACTCCTTGGTGCGGATGCCCCAGCCCTTCTCCTCGGCCCGGAAGCGCTCCAGGCACTGCACCCACTCGTGCCGCTGGATCCTCTGGTTGCAGCACTGCTCCCCGCAGGGGCAGGTGTTGGGGGAGCACTCGGCAAAGATCATCCTGGAGGCAGAGCGGAGGTCAGCCACGCCTCGGGGTGGGGTGCGCCACCCCACCGCCATGGCCCCATTTCTGTTCAGGGTGCTAGGGGGCGTCCTGCCCCTCCAGCGACGGCAGAGACGTGCACGAGGCTCCTCCCTGTCCGAGTTATCCCTGCAGCCACTCCGGGAGGTGGCTGGAACTAAGAGGCAGGGACTGGCTCCGGGGCCGCTGGGGATCAGGGAATTTTAATGGCGCGAGGAGCACGTTCTCTCTTGGAAGCCCCCGTCTGCAGTCCCAAGGGGCACATCCCAGATGCAGGAAGGCCGCCTTGTCCTGCTGCCCGCAAGAAGCAGACCTCTGGCCGCCAGTGACCAAAGAGGGGTCAAAGACGGGGTTCAGCTGCAGAAAGGACTGTGAGAAACTAGAGCATCCTTCATCCAGGGGGCAGCATTTCCCCAAGAGCCTGGAGGGCCACGTCTGTGTTTCCTGGTCCACGTGCACAGCTGGCACTTGGGATGTCTGGATCGGTCGCACAGTCCTAGCGATGTGCAGTCCAGTTTGGCTGCCCTTGGGTCTTGGCCCCGCAGCAGGCCTGGCGCCCAATGAAAGAATCGGCCGATCAAGTGCCAATCAGATCAATCAAACGCAACCAATTTATTGCATTTGCGTAAGGATAAAGGCCGAGAGCTTCCTTGGAAGAAACGGGAGGGTTTTTTAGACGATGCTTTTGCGCTTTGACCCAGACGTCATCTTGGGAGGGGCACTCTCCACCCTGCAGGCGAGCCCAATGCCTGCTAAGGTGGCGCGTGGCTACCTGCAGTTTCTGCAAGAACCTGTACAACCCACCCCACCGCAAAAGCCACCCGCCCTGCTTCCCAGTGGCCCCGGCATCTTCTCAGCTGGTTCTTAGGGCATGGCCTATGAATGCTCAGCCAGCCAAAAGCAAAAAACCAGCGTCGCTCAGCATTCCCCAGCCTGTGTCATACCTGTTCAAGCAGTCATCTAAACATCCAGTTTTGCTCCCGTCCTCAGGTTTTTTACAGTTACAAGTTGTGGCCTCATAACCAGAAAGAGGTTTCACATCCACATAAACATCTGCAGATGAAAGGGGCAGGAAACACACATTTATCTCGCTCTATTCCCCCCATATTTATTTTAGTCATTATATTTATATCCCACCTTTTATTCTGCAAGTATCCCAAGGCCACGTACACCCCACTCCCTCCCATTTATCCCACAACAACCCTGTGAGGGAGGTGAGACTGAGAGGCAGGACTGCCCCAGAATCACCCAGTGGCCCAGCAGCGGGACTAGGAGCAGGGTCTTCTGGTCGCCTCCCAAATCACCCTCCGCCACGGAGTCCTCCAATTTGGAAGCCCCCCGCCCGCAAGCCCGACCCACAGGAAAAGCAGGGCAAGACACCCACAGCGAGAGGCTGCCGACGGGGAGGGCGGGTGGGACGGGGCCGCCAAGCGAGGGCTGGGGACTGGCGGACTCCACGCGGCGGGGGGAACGGTAAAAGCGGCGCTACATAAACACAAGGTGACTTACTTGAACGGATCTTTTTGTAAAGTGGGACGTCTGGCTTTTTGTACAACTGGAAAGAAAAGAAGAATGGTGCTTTATTACACTGCAGCATGATAGCCTCTGTGCGGGAGGAAAGAAAGGGAAGCGATTTGCATTTTTCATAAGGGAAGATTTGATTTCTGCCTAACAGGGTCTAATGTAGGGTTGGCTTTGTGGAGGGAGAGAAAGAGGCAGGCAGGCAGGCAGGCAGGCAGGCAGGCAGGCAGGCAGGCAGACAGGGTTTGATTTGTATCTTTAATAAAAGAGAAGCTAAACATGCATTGGACGGAGTCCAAAGGCCTGTGAATGGGAAGGGGAAGACGCCTTACTGCAGTTCAGTGAATTCCTGCACAAGTGCTAGTGCCACACACTATGCAATGGCAGAACATCCCCAACCTGGTGCCCCCTCGTTGCTACCGCCCCTTCCGTGAGTCCCATGCTGGGAGATGCAATCCAACAAATCTGGAGGGCAGCAGCTTAGGGAAGGTTGTTTTACCGCAGGAGAAACATGGTCAAGAGGGAAAACACAGGCCGGAGCATCTAGAATCTAGCAGGAAGAGGTTGAGAAGCACTTGGGCAAAGCCTGGATAGACGGGAGAGCTTCTCAGGATGGGTATGTGAGGCTTTTCTCTCGCACCACTAAGCCACACTGCCTGTCTGTGAGCAGAACAGGTTTTCTACCAGGCTTAGAAATAAGGGTGCTCCCAGATCATGCCCCCACGTGGCTTCAACTGTGGAATTTTACAGGGGATCCCATGGTCACCCTGCACTGAAGAAAAGGTGGAGGAGCTGCACCGTACCCTCTGGCTGTGAGCGAGGGGAGCCCTCCACCCGGAGCCACCCAGAGTCCATAAACATCTCCAGCCTGCAAGCTGCCAGCCTTTGCTTCCTTGCCTGCTGCAGGGGGGGAGAGCTGCGCTCTTGCACAGCCTGTGCAGGAATGCGGGCTGCTGCCTCGGAGCAGGCGAAGTCTTGTCTTTTCTTTAGAAAAGAGGTGGGGGGGGGGATCTTCTGCCAGCAGGCTAGGGGAGTGAACTGACCCCGTTTGGGAGCTTTATCTGATCAACGCCGGTGCCAGGCCGCTGAAATGCTCTTGGGCAGGAGCCGGACGTAACAAGAGTGCTAAACGTGAGTTGCATCGATGTGTGTGCAGGCACCGCCCCAGCCTTCGTGCCGAAAAGCCCGTGCACGGTTGCGCCGCTTCAGCAGGGCCGTGCCTGCGCGCAAGGGGCTCTTCTGAGGAGCGCGCCGGGCGGTGGCGATGCTTGTGGCTGGGAGACTGGCAGGGGTTGGTGGGAAGACGGCGGGCTGGGCAGGGCAGAGAAGGAAAGCGGGCCGGGCAGAGGCCGCCCGCTTGCAGGGCAGAGGCCGCTTCCTTCACGCGGGGCGAGGACCAAGTTCACACCCTGCCGGGCAAATCCTGCCGCAAACTCTCCGGTGGAAACCTTTCGTCAGAAGGTACCCCACCCTATTTTTAGCCTTGCGCCCTGGCAGGCGAGCGCTCCTTAGAGAGAATGCAGGAGGGACCATACAGTGTGCTCCTTCTCGTCCAAAAGAGCTCAGCTTCTAAGTGGAATGAAATAAAATAAAAAAACCCGCTCGGCTTGGGACCGGGTCCAAGAATAATAAGGCCTGAAAATTTTCAGTGCTGTTGGCAGAACATCCGAATTCTCCAGAGGCGTGTCAAAAAAAACAAGATCCCTGCAGGAGCAGCCAGGCGCTGTCAAAATAAAAGTCCCCAACAGGCTTATGGGTGGACACTTTGAGGATCCGGGTGGCTGCTATTTTGCACGGGGAGAAAGTGCTGGGGGGGGGGGCGGCAGCGAGGTAATGGAAATTGTCTGCATTAAATATATATATTCAAGGATCCGTTTTCCCCTCCCTTGGTTGCTTCCATCAGCAAAACACTCCCAAATGAGCCGCTAGTATCAATGCAGCCGCAGCAGAAAACAGCCAATTCTTCGCAGGGAATGCGGTCTTGGCACCGCGTGGCTTTTTTTTTGAAAAAAGAAAAGAAAAAAAAGAGACAGGTCTCCTACCTGATTATGTTTCCACTGCCAGAGAATGTCATAAGGCAACTGGAAGTCTATCCGCTTTTGGCGTAGGTATTTTCCTGCAATGGGGGAGATAAAGGGTGGCACAGAAAAGTCAGCTATGCTCCCGCGCTTCTCTCCCCCACTCCCTCACACTCGCACTCGCGCGCACACGGATGCACGGAGCACAACACTCCTGGCACGAGCAGCCCGGACATCTGGGTGACTCAGGCAGAGGCTCCAAACGCTCCAACTTCCGCCGCTACGCAGGCCAGCGAGGCAAGAGCGCCTCCGGGCCTTGCTGGCCAAAGCCTCCGGCCCGTCCTTCTACTGCCCGCGCGGTGGCCGGCTTGAGGCCTCGCACGAGTCCAGCCCTTGCTCTGGGCCCTCTGCGGTGGCTATTCGGGGACGGGCTGCCCCGGGCACGTTCTGTGGGGAACGAACAGCCGGAGGCAGACCGGGCCTCCTCGCTCGTGCCTCCTGCCCCGTTAGAACAGGCTGGCCTGGCCTGATGCCCTCTGGGTGTGTGGGGCTGTGTTCCCACCGGCCTTGCAGGCCGGGAATGGCGGGAGCTGCAATCCAGCCGGTCTGGAGAGCTCCAGGTGACGGAGGTCTGCTCTGTACGGATCCCGGGAGCCATAAAAACAGACTGCTGGATCAGGCCAGCTGGCAGCTGTCGGCAGAACGCTCCTCTTCCTCTTCCCATCTGCCAAACCCCATTTAAAAGCCGTCTCAGCAAGTGGCCATCACTCCATTCGGCGGCAGCGGCGGCAGTGAAGTCCGCAAATCAAGCCCGGGCTGCCCAAGTGGGCACTTCACAAAGTCCGTGAGCTTCTCTGTGCAGCCCGAGGTTTTGGGGTGATGGGTGGGCAAGGGCGTTAAAATCCTCTCTTCGATCCTCCGCCCCGCGCTCGAGTTTTTCAGTGCTCTGCGGTGCCCCTCTGCACAGCGGACTTTGCTCTGAACGCCAACGCCTTCGGGGGCTTAAAGAGGCGCGCCATGAGTCGGTTATCTCCTCACAGGGCTGGTTTTCTTCCACAGTCGTCCCCGTGGGCTTTTTACGGGCTTCCCGAGCGCCACTCAAGGTGCAGCGGGTGGCGCTCGTGTGCTGGGCACCTGGGACATCTTTGGGTCCCGGCAGCCACCAGCCTGTGGACTGCCTGAGAGCACTCCCCCCGTGGGGAGCCCTCGGGCTGTGCCGGCCCCGGAGAGGGCTCTGGGCACCGCACACATCCTGCCGACAGTCCTGGCCAGGGGGAGCCTGGCTTTGCACCCTGCAGCCCCTGCGTGGACCAGCCACCCCTACGCAGAGGGTGGCTGCAGACAGACACATGCACCCATTCCTCAGAGCATCTCTGAGAAGGCAGGGACTTCTGCGCTGCAAGCAGCTACATCGAGGGCGCTGCCTTACCCCCACCCTCGGGATGTGGTAGTGGAGTGGGCTGGGGGGGTGTGCAAAGGCCAGAGGGGCTGCAGGGCTTGCTTCGAACCCTGGTTCTGCTCTTCTCCCCCACACCTCCTGCCCCATCCCCTAACACCACGCAGAGGGAAGACAAGGCAAAACAGAAAAGAGCAGCTGTCCTGCGGTCTTTACAACTTGCTCTTAACATTTGCTCTTATTTTCCAAAGCCTCGAGTTGTGCTTGGTGAGTTCCAGGAAGCAGCAAAGTCCGCTGGGAATCTGTTTTCACTTCTATGACCTCACTGGGTAAAACAAAAGGCTCTTTCAAGGGCCTGGCAGCGAGCCCAGAGAGAAGGGAGCACTCTGCTCTCCTGCGCTCTCCCCCTCAATGGAGGAGGCACCCAGACAAGTTAGCTGGGAAGAGAAATAATCCTCGTAACGTGATTCGGGGAGGCGAGACTGCTCTGCCGTTATGCCAGGCAGAGTAATTAAAGCGGCCTTATCTTTATAGCACATGTTTGTTTGTGTCTCCCGGCGCAAATAAACTGCAGGCCGTGACCCAGAGAGGGGAAGGGGGAAGCGGAGCACAGCCCAGCGCACGACACTCCGTCCTCCCACCCCAAAGCTTCTGGGACTGGGACTCCCAGAAAGGATCACGAACAAGGGCCTGGCCGAGCAGAAGCGACCCAAAGTACCCTCTCTCCTGGCATCTCTCTGCGTCTAATGGAGAGGCCCGAAGCGGCAGCATCCTTGGGTCTTTTCACTCCTACAGAGGAACCCGGCTCTCTTGCGATGCCGGTGGCACAAAAACTCGCATGTGGAGACGATGGAGGGAGAGAGGCATGCCTTCTTCCCCTCCCAGGACTGGGAGTCATCTGGGGAAGCTGAATGGCGGTAGGTTTGAGCAATGTGTAACCAGCTAGTGGAATCTGCTGCCGCAAGATGTAGCAAGGGTGTTTGCTCTGGCTTTATTTCTTTCCAGGGATTCAAGTAATTCTGGAAAGAATGGGGGGCTATCAGTGGCTGCTTTTAGGAAGAGCCGGCTAGGGAACCTGCAGCTACAGCAGGGCGAAGCCCGGCTGGCAGAAGTCGCATGGGGCCGGCCACAATTGTAGGGCCAGGCAGACCGCGCCTCCGGTCCAGGGCAGCAGCTCCCACACTAGGGCAGGACGCAGCCCCTCAGCGCAGACCTCCTGGCTGCCCCCCGGCCAATGCCCCTCTCACCAGCCCCACGGACGGCTGCAGGTAATGCTGATTCCGTCACACTCTTTCCTGCAGGTACGGAATGGATGGAGGGAGACGGGCAGGACAGGACTTCCCCCCCACTGCGCACTGGACAAGGCTAAAAGCTGGGCTCCTCTCACTTTGGGCTGGAATGCAGGCCAGGCGGAGTTGGACTGACATGCCCCTCAACGGGCACAGGGCCCCCATCCTAGCTTACTCCTCGTTAGAAATGCAGCCACGAGCACCGTTTAAGGAACGCAGGCTGTCCCCAGGCTGGGGGGCAGCTGGCTGCAGGCCATCCAGCGGCTTTCCTGGGAGCTGCATGCACGCTTCCTCCAATCTAGGGCTGACAGAGAGGGTCCAAGACTGGGCTGGGCAACCAGGCGCCGCTTCCTGCTTATCCCGCCCTTAAATATGATCCGAGGGATCCAGGAGAGCCGCTGCGTGTCTGCAGGCCAGGAGGGCTTCTTCCATGTGTTTGAGGGTTCCCCCCATCACTTCCTTCTGCGATCTCTATCACAATTAAGGGCCCTTAAGAGGTTCTTCTGTTTCGTTGCCACAATTTGGGAACTGGGTTCAGTGGGGGGAGATTGAAAGGGAGGCTGAATTAGTCGTTTCATTAAAAAAAAACTGAACAAGTTGTAGCTAAACCCAAAGAAAACCCAGTCTGGTGTAGGGACTGGAGGGTGAACTTGGGACTCAGGAGACCTGGGTTCTGGTCCCCACTCAGCCACAGAGCTCAGGGGGCAACTCTGGGCCAGTCACTGGCTCACAGCCTAATTTACCTCGCGGATAAAATGGAGAGGAAGACACTTGTGTTAGCTGCCCCAGGTTCCTTACAGGAGCCAAAAAGGCAGGATATAAATGCGACACATTTACAAATATATAAGGGTTGGTTTAGGCTTCTCAAGGTCCGTGTTAATTCAAGGGACTCAGTGCATCGCCTATGAAGCATCCAATTTGATTTGTTATGCCATCTACTAAGCCCATGTATTAAAATGTGGCCATGCTTTCTCAGGTACGTTGGGGCAAGGCCAGAGCTTGGCACTGTGGGAACCTCGTCAGAAACATCTGGAGAGCAACAAGTTGCTTGCCCCTCAGCTGAAGAAAAAGGGAGGGAGGGAGAAGAGAACATATTCGCAGGTGCCTGAAAAAATGGTCTTACGTCCAACACAATCGAAAAGGACTTTCCTTCCTTGGGGGCTGCTTGTGTGACTGCAGACGAGCCCCCAAGAATCCCCTGTGCTTCTCAAAGGGCTGGCCAATACAGCGTGCAGGCGGCCAAGAAAAGCAGAGGAGGAAAACAAGAGCCACAAGTCCCGAGCCCTCTGCGCTGCAAAGCTGGCTTTCAGAAGTGGCAGGCCATTCTGCAAAAGGCATCTCCGGGTGGCGAAGAGGAAAAAGACTGGACTCCCGCGCACACAGCACGGAAATACTAAATGGCACCTGCTGGCAGGATGAACTGCCAAGTCGTATGCCTGGCTTAGCAGGTGTGCATGGAGGGTGCACACGGAGAGTAGGCCGGGCCAGGCTTACCTTGCTACGAAGGAAGTGTCACACCTCTGGGGCTTGAAGCGGAAGGCTGGGAAAGAGACGTGCTGCTTTATGATGCGACCCCACAAAACTCCCCTATCTGGAAACGGCACATGGCCTCCGTTGCTAGAATCTGTACACAGGGGAGGGTTTTGAGACCCCTGCTCTGCCCTTCACAGACTGCATGGCTGCAGGGTGCCAGAAGCCAGAACCTTTCATCCCCGGTAGGCACCTACCTCCTTTGGGGGAATGGGCTCACGCACCCCCAAAGGAGCGCCCGAGGCCTTCCGCTTCCTGGAACCGAGCAAGAGCCACGGAGGGGCACGTGCCCCCTGCAGCAAGCCACTCGCGCAGGTACTCACCCACATGAATGGGGGCCGGGAGCAAGCCGTACTCATGCTCTCCAGGGGTGTATTCCAGCTTTTCCTTCTTTAACTGGATCAGTCGGCTTTTGGGGCTGAGGGCAAGAGCGACACAGAGAGGAGAATCAGAGCACGGCCTTGCGCTGGGACACTCCGATTCCTTCGCGCACGGGGCAACGCAGGGATGGCTAGTGCTGCCGTGGTTGAGAGTGTGGCTCGTGAGTGGGCAGGGCCCTTCTCTGAATCCTCTCGGCTCCAGATAAGGGTGGTTAGCAAAAGTGCCTGGAGCGGAACTGTTCTAAATTGCAGATCGCCAGGGCAGCGGCAGGGGAATTAAGTCCTCCCTCTAGATAGCTGTGAAAATCCCCCACCAGATAGCTGCGAAAATCCCCCACCGCCAGTTTGGAGATCAGGATTTTTCTTGGTCAGGCCTGCTGATGGGAAGGGAAGGGTTCAAGATCTCCTCTGCACATGCTGTAGCCCCTAAGAAAAATCCCCCCTACTTGGTTTTAAAAAAAGACGTGACTGCAATTAAAATGATGTCTGGTTCTCCCAGCTTCAGCTTGTGGGAAGTCAGGACAACTGGTGTCCATTAAGAGCTGGCTGCAACACACCTATGATCCCTGCTAGTGAGGGTCTTTTAACATTGGTCAAATGGTGCTCTTTGCCAAGCAAAAATACTTTACAGAACAGAGCACCCCTGCAAGTCAGCTGATGCTCAGTTCTGGAGCAGATCTGGAACTCGGGGCACAGTGCAAACCGCAGGGCCTTTACAAACGCCTGCGTCGCAGTCCTGATGATGAGAGGACAGGCATAAAGGCTGCAGGAAACGGGAATGAAGAGACGGTCACACACCCCGACCAACCTTGACAGCACATCATCATGTTTATGACATACTGGGTTTTTTTCCATGACTCCTCTTACATTTCTGAGAAACGGTTTATGGACCGTACAGCATGGGCACTGTGTCCATCACCTTCAACCTGGCACAGTTGTGACAATTCTCTGCAGATTTAATCAGCCACTTGTAAGCGAAACCTACCAATGAGGAGTGAGCCTTAAGCTTTTGATTAATTTTCAGTGTGGGGCAGGCCTTATTAGCTAAACGACCTGCCCTCTCCTGACCTACTTTTTCTGCAGCTTGCAGTGCAATTAAGAGTACTGCCAGCAGAGGGTTCAGTGCCATTTTCACCATGAAACGCACAAGGCCCAGTACAGATGTGCTGTGACCCTCCAGGAATCTGTCCAGATATGGAGCGGTGCAGAAGTGCTGTAAATCCATGATTTTTTTTTTTTTTAAAGCACCGCCTGGTTGTCGCCAATGGGCATGCTGCTTGGAGACCTCTTAAAGCAGGATCCAAGCTTTGCGCAGCCTGTGTGTGGTTCCCCTCCCACCCCCCACAATTTTAATGCAAATTTATGGAGCAAATATATCAGCATAGAATTAAGGACATAAGGTTTCTTCATTGGAGCATTAGCCTCACTCCTGAGCGGCAGGAGATCAGTCTTTCCTCTGCTATCATCAATAAACCAACTGGAGCCTAAATGGCCACCTCAGCAGGAGGCTGCCTTAATTCAGCCGGGCCAGGGGTCCACCGAGCTCTGTACTGTCTACACTGACCAGCAGTGACTCTCCGGGGTTTCAGAATCAGCAAGAGCTGCAACTATGGGGAACTGAACCTGGCAAAGCTTGGCTCCACCACCGAACTGCCGTGCTTTCCCACCCTAGGCCAGTGCCTCATACCAAGACAGACCATTTGAGCGTCGACACCGAGGGTGGGCGGAGATCAGGCTGGGGGTTCTTCCGTGGCCCCCACGGTCCACTCACAAGAGCCAAAAAAAAGTGGTCCCAGGACTGCAAGTTGCCCCCAAGAATGTGCACTGCTCCTGAATCTAGTTCGGGACCAGAACTGGAACTCACACACAAATCTTTTCACATAAACATGTATTCTTATTTGTCCTGGCCCCAAGTTTCTGGTTATCAGCGTCTAATTCAAGAGGGGAAAGCATGTTTTAATCTCTGGGAGAAGGATGCTTGCTAACCAGCTGGCAAGAGGCGATGCTCTATCCTGACTGGAAGTGGGAGTCCAGCGCTTCAGAGAGGTGACTTTCTTGGCCCTACCTGGAAAGGACACGTAAGGACAGTGTCAATGTGTCAGTGATACGGAACAACGTGGGAAGGGTTTGCCTTAGCTCTGCAAGAGGGAAGATCTTCCTAGTGAACATTCTTCATAAGGATGTGTAAACCTAGCGTTTTCTTTATCAGTGACTTGTAAATACTGTGGTTTGTATTCCAAATATCACTGCGGTTCATTTCAAACAACACAATCTGGAATGATTCCATCCAGCCATTTGTGAAAATGCGGGAGAAGGAAACGGTTGCCCTTTGAGAACAGAAGGTATAAAAGACTCACTGTGTATCAAATGCTTTTTTTAAAAGTCTGTGAGGATATGTGCCTACACTATGTTATTTTTGATACCGTAATTTTAAGAGAAGTGCTTTTGGAGAGATCTGTCAACAAATTTGGGATAATTGCTTGCCTTTTTGAGATTATAGCCCTGAGGAAGAATACATTTCCAATCTGCAACAGATTCATGAAGATGACAATATATTTTGGAATTAATTCCACACCAAAAGCCATTTGTGCTTTTGCTTGGAAGACAGAAATGATCCATCTGCTCTGGTTCGCTTCACTTTGAAGCTTGTGGAATACCTTTTTCCCTAAAAGGTTTGCTGTTGGCCAAAGGGTGATCAGAGGCCAAATGGGAAGCTTCTTCCTCACTTGGGGAACAGTTATTTATACAAGTGGAACCACTGATCTGATATGCATGAGAGTATACCGCTCCCTGGTCTTAAGAGGAGGAGCTTCTGATCGTTCCTTTAAGAAAAAGAAAAAGGGGGGAAAAAAGGAAATGCTGATGAGTCATATGTCTTGTGAGCAAAGTATTCTTTAACTTGGATGCCATTCAGGAATTTTGCGTGTGGGCTCCAGAGAGGAGACGGCAAGTTGCAACAGCACGCCTGCTGGAGCAAGGGCTAGTCTGCGCTAGCCGTCCCTCGCGGAGGGATCCCGCCCCCGGCACCACTGGAACGCGCTAATGGCAGGCAACCTGCACTGGACCCTGTGCCCTGACCTGATGCTGGGTGACGACAGAGTGCTTGCAGAGAGACTCGGTCGAGCAGCCACAGCGGCTGCCGCCGGACCTCAGCAGGAGCCGAGGCCCGAGCCGTGCAAACCGGCCAAACCGTGGGGTGCTGCTCTGCAGCGTTGAGAGAGCAGAGCACCCCACCTGAATCGCCCTTCCTGCCACGGGCCGAACGCGACCAACGCGAATGGCAAAACAGCCGCGTGGGGAGGACTGCGGGAACCACGGGAGACTCCTACGCTTGGTTGGGAAATCGGTTAGTGATGCCATGGGCATTTTTTTTGGTGATGTTCCCGATATCTAGGCAAGGTTATTATGTGATAACCCTCCCATGACGTATGGCAATTTAAGCTGGAATTAAAAACAAAAACCAAAAACCGTCAGATTTGCTTCACTTAGTGAGACTGCAGAATCCAGCGTCAGCGGGGAACAGGATTTTAAGTTACGCCCTTTTATGTTCAGACCTGATTATGCCTGAATGTTTTAATTACTTCTGAACGCCACCAAAAGCAGGGTCAGGCAATACCAGGCCCAGAGAGCAGGGGGCCTTCCTAGCCTTTTTCCTTGGTCCCTCCTGTTCCCCCCTCACCTCCTGCTACCGCAGCTATTCTTGCTCCAGCCCTGCTTTGCATGAAAACTGCGGGGCCAGGGAAGTCCCTCAACGTGAAAGGGGAGGCGGCAGAAACTGGGGCGTTGCTGTTATTGTTAAGACCAGTTCAAAAGCCTGCTAAAGAGAAACAAAGGGAGAGCGCTTAAAATTCTCAGGTCAAGGCGTCTGACCCTGGCCGAGGCCGGAAACTCAGCAGCGCGAACAAGACGGCTGAAGCCTCTCCCAAACCAGGTGATCTGGAGAGGTGTGTGACGGCCACTGCAGGCTGAACATCAAGTCTGCAGGCCTTCACTCCTGGGGGTCATCCAACTTACTCAGTGGTTTTGTACACGTCAGAATACAGCCCTGCCTTCTGGTACTTCTTCTTTGGTGGGCGGGGAGCTTTCTTCTCGCGTAACACGACGGGGGGCAGCGGCTGCTCCGTGCTTTCCGGCTCGCGTGGCTTTGCGGCCGCCTCGGCAGGAGGAGGGGTCTCTGCTGCAGCCTCAGAAAAGCTGGAAGGAAAAAACCGGGAAAGATCCGCATGCTGGCAACTGCTGCGTTCCGTGAGAGCAGGGGGCCAGGGCCTCTTTTTGTCCTGGGGCAAATTCGGTTCCAAAGGCGGGCTCAGGGGCCCATATTCGCTCAGGAGGGGGTTCAACCAAAGGCAAATTGGCAGCTTGTTTAAGCACTGAAGCCCCCAGCGCCTGTAACTCAACCTTGCAAGGAGCACCTCTACCTCTTGCAGCAAGGTGGGCGGAAGAGCTCAGGCCGGTCAGCAACGGGAGGGATGCGGAGGGAAGCATCCGCTGTCCGACGATCGCAGAGGCATGGATTTGGTCCCCCGGGCCTGGGGTTCTGCTCCCTCGCACGAGAGACTGGACAGCCTCTCCATGGGGGCCTCATCCCTGTGCCTTCAGAAGACCTCAGGTCCACTCCCAGCATCTCCTACGGAAGAGAGCTCAGCCAGGAAGGGCGGCTGCCCTGCCCGAGGCCCTGGAGAGGTTCTGCTGGTCTGAGAGAAATCCTAGACTAGATGGCCAGCAGCATCCGAAGGCAACTTTCTCTTCTGGGAGGAGCTTGGAGGTTATACCAAGCCCAGCTGGACTGGGCGTCCGGCTCGGTAGTGAGCCGGATCCCCTACGTCCACGGACAGTCCTGGCAGTGTGCAGCCTGCGCCCTCCCAACTGCCTACTCCGACTGGCTGCGGTCCTCCAGGTCTCAGGCACCGGACCTTTCTCGAGACCTGCTTCCCTGATCTCTGCAGAGATGCCAGGAACTGGACCGAGGAAGCTCTGCACGCAGTATGCCTCCTCCACCCCTCGGCTATGCGCCATGTGGCGAAAGAAACCCAGCTGTCACTCAAGGGGACGGGGGTTAGTACAGTGCCAGGCAGAGGGTGAGGGATGCCCTGTGCAGGTTGTGTCTTTTGGGACCGGAGCTTACGGGGGAGTGTGGCGCCAGACCTCCCTTCTCCACCCGCCTCCAACCAGTCCGTGGTCCGTGATCCCCTCTGCAGCAGAAGCCCAATGCTCGGCGTTCAGGGACCCAGAGGTCACCTTTTACTGCTCTCCTGCTCTTCCTCCGGGAGCGGCTTCTGCTTTTTCCTGGCCTGCTCGTCTTCCAGCCACCGCTTCCTTTTCCAGCCCTTCACGCTCACTCCCTGAACCACCGATTCGATGGCGTCCGTGACGGTGTCCGGCCCGCAGTGCAGCAGGCAGCCCCGGCCCCGGCTGTCGAGGTCCTGGCCGACAAACCGGCTCACGTGGAGCGCGTGGGCCGAGACGACGGAGGGCAGCGGGTACTTCCGGGGCCTGCCTGGCCTGCGCTTCACGAAATTGTTGCCCGTCCGCGACTGCCTCTGCAGCTTCTTGGCCTTGAGGATTTTGTTCACGTGGTCCAGGTTCTTCTTGGTGGCCAAGAGCTTGTCGTAATTGCACATTTTCCTCGCCTGGCACTGCATGGCTTCCACCATGCTCCTCTTGAGGTGATGAGGGGAGTAGCTGCTGGACAAGCGCTCAGAAAGGAGTGAGAGGCCGGTGCTGTCCGTGTCACCTGGGATCAAGAGCCCGCTGCTCTTCTCCCTGCTGGGACTCCGACTGGGGCTCCCCGAAGGAGGAGTCGGTGTGTTTGCCATGACAGTCTCAAGGGTTTTGTCCAGCGCACCCTGGTTTTCCTGCTGGGCCATGCGCTGCAACAGATTATCCACAGGATCTTCCATCGCGTTCCCCAGCCTTGTACTTCGTGCCGGGATCCCAACCACTGAAAATGGAAAAGAAATTGCAGTTAGGCTTCAGGTATTGCTTGATATGCAGGAAAAGTTTTGCTTGTTTTTATATACAGTTCTCTTTCTCTTCGCAAAAATCTTTAAGATGGCTAGCAGCCAGAGATCAGAGTTTAAATGAAACGGCGGCCCTCCAATGTTCTGCCACTCCCATTTGCCCCGTCCAGGAATCCTGGGAGCTGAAATTTGGAGGGAAACAGGTGGGAAAGGCTGCTTTAGGGCACCAGAGATGAAAGGTGGTACCCTTGACTCTGGCCTGAAGACAAGCAGGTAACTCTGGAAGATGATACATTATTGGAGTGATACACTTTGCCATTCCAGCCTTGTTCAGAAGTGTAAAAATTCCTGAAATACTGAGGCAGCCAGTATAGGGGGAAAGAAGATGGAAAGTATTCTCCCAGAAAAAAATGGAAATTCTGTGGGGAAATGGAAAGGCATGTATTACTTTTTAGCATGTTTTCCAGATCTAAAGTCTCTTCGTTAGTTTGGGAATGTAAAAAGCTGTATATGTAACTTAGTTTGCTCAAAAAATCCTCATTAAAATTAAAAACATTTAAAAGCAAAAGCAGTGAAATCTGTAATTATTGTCTGAATAAATTGCAGTTTAAAATTTAATATACCCATCACAATAAGCTTATGAGAAAAATCAATCAATAATGCAGTTTTGGTTCCTCTTTTATGTAAGACCACAGGGAATGTTGACAAGCAGCTCCTGAAACATTTAAATCATCCTGGAAGCAGAAAGAGCTGGATTCAAAGGAAGAGTGGTGTGCAACAAAGGCTAAATCTCCAGATGTTTTGGACTTCAGCTCCTGGAGCAGCATAGCCGATGGTCAGAATTGCTGAGAGCTGACATACAAAATAGCTACAGATCTATTTCTGTCCACCCTGATGCATAAAATTGGTTCGTGCTTGTGGGGAATTGAGTGAGGTGGAGGTTAGGTAAATCTGGTCTGAAGAAAAAGCTTTGGGGAGTTTATTTAGCTGAGAAGACTTTCTTGCCTACTAATAATGGTTCCCAAGCATATTTAACAGAGTAACTTTTAAGCAATCTCAATCTACTAATTGAAGAGTGGCATTTTATTCCCTTTGGTAAACCATAAAGATCCTAATCTCTGTTTGTTTTGAAAACTCATCTCTAACTGTCATGTCACACCCATGCTTACGTCAGAAGAACCGTGCTCCTGAAATTCTTTTAAGTAAAAGAGGGTTTGCTTTGCTGGCACAGTAGCTGAAAGTTTTGACAGATGAGGCAGTGTTACCTAGCAGTGAGATCTAACTGGAAACGTTATTAAAAAGAAAACAACACCTATGGCAAGAACGTACACTTTCTTCACATATGACACATTATAACGTTGTTGGGAAGCGGAGCCCAGCTCAGAGAATCCCCAGAGGAATTCAGTAAAAGATGCACTGGTTGCTCAAATAATCTTAATAAGGAACAGAAGAAATAAATATACGAGGAATCATATACAGAATATTTTAAAACACTGTTTCTCCTTCCTCCCTGACCATAGCTTTAAAATTTCCAGGAATTTTACAACTCATGTCTTACATAAATATCTTCCAATTATGTAATTTTTAGAAAACGCTTTGGACAAGTAAAGACTGGGTAGCAATAGTTTCACCTTGTCTGAAACATTGGATTCACCATTCTAAAAATATAATGATCCAATGGGTTTTCCCCCCCCGGAAACTGAACAAGATCGCATGGGGGAAAAAAAAGCAAGATGGTTTTCCCCCGCATTTTTCCAGGGTTGTTCACATCTCTGACCCCATTCCAAACTTTGGCAGAACTGTTTTCGCCCAATTCATGTTTCCAGACACTTTTCAAGGCCAAACACCAATAAAGGACACGGCAGCAGCCTGACAGGGATGTTATTAATGTGCGAATGACACTGGCCAGGTCTGTCTTCTTCAGAAGAAAGCACAGCTGGCCCAGCAGCCGAAGCCGCGAAAAAGTTTTCTGGCGTTTGCAGGCTGAATCTGCCTTTCCTCTCACAGCACTCCTTGGGGGAGGGCGAAATTCTCTGGGATTCCTCATGGGCACGCCATCTGTTGAAGGATCAGCGCTACCTGAACAGTTGCACTAACCGATGATAATACAGCTACACAACACAGAGGGGTGGGGGTGGGGGGAGGAAGGAGGATGCAGTGGCTTGAGAGGCTGCCCTCGAACTGGCACCCCCATTTCTGGAAAAGATCCAAGATGGTCGGGGAACCAGAGCGCCTGAGCCCCAGTGACAGCTGCAGGGCTGGCCAGGCCACGCCTGGAGAGTATTTGATTAACGAAGGAAGTTTTCTGTAACACACCGTGCCTGGGGAGAATCGCACGGTGAAGACGGGCCGCATCGGCAGCTCCATGATCGCCTTCGGACCCCTTCTCCGCTTGCACGGATTTTCTGCAGCAATCCGATGCGGTCACTGCCTCAGCCCAACCTCACTGTTCTCATCTGTCTTGCAGGCTGTCGACTGATAAAATGCCACCTGCTGCTACTTTTCCAGCTGGGGCTCAGCCTCCCTCTGTACTGAGCAGGCTGCCTTGGAAGGCTTCTATACCTCCCTTTCACGGCTTCACGTCGGCGCGGGTGAGGACAAAGATGGAGCGTTACTCCCGGGCGGAAGTGGGGGAGCACAGGAACAGAAGGGGAAAGGACCCAGACGGAGCTCAGGCGGCCTGCGCACCAACTGGAAGGGCAGAGACAGACTGCAAATGTGGCTCAGTGCACAAGGCCACACAGTGGACCGACATCCTTTCCAAGGTCCTCCCCGTGCTTTGCTCAGCTCAGTAAAGCTGGCAAGCCAAGCAGGACTCTCTTCAGAGCCCTCAAAGAGGCGACGCCATCAGCCTGCTGACCTGCAAGCGACAGAGGATGCGCATGTGAACTGTGAGCCCCTGCAGAGATCACGAGTTTCTTCCTCCTCCTCTCCTGCCCAACAGTAACTTTTTCTGAGTGTACCTTCTCAATGGCAAAAAAGAAGAGATGCTTCTGTCTCTCCTTAAAGGAGGGATGGGGACCCTCCAGAAGCAGCCCCCTGGATTTTGCTGCTGGGGCAATTGACCTTTAAGTACCCTGCAAATAATCAAGCCGCTGCAAAGGTGTGGAGGCGTGTGCTTTGCAGGCAGGTCAACCTGCTCACCGGCTGGGAGACACGTGGGGACTGGGTTACAGAAAACGGTTCCTGAGCTATTCCATCCTGCTTACTTCAGAGCAGACATGCAGCCGCTTTCTCCCAAGCATTTCAGAACAACCTTCAAATCACAAGTGGTCCAGCTGCCTCTGCCTTTGGCCCTGCATAGGGATAGGAGGAGGCCCCCAAACCTTCTCCTTTTCGTGGCCGAAAAAGAGTCGCTAACCCTGACGTAAAGCAAAGGTGCCAGCTAGGAGGAAGGAAAACAGTGATCGTCTGATGGGCGCCAGAGTCAAATTCACTGATAACGACGGTTATGAATCCCATTGCATTTCGAACGAAGATTGATCAGGGGACGGAAGGTTCTCACGTAGCTCCAAAGGAGTTGCTAGCTTACTATTTAAGAGGCTTTATTCTGCTTTTCCTTACCCAAAGAGGATAATGCCACAAATCGATAAGAACCAGCAGCAAAGACTTCAAAATGCCAACACCACAGCAGTGAGAAAGCCCATCTGCACCAAAGAGGCAGCAAGGAACTCGACGACAGTAACTAGCAGGTCCTCTTGTCCCTGCGGGCACAGCCTCTTTCAAAAGGCGTTTGGATTAATGGTGCTGCTCCTGTTGAACCGATTCCTCTGCCCCTGCTGGATTTCAGCCTTGCCCTGCTCTGTGCTGCTGCCCCCCCACCCCCGGGTATGTGTTGGTAGCTGGAAGGTCCACCCAGGGCTAGCTCCTGGTGAGCCAGATTCTGCCCACTGGCTGCCCTGGATTGGGCTCCACCTGCCAGCCTTTCTGGATGACCTATTAGTAGAAAGACAGCCAGGCCCTGCCGCCACCCCGGCTCAGCGTTTTAGAAAAAGAAACATCATTTGCCTGTAGAAGATGTGCTCTCAGATGAAGACCTCTTTCTGGAAGGGCTGCAGCTTGTGCCCTCTGCTGACCTCTGCACGAGTTTGTCCTGCGCTGGAAGTGTCCCTGGAGAAAGAGAAAAGACGAGTCAGAGCAGAGCGAGGGCTTTAGAGCGACGCAGAGTGGCAGTCCTCACCAAGGTGCCGGCGCCTTCGCAAGTGCTAAGGATGCTACGTGTGGATGCGGGGCCTCTGCAGAAGACACCGGGACATGGAAAGAGTCAGGGTGGAATGGACCAGTGATCCTCCTTGCCTAGCATCTGGTTCACACATTGCCCGGCCAGCTGCCTGTGGGGAGACTCCCAGGCAGAAGAGGAGTACGGAAGGACCCTCCTGTCCATGTTCATCAGCATCTGGAAAGCACAGACACGCTGCCTGGGACACTGGAGGGCGCCTAAGGCCATCAGCACTGGAGGGCTACAGTCTCCACGACTAGCAGTCCACCCTGGAAATTGGGAAAGGATCTGCATTTTTTAAAAGGTCCCTTCTTACTCTGCCAAGGCCCTTGATGAAGGGCACGCAATGCTATTAAGACCCTACGACAACTTCACACATGAAACGGTCCCAAGCTTGGGACAGTTCACCCTGGAAAGTAACCGCGTACTCTGGCCAAAACAACCCCAAACAAGTAAACATTTACATGCGTAAAAACCACGCCGGGAGCATCCTAACCACCACAAGACGCACAACTGCAATGTCAGTGGCAAGAAGTCTGGGCTGCCCGCTCAAACGTCGGCAGAGGAGGAGCCTTGCACATCGCCCCAAGGACGGCCTGCGGTGGGCAGCCTGAATGCCGCAGCGCCAAGCATCTCTGTTCCTAGGCAACTTTGGGAGAACAGCACAACGAGGGGGCCGTCACCCTACTCACACATCCAAGGAGGACCAGGGAGGGTCTTCTACCAGCAACGCTGCAGGACAGGAAGCTGTCTATCTGTCCATCTAGCCAGGTCTTGCCTATTTCTGGTCTTGTTCCCCTGGTCCTCATTTAGCTGGAGGTGCCAGGAAACCAACCCGGCACCTTCCCCGCACAAAGCAAGTGTGCTGCCCACCCGTTCCACATCCCCTGGCCGAGCCCTTCTGGCCTTGTGCCAGGCGAAAGGAAACCTCAGTCTGTGGAACCACACCTGCCCCTATTTAGCTCTCTTCCCTTCCAAACCCTCTCTTTTCATCCCTTGCTACCAAACTTTAGAAAACTCACTCCTTGAGACAAAAGCATGCCTCTTCCTCGCTTTTGCTGATTCTCGAAAGTCCCTCTGCACTGGTAACACTAAACCGTGACCCTTGACAACCACCATGGATGGCAAAGTTCATGAAATGGCACGGATGGGCCCGATCCAGACCTTGGCGCTCTAGCGGAACAAGAGGCAGTGGCTCTAGCAAAGAGACAGTCAGGTGAGAGGAAGCTCCTACCCTCCTTCTGGGGAGAGCTCCCCACCCGTTTCCTCTCCCGCTCTGTCCTGCCCACCCTTCCACTGAAAGCACGCCTGGCGCATCAGGTTCGATGCCGTTCGCCTCCTCCGCTGTCCTCCTTGTGCTCTGCTCTCATAACGTAGCCGAGCTGGTCCAGAAAGACGGTGCAACGTGTTTTGGTTTTGCTTCCCCTCACCCAGGAAAAGGTTCTTGTGCAAAGAGACCGCTGCCCTGGAAACCCACTCCCCAGAACAAGATTCAGCGCTTTTTCTGCTAAAAAGGCCAACGACTTCTATTTCTGCAGGGCAACGCTGAGATCTACGTGCTGGCTCTAAGCCAAGGTAACGAAACCTCCCCTTTGTTTACTACTGGGTGGACGATTTCTATTTTCATCTTCTTATTTTATTCCTCTCACCCTGCCCCCCTCTGTGCAACGGGCAAAAATTAGCATACACTTAGCAGCTTTTGGCTCCACTTCAAATGGCCATTCTAATAAAACAACGATCACCCCGCTCTCAAATACGGTAAATGCACCACATCAGACAATCCTGTGGCCTGTGTGTGGGCACATGGCGTTATTGCATGCCTTCAAAGCAGGAAACATAGTTTGGGCATGACAAATCAGTGCAGCGTTGCATCTGAGGAAGAGGGCCACGCTTGCCCCCGACCCATGGGGGAGGGTTGCTCTTGGGCTGCAGCCTCCACGGTAATCTCTCTCGAAGGGAGGAGCCCAGGGTGGTGCTCACTAGCACAGCTCCTTGTAGACCTGGCCAGGCAAGAGGCAAGGCTCCACTGGACAGCCCAGCTAGCCACGGCCGGGGTCCCGGGAGAAGCATCCCTCTCGGTGTCGCCCTGGCCGGGCCGGAGGCATTTCAGCAGCCCTTCCCCAGCGCTGTCTGCAGCAAGAGCAACGCTGAGAAGTTCCCGCCTGTGTTTTGGACGCAAGGAGGGCCAAACTAGAAGTGGTCAGGGCAGCCACGGGCAGGCGTCCACCCCGCTCACGTACAGGGGGTGGAAGGGAGTCATTTTGACAATGTGAGGAGAGTGGGACTGTTCCCCTCTCTAGGCGCTGTCACCCCAAGCTTTTCTTCCGGCCCAGCTCTGGTTCGCGAAATGGACCAGGCTCGGGAGAAAAGTGCCTGCAGTGACAGAGCACGGTGGGGGTGGGGGGAGACTTCTGCTTCCCTAACAAATGGGGCCATTTTTGGCTGGAAAAATTACTCTTGCCCGGCCCCAGCTTTCCATCCACAATGTTGTCTGGGCTGTACAAACCCATGTTTTTTTGCATGATGTGGAAGTCTGTGCACTTACTGCACAATCACAAACGTGTTACAACCCAGCCCGAGCTTCGTGGCTGCGGACTCTGTGCGCTGAGGCTTCGGGCTGGGGCCATCCGTGTTTGAGAACTCGAAGGGGGCTTTATGATGAGTTGCACAAATTCCAGTTACGAGAAGCATGAAAAACAGCACGGAGGCGGTCGATGTCGAGAATGCAAAAACGCGGGCCCCATCAGGGAGCGGAGGGGCAGCCTTGGGTTGGCCTCTGCATAATATGCGAAAGGGGGTCTGACGAGGGAGGCTCCGGAGGCGGCGATCTTGGCGCTGCTTAAACGCAGCTCTTCGGACTCCGGCTGCACGGCATGCTTGGGATGCGGCAAGAGAAGGTGAGCGAGGCAGGGGCTGGGCTCAGAGCGGCTTCCGTGGAGAGAACAGCTGGTTCCCATTGTGGGAGAACGCACTTATTGAAGGCGATACGTTTTCATCCGACTCACCAATTAAATGCACTAGCAGAGACGTAATGATTCAGAGATGGCACTCGGTGGGCTCTGGCCTAAGACGTCTCTGTTTTCCTTCTAATTAAGGCTGTTTCTCATCAAATCTAAGTCCGCTCACTCACGGTAATGGAATTCCTCAGGAAATTCCCATAACACCACTAACCAAGACAACATGTTTTCTCCTTTTTGAGCTTAACCCACTGAGGATGATTTCTTGACTGCACGAGTCTCACAGAGGGCAGCGATGACTGAAGCCCTGTTTCTGTTTGTTTAGACCAGACTTCCCCAATCTTGTGCCGCCCAGGCACTTTGGACTGCAGCACCCAGAATTCCCATTCCATGGTTCTGGTGGATGGGAATTCTGGGAGTTGCGGTCCAAATGCCTCTGAAGGCTGCTAAGTCGGGGAAGGCTGGTTTAGATGGGTAAACTGGCCTTCATCCACAAGGTATCCCAGGGAACTTTATCACAAAGGGACAAAAACATACAATGACATTTTAAAAAGCAAGCAGCGTAAAAATAATTCAGCCAGAAAACAAAACCAAACAGGATCAATTCTAAGATATGTTGAAACGTGGTACTTTTCAGAATGGGATGCGTGGCCTCTGGAAACAAGTTGGGGAAGGGACTTGAGATATTGGGGTGAATTATTATTTATCTGAAACAATGATGAGTACAAGAAGGGCACCTTTTAAGGTTATGGATCAATGGTTTTTAAACAATGGTTCTTATTTATTTATTTGGAATACTTGTATGCCGCCCCATTCGCATAAGCCTCTTATATCTTGTAACCTGCCCTGAGAGCCATTTTGGGCTCTCAGGGCAGGATAGAAAACTAATAAACAAACAAACAAACAAACCAGGTTTAAAGTCCTGCTCTTGGACGTAGTTAAGATTAAGTGTAAAGAATATTTGTTATTTTATTTTTTATAGGAAATACCCTGTAATCACTGTAGCAATTCTGGCAAATTCCAGAGATCTAGCATCATCGGCCTGTTGCAGGAAAAACAAAAAAAGGAGTCGTGTGGTATCATAATGGCACAAAGATTTATTGTAGCATAAATATTTGTGGACTAAGGCTATAGAAGCTTATGCCTCGGTAAATCTGCCTGTTCTTTAAGATGCCACAGGAATCCTCCTTGTTATAGAAATATTAGCAACACGGTTCAAAAAGCCATGCAAAGAGACAGATATGACCCCTATACCTGATATCGTCTCTTCCTGAAATTGTTTGTGCCAAACCAGAAATTGACTAAAAGTGGAGAGCAACTCCGAAAAGAATGGCCAGCTGTCAACAGAGCTGAGCAAGTATTTTCCAATTACCATGAGCCCAACATCAACTGTTTTAGATGCCTGCTTGGACCGCCAAACATCCAGGATTTTCCCAGCCCCAACGGGCTTCCATGAAGCATCAGCTCTTCCAGTCCTTCACCTCCAAAATATAGTTGTGATCTCCTAGGGAATGTCCCCCCCTAAACTTCCCCTTTCAAGCTCAGCAGGGAAGAAGGATGCCTGAACATTGGTCCATACACAATGGGCCCAAAAGGGGAGAGGCCACAACACAGGAAAAGAATCAGGATGGAATGAAGGAGGGTGTCGGTTCAATTCCTGGTACCTCCAGATAGAAGGAGCAGGTATGATGGGAGAACTTTGCCTTGAGACTTTAGAGAGCTACTGTAATTCACTGTCAGTAGTAATGATGAGCCCAGCAGAGAGAACTCTTAACAAGGATTCAAGCCTTCCTCGCAAACTGCTTTCTTTCCAGATGTTTTGGACTACAACTGCCAGCATTCCTGCCAGCTGCCTGGTGCTGATGGGAGATGAAGTCCAAAACATCTAGGGGGCACCAGGTTGGGGAAGGCTGTTCCAGGTGGACCAATGGTTGGACTTGGTACACAGCAGTCCCAACTACCAGAGGCAAGCCTCCGGATTGGCTGGGCTGCTCAGAGCCTGGTCTCCTTCCATCGCCTAGTTGACGAAGCGGGTCTGACGTCAGGGTCCCGTGACGTCACACGACCGCATTTGGTGCACGGGCGTCGAGTCGACTAACAAGCACAATGCTAAAAGGAACTACTCCAGCTCAAGTTCGAGTCACTGATCTGCTGCTAAAGCTCTCTGAGCGAGAAGTCCGCGTTACGCGACACGCCAAGACGCATGCAACACGGGAGGTCTCTCTCTTACCTGGCAGGACTGCCACCGTCTTCTCCACGGGGGGCAATGTCTCCTTTCGGAGGGGCCGGCCTAGAGACCCCTCCTGGGGGCTGAAGAGTCCTGAGCCATCGGACAGTTTTTTACGCCCGCCGGTACTGGCAGAGCCCGCAACCCGGCAGCTGCCTATTGCACTGGTGAAAAGGTTTGTGTGTTCGTCACCGCTGGCCGGCTCGGCGCTCGGAGTGAACTTCCCCAAGGGCAGGCTGGGAGGAGCATCGGAGCAGTCTATCTGCAGCGGGGTCTGTAATCCCAGGGCAAGGGAGCTGGACTCCGCCGGCTCCCTCCGGACCCACTGCTCCTCCCTGCCCAGCAGGCCTTTCGAAGGGGACAGGTGAGGGTAGGACATATGGCACCGGTGCTTCTCCTTATGCTTGTACCTGTCGCCGGCGGCCTCCTTCCCAAACCGGTAGCGCTTCAAGGACTCCAGGACGGTCCGGGAGGGGCCGCTGGGCGCCAGGGGGTCGATGGAAACCTGGGGCTGCTCCGCGGAGCGGTGCTCCCGGTGCTTGTGCCGGTGCCGGTGCTTGTGCTCGAGCATCCAGCCGTACGCCATCTCGGGCGGGACGCTGGGGTGGTAGGTGCTCATGGAGAGGAGGGGGGCCCGGCTGGCCGTGAGGAAGGCCTCCTGGCGCAGCAGCTTGTGTTTCTTCTTGTGGTACTTGGCCGGGTTGAGGAGCAGGTGGCCGGTGTGCATGTAGGAGGGAGGGGGCAGCGGGGCGGTGAAGGAAGGGGACGGCGGAGGGGGGTAGAGGGTCGGGGGGTACCGCCCGTAGTAGCCCAAGCCAATGGGGGCTGCCGCCAGGGGGGAAGGAGAGTAAGGCATACTGTAGGAGGGGTAGAATCCAGTACTGGAGAGGGGGAAACTGAGGCTGTGCATGAAGGGCATTTCCGCCATCGCCTCTCGCATTTTCGGGGGCCGGCCTCTCTTCTTCTTCAGGTCAGGCTTCCGGATGTAGTGCAAGGGGTCCAAAGGGAAAGTGGGGTGGGTGTAGAAGCTGTTGAAATTGATGCGGAAAATGGTGGGCAGCAAGTCCCGGGGGATGAAGTGGTGGCTCCGGTGCGTGATCCGGATCTCGCTCAGGCGACTGATCAGCTCCTCCAGCTCTGCCAGGAACCCGGGGTCCTGCCTGCCCCGCAGCTGCGGGTACTTCTTCTTCCTCTTCCGCTTCTGTCTCTTCATTTTGTCGTAGGCCAAGTAGTCATGGCTCCGGCGCTTGCACTTGTGCTTGTGCTTTTCCTTGAGGCTGCTCAGGACCGTCGAGGTTTCGGGGGGCATGAGGGAGACGTGGTCGAACGAGTGCCGGCGCTTTTTTGGTCCACAGAACTTTTCTGCCCTGTCGGAAGTGCTGTTGTTGTCGGTCCCGATCCCACTGTCGCTGGGAATCGTCTCGTCGCTGTGGGATTCGCTGATGGGCGACGGGGTGGCTTCCTTCAACGAGCTGAGCTCGCTCATGTGGGACGGGGAGTTGGGGAGGAGTGTCGGTGGGGAGAGTCTCCGCCTGGCTCTGGACGCCTTCCTCATAGCCAGGGTCTGAAGCACACTCCCCGGCCTGGAGTGGAGGTGCAGGTACGGCACCGAGGTCGGTTCCACAAAGCCCATGTCACTGCTGACGGGGCTTTGCCCCCCACTCACTCCAGAAGACTGCGAACAAACAGGTGAGGGAAGAACTTCAGGGTTACTTGTGGCCGAAGGAAGCAACGGGGGTACTGCTTGTCCGAGCCCTGTCCCTGCGGCCTGCTGGGCAGACTTTTCGAGAACAGTTAAGCTGGCGGGACTGGCGGCCAAGATACCATTCAGGACAGCTTTCGGCTTCCGGCCTCTCCGCTTTCCTATGTAGATCGTCCCTTTCTTGCTGACATTGATCTGCTGGCCTAGTTTGGAACCAAACGTGGCGGCGAAGGTCGACACCGTGGTGTGGAACTTGGATTGCACTTTCCCCTTATTTGGCTCTGACGCAGTCGATGAGAGGATCTGATTCAAGAGCTTCTTCCTTTTTAATGTCTTCATCTTGTTGATTTTTCGGATGATGGTTTTCATGAGCTGCCCATTGTTGCGTTTGGTCTCCTTTCGGTCCGATTCCCCCTCCCGGTCGGTCATGCTGCAGGTACTTGTTTTCCCAAGCTCCTCGGGGCCTTCTAGCTGGCTCGGCCGGTCAAGGAAATCCCCACTCTGCTGCTGGTCGCTCTCAGACTCCAGTTTGTCAGAGCTGTCCGCAGTGACGAAAGGTGCCATGGAGAGGACAGGAGGTGCCATCTTGACCCCTGACCGGATTTGTCTTTTTGGCCGGCCCCTCTTCTTTGGGAAAGCTTGCTCCGCAAGGCTCTGCCGAAGAGAGGGAATCTCAACTTCCGGATGCAACACTGGAGGCTCTTGCTCTTCCTTCGACTGCACGGAGAAGACCTTGGAGGCAGGGATCTTCAGGGTCCGTTTTGGGGGGCCTTCCAGGTGGGGCATCTCTTTGGATTTTGACCTGCCCCTTTTGGACTTGTACCTTTCAGGTAACAAATCACCTGAAATGCACCCGACGGAAGCCTGCATGTGGGCACTGTAAAATTTACTGGGCTCCTTCTCAACACTGTTCAGCAGAGTAAGAGGCTGCATGCTGCTGGACTTACTCAACTTTGGCAAATGGCGTTTGACAAATTCATGCTCTGCAAAGGGGGGCGGCCCTGTGCTTTTAAAGAGCTTGGCCTGGTCCAGGCAACTGCTGGACAGTGTGCTGCAGGAAAGGTTTCTGAAAAGCTCAGGCCTTCCTAATTCTAGGCCTTTGGAAGGTCGGCAGCTGCTCCTCGAGACCACCTTCGTCCAGCGCGGCTTCCGCCCTTTCCTCTTCTTCAAGGGCTTCGCTTGGGAGCCCCCACTGGTGCTGCTCAGGGAGTCCACTCCTTGGCATGACTTTCCAGAGGAAGTCATGGAACCGATCTTGAGGAAGGGCTTGCTGTTAAACAAGCTGGAGAAGCTCACCACCGAAGGGGCCGTGGAGGGACGGATGCCGGATTCCGGCACCAGCACTGGCTTTTTGCTCACCGCGGGGTTCGGCTTGGGGTCGTCCGGGTGCGCAGCGCCGGAATGGTTCGCTTCCCTGCCTGCCCCTTTGCCGGGAGCATGCGAGCCAGGATTCAACGGCCTGCTCATGCTCGAGCGTGCGCCATCAGAGGCAAATGGGGTCTTGCTAATCTGCTCGGAAATTCCTTCTAAGAGCTCAGGCGTGTTATTTAAATGCAGCGGGTTGGAGGCTAACTGAGCCAAGGTTGATGTGGGGCTACGGGTTAAAGTGGTGACCGATGCAGCTGGGGAGGGAGATGGGAGGCCCCCCTCCCCTACAGCACTAAATGGAGATTTGGCCGTGGATACATCGGAAGCGCCTCCCGATGTCCTGAAGTCGGGGGAAGTGCAATACACAGGCAGCTGTTTATCATGCTTAGGTGCTTCAGAAGCGCCCCTTTCACTGGCAGCAGAGCTGTCCTGCTGAATGCAGCCCCCATCCTTGACTCCTCCTGGGGCGTCTTTCTGCACCGGCAGCTTTTCGGGAAGGCTCTCCTTGCTCTGTCTTGCAACATGTTTCTCAAAAGGTTTACTGCCGACATTGTCCTTCAAAAGGCCTGGAGGCGCAGGACTTTCGAGACGTGTGAGGCTTGCGCCACAACACCGCTTGAAGGGCTCCGAGGAAGGGCTAGCGGCGTCAGCCTTCAGAGTTCCCAAATCTTTATTAGCCAGCCCACACAAACTGCTGGCCCCGGCCAACTTCTTCCCAGAGTCCTTAGCAGTCAAAGTAGCTGGAATGCCAACCCCCAATGGCTTCTTCCCAGACTCTTTAGTAATCAACCCGATTGGGCTATTAGCACCCAATGGCTTCTTTCCAGAGTCTTTGTTAACCAATCCGCTTGAAGCACCAAACCCTGGTAATTTCTTCCCAGAGTCCTTGCTAATCAATCCAGTTTGCCCATCTGCCCCCAGCTGTTTCTTCCCAGCATCCTTATTAAACAATCTAATTGGACTGCAAGGGACTGGGAACTTTTTCCCAGGCTCTTTGTTAATCAGTCCAGGAGGGCTGACAAGGCCTAGCTTTTTCCCAGAATCCTTGTTCACCAATCCAATTGGACTACTAGTTCCCAGCAGTCTTTTCCCAGACTCTTTGCTCACTGGCCCAACTGACATGCCCGTCACAAGTGGCCTTCTGACACTTTCCTTGCTGACCAGTCCCACTGGAGAGGTGAGAACTGGTAGCTTCTTCCCACAATCCTTACTAACTAGCCCAACCATACCAGGACATGGCCCTGGCGGTTTTTTGCTCCCGGAGTCCTTGCCAATTAGCCCAGTGCTGTTACTAGTCCCTGGTGATTTCTTTGCAAACTCCTTGTTGACCAAAGCAACACCCATACTGCTGCATCCAGGCTGTTTCTTTACAAAGTCCTTGGAAATGGAAGCGGTCGCAGTCCCGACTGTTGCCAGCTTCTTTCCAGAATCTTTAGCAAATCCGGAAGCGATTCCAGTGGGTGGCTTCTTTTGCTTTGTTTTGGAAGACTTTGATGGAGGGCAAGTTGCAATAAGATGAGCCAGTTTTTCTGTTACTGTCGGTGTGCCGTTAATCTGAGCTCTGTCCTTTGGGTCTGGATCGCGACTACTGACTGGAGTGGAGAGTGCTGACTTTGCATATTCTGTCACTTCAGAATGCAGTGGCGAAAGTTTCTTCGAAAATGGGCTGCTCTCCCTCGTTCTGCCTTCACTTGTGGAATTCTCAACCAATCCGGGAGCTTCTCCACCCTTTTTATACAGCTTGGATGGATCCTACAAATCAAAGAAAAAAATCCTTAAGAAAAGAAAACAAAAGAAAAATTTATTTCCCATCATATTGGTTTATACTAGCAGGAGTAGAGAAAACATTTCTAATTCCAAGGAACCAAAATTAAAATTGTGCGTGCCAGAGGCAGTATCAAATTTTGAAATAATTGATACTTTCTCAACCCCATCTGCTCACACTGTGAACACCAGGTCTTGCTGTTTGATAATTTTCCTGTTTGGGAAGTACTGCAAGGTTCGCAACCAGGGGCCAAGGGAAAAGGGCAACGAAGGGGCAGGAATGGGGAGGAATTATTCCATCAACAGCAAAACTGGTTTTGCTTTCCTTACAGATGACTCAAATTCTTACTAACTTTACAAAAATTGTATGTGGTGTGTGTGTGTGTGGAGGGAAGAACTAGCAGGATTCCTCAGGTTGTTAAGAATAGCATGTTTCACATTCCTAGAAGGCAGCTTAGACGTTTCAAGTGGCAAGACCTGTCGAGGACTAATGCAATGTGGAAGTTACCAACTGCTAACACACCAGAAGGGTTCATGAAGGGTGTCAACATCTGGAGACCTCTCCACCAAAGCTGGTTTTCTTGTTAAACTTGAAGTGAAAATTGATCGTGTGCAGAGTGATTTCTGCAGCCGATGCTTCGTGGGAGAGCAAGCTGGAACTTCAGCCTGCCCTCACAACCTCCTCAGAGCAACCCTCCAGCAAAACTAGCTGCTGACCAGGGCTCTGAGAAAAACCAGGTCCTTGGGATTTTCCCAAGCTTGGTAAAAGACCACTCCCCCCCCCCAAATCTCCATTTCAAATTTATCTGTTTGAGGGCACACCCATATCCGATTACTAAGATTGTACAGTTATTGACTCAAAGGAATTCTTTCATTCAAACATTTCCGTAATTAATATTTCATTCACAGCACCTCAAGCATGCTGGGGGATTTCCAGAACATAGAAAGCAGCAGCCCCTGCTCTGCCAAGGAGCTTACCAACTAACGGGAAATGTAATTTAAGCACACGCAAGCGAGCACCAAAGGTAAGGGAACACACACGGCACATGTTGCTACGGTTGGGCTGCAACTGCTTCCAGGAAAGCAGCAATGGCTGCAGGCAGCCAAAGAGGATGAGCAGGTTAAAGGAGTCCCAGCCGACGGAAGGGTAAATGCAGACACTCAGCTTCCTTGCCAAGTCAACGACAGACACACGTACAGTAAAATGCTTTGTTGATGGCTAATGGAGTCAACGTTGTTTTCTCATAACGTGCACACCCCACCTTTCTGTCTCACTCCGCCTTTCTGTCTCACTCCACCTTTCTATCCCAGCTGGCTCCCAGGCCAGCTCACAAAGGGCAAAAAGGGCTACAGCTACAAGATACAAGAGGAGGAGGTAGATCGAGCACACCGAAAGCAACTGAGAAATAAAAATACGCATCAAGTTTTGCCGAGGGAGGCCTTGAAGGAACCAATGGTGCAGGTGCCTAGCGAATACAGCTGGGGAGAGTGTCTCAGGATCTGGGCGCCACAACCGAAAAGGTCCTATCGATATTAGCTCAGTGCCTCCCTTCTGGAGGGGGTGATGCAGAGAGCACGGTCTTCACAGTCCACCTGAATCTATGTTCACGTGGGAACAGGTAGTCCTTTCCGTCAGGTATCCCAGTCCCAGAATTTGTGCCACTGAAGATCAAAATCAGACCACTAGCCAGTACACAGGTCCTTGATCAGAGCAGGGGAAAAAAGACATAATTCCCATGTTCGTCTTCGGTTAATATGCGGTTACAGCAAGTGGTGAACCCTCACCTGCATATGCAAGGTGAAGCGTAGTGTTGTCCTAAGACAATGAAGAGCCAGGGTCCCGCCTAACACTTTCACGAAGTACCCCTTGGATGAGTCCCCTTCTCGTTCCCCACACTTGGGCCTCCAGATGTTGCTGGACTAAAGCTCCCATCAACTAAGCCGGCAGGGTCAATGGTCAGGAATGAGGGAGGTTCTGGTCCAAAATAGATGGTCAGCCAAGATCTGCAGTTGCAGGACCTAATCCACATTTCAGACGGAAGGTACAACAGGACCGCCTTCCATAAGGACAGTGAGATATGCTGGAATACAACTTCCATCATGCCAGCCAGATAGTTGTTCTGGCTGGGGATGACAGGTGTTGCAACCTAACACATCCGGAGGGATCCAGGTTGAGGAAGACTAAAATGGGGAACCTGAACACAGAGCAATCTGAGAGGTTCTGGAAGGAAGGGTGCAAATATAAATAAATGCTGCTGTATTCTGCTGAAATGGCAAGAAGTGTGACAGCGCCCAGGAAATGGTCTTGAGGAATAATGGTTAGGAGCCGGCAGGGACCTGTATGAGGCAGCAAAGGAATGAAGGAAAAGAATTCCACTTCCTCAACGTTTTCTCCAAGAGAGCTTACAAACGTGCAAAACAAACTGCTTATCAGAAAATAAACCAAGCAAACCCGCACAATATAGCATAGTAACAGGGTATGTCGCATTCTGGTGGGTCAGACCACTGGTCCATCCAGCCCAAGATCGTCCACACTGTCTGGAGTAGCACTCCTCGGTTTTAGAAAGGGCTCCCTCCTGATCTTACCTGGAGATGCAGATTGGACTTGGTACCCTCTGCATGCAAAACTGAGGTTAAAAATGGGTCCCTCGCAACCCTAAGAAGATAATTTTCTATTAGCCACACTACAATGGTCTGAAGAAACAGAATGGAACATGTTTCCTGGAGCTATGGATGTATTGGTCTGGCCACTGCCTGGATGGAACAGTGCACTCTAACCTTAGTTCCAGTATGGAAGAACAACAGGAAATAAAAGCAATAAGCAAACAATTAAACTGAGAGCCAGTGTGGTGTCGTGGTTAAGAGTGTGGAACTCAGATTCAGGAGATCTGGGTTCTAGTCCTTGCTCAGCCATGGAGGCTTCAGGCCAGTCACAGACTCTCAGCCCAGCCTACCTCACAGGGCGGTTGTTGCGAGGATAAAAAGGAGAGCATGATTTGCACCACTTTGTGTTCTTTGTAGGAAAAAAGGGGGATATAAATCCTACGAACAAAGAAGGCCCTACTGGGAGGATGTGCTGTGTTTCATGTAACATCGCCACTGCTTTTATTTTACAGCAATCCAGTTAAGGCAGTATCATTACTCCTGTTTTTCAGGTGGGGAGCTGAGTCTGGGAAAACAGTGGCTCGCCTTAGGGTGAACTGTGGGTAAGAGCCTGAGCGAAAAGACGTGGGTCGGAAAGGGGGTCCCGATCTTAACCACAACACACTGTCAATTAGTGTCCAGTTTCAGAACAACTGTAGGCTCCATATGGCAGACTGGTATCTTCCAAAGCTCTCTTTCTCGCCCTGCCAATGGCTTGCCCCGATCCTAACCAGCCTCAGTAGCTACTCCTGGCTCTGCTGTGACCGACAGACAGAGGGTAGATGCCTTGAGATCCCACTTGGTTGTTTACTTTGAAAGCTGCTGGCGCTGGTGGGATTTTATAGCAGAGAGGAAAAGAGAGCGAGCGAGCGAGCGAGCGAGCAGGCAGCCTGGCACCAAGCCCAGCTTTGCCACGGCAGCTGCAATAGTATGCAAATTCCTGCTGGAGCCTTACACTCGCAGGGGGAGGAAGGTTTCTGCTTCCTTTGCGCACATGTATGAAATAAGCAGCTGAGGAGGCAGCCGCAATCTGCCTGACAGCCTGAAGTCAGAGCTGAGGGCCCATGCGCATTCCCAAAATAGCCGCCGTGGGTGCTTGGGGCTCCCTTACATGGCGAAAGGCGCAAGTCCTGGAGCCGCGGTGTAGGTATGCTCGGCAGAGCGCGGCCCCGTCTCCAGGGATAAACATTACCCTGAACACGTCCTACGGCTTGTTTGGGCAGACTCTTCTCTGCAGTGCTATCCATTGTGTTCTCTCCCCCCTAGCGTTTATTTTCTTCTAGACTTAAGCAGGGTCACAGGCAGCAGATTTGATATTCCACTTCCTCTTGCTGTGGCCAGGCAGGGAGGGGAAAGCTCTCCCAGCCACCGCCGGCACTGCAGAGTCCCTGGGAATGAGTCTCACCCAGCGCCACTCGCTCCGGGACCACCTCTGAGGTAGCCGGCGGAGCCTTCCCTTGAACGGGACTCCCCAGCCAGGCAAACTGTCCACCCAGGCCCTCCTTAAGCATCCCTCCTGCGGACCCCAAAGGGCCCCATGAAGCCCAGGCCTCAGAGCTTGCTGCCCAGTTCAAGCGGCTCGCTCTGGTGCAAACACTCCGCCTGCCTCTCCTTCCCCATCCCCTGGACTGGTGCCCCCGAGCCCGACTCCTTCCTTTCCCGCTTCCGGGGTGGACTGCACATCCCTCAGCTGCAGTCCCGGGGCCTGGCCTTTTCATAAGGCAGCCCCGGGACGATCCTCCATGCAGAGGCCCTGCTGCTCTTCCAGCCTGGCCTCCCCGTCACCCGCTCTGCCGGGAGCCCTTCCTCAGAGCATCGGCAGAGCCGTGCTGCGCTTCGTGCCACGGACAGGGTGGTGCTCACACAGGGGCCAAGTGCTGTTGCACACAGGAAACCCACAAGCGTGACATGAGGGTGGCAGCAACGGGCATGCGGCCTCTGATGCTGGAAGCAGCTGCTGCTGAGAGCCCAACCCTCCAGGAGTCAGTTCCATCCCCTTTTAAAGGCATTCAGTTTGGCAGCTGCCACTTATACCCTCCGGAAGTGAATCCTATAGGATAACTGCGCACCGTGTGAAGACGGTCCCTCCCTTTATCGATTCCGGACCTCCAAGGGAGGCAGCTTCCTATGCAGGGGCAGCTTCCTATGCAGCTTCCTATGCAGGGGATGACCATCACATCCATGTTCCGCTTGTAACTGCCCAGAGGGACCCAGCTGGCCACTGGTAAAATGCCGGGCTGGATGGACTTTGCGTCTGATCCAGCAAGACGGTTCCTAAATGAAGGTTGCGCTAGCTCGAAACCTTCCAATTGCATGAATTGCTGCAAACTGGGTGATTTTGGCCA